ATTCAGGCTTTTGTAGTGTTAATAGAAGTTCGGTTTTTATTTTTGTTCCCCAACATACAACATTAACACTTACCTTTCACTCAGGACAAAATGTTGGCTTAGGAGAGGGGTAGGTCGGCAGTTTCCCAGAAACGTATGGACATTTCCTTTACTTTCGCACGAAAAGTGAACCAGCTCCATTGGTCGAGACAGCATGGAAATCAAGTCATCTCTGATTGACAGAGAAAGCTAATCATTTTTTAGCCAATCATAAGGCGAACAGATACCGAAACCGGCAACTGCGTAACTTCAACATAAGAAAATGTATTTGTATTTCATCAACTGAATTATATAAAAAATATAACATTATTGCATTTTATAATCCTCCACATAACTATATGATAAAGAATTTTGCTGGTCACATTAGGCGACTCGATTCCAATCCTCTGAACTGCACGTGCGAAATCCTATGGCTCACGAGATTTCTAAAGAACACTCCAAATACTGAAAATGCGGCAACCTGTGGGAATCCAGAGGATCTGAAAGGAAAAGCGCTCGTTAAACTCACTCCTGAAGACTTCAATTGTAGTAAGTAATCCTTATTAAAGTGATTTACAATCACGTTCATGGGAAAAACTAAGCGTCAATTTGTACCACGTGACCAAGTGCAACCTCATTCCCAGGGTCCTTTCCTACTCGTCCGGCCTCCGAAGCGAGATTGAGAGGGGACCAGAAGAGGACACTGGAAACGAGAGGCTGGTCCAAGCTTCGTTTACTGTTCGTTCTATCTGCACAAACATAAGTAGTTCTATGTCAGGTTCTTCCGCAGAATCAATTTCAACTTCAGTTCATTTTGTGCTTTACGTTCTACTGGTTGTTACCGAGGACTGTACGGGTGACGTTGTTGAGGAACGTAGATCACAAAGTGGCCTAAGAGAAACGGATTTAATCTGGCAAATTAATCAGACGGGAAAAAAATTAAGAAAAAGGGAGCTGACAAATTTCCTGTCATAGTCTGTTGAACTTACCGATGTATGGATTAAATCTTTGTGATCGACTTCTGAAATCTCATGTCGTTAACTCTGTCAGGCTCACTATTCTGTTGTAAAGAATTAGTCATTCTATGAGACTAAAGGTACTGAGGTAACAGATTGACTGATATTCAATTTACTGACCCACAGCACCACCAGCGTTTGTGAAACGACCAACCAGCATAGAGGTTTCTGTCAGGGATCGCGAAGTGGCGTTCAAATGCTTAGCCACAGGGAAACCAACCCCAACCATAACTTGGCGGAAAGATGGCGAACGTCTTCGAGAGGGTCGACGATATATCATCAGCAGGGAGGGGACGTTGAGTATCATCGATCCGAGACCCGAGGATCAGGGACAATACGAGTGTTTGGCACAGAACACTGCTGGTGAAGTCGCGAGCGAAGCGAAGTTAGATTATAATGGCCAGGAAGGTGATAACAAATTCTACGAAATATTGTAAAGATTCTTTTGTTTTAGAAGGAGCATTGATCCACAAAAATATTAGATTGCTGTCCCTCCCCTCTCTTTTCCGCTGCTCCGATGAAATGAAGTAGGAACAAATTCATCTATCAGCACAGGATCCCCACACAAATTCAGTGTGACTGTTGTAACGCTTGAATTTGAAGGAAATGTATGGGAATATCGAAAACGTTCATATTATCGTGATATAATGGGATGAATTCTTATACATAGGGTCGAAATAGACATCTTTTTACCTGAAATGTTGTGTATTGTCGTTCTTGCTGCTGAAAACGGCAAATTATAGCTAATTGAAGGGTTTACCTGAGCGAAAAGCTCAGGTAAACGTCGAATGCTAAACCCTTCATCAAATATCTATAATTCGCCGTTTTCAGCTGCAAGAACGACAATGCACAACATGTCAGGTACAAAGATGTCTATTTCGACCTTATATATAAGAATTCATCGCATTGTAACAGGATAAAATGAAACTTTTCGATATTCCCAAACATTTCCTCTAAATTCAATTCATTACAACAGTCACACAATTAGTGAGGGCTCCCTGTGCTATCAGGTGTCAAGATATGATCGAAACCCTGTTGTGATATTTACTAGCAGTAATAAAAGCTTTATGCACATGCCTTTCAACTACCTTCTCAAAAAACGCCGAATAGTTTGGGAACTCGCTGGCTAAGGAGCAAATTATTCTAACACCCCCTGGTAATTTTAAGTTTTGTTTTAGACTTAACAACTACTATTTGTTTTTTTTGTTATAGTTCCACCGATATTTCTACAGAAACCTCTGTCTAGGGTAGAGTCAATAGAAGCGAACTCTGTGACTCTCACTTGCCGCGCTCGCGGTAACCCCAGGCCTCACATTGAATGGACTAAAGAAGGTCTTCCGCTAACCTTGGATCCAAACTATCGCGTTCGACCATCCGGAGACTTATTTATCAGGCACGTGCGCATGCTGGACCGTGGAATGTACAGGTGTAGTGCGACTAACAGGGTTGGTCGAACGGCTGCTTCCACCAGGCTAGTAGTAAAGGGTAAATATTGCTGATCATGTTAACTGCTCCCAAGAATGCCTATGTTTATCATTCAATACAAAATTACAGCAATCCAAAGAAAAAAAACGAGCAATTCAGTAAACCTGGACTAAACCATCAGGAGTAAATCACTCCGGAACCTCCATCTCCAGCGCGTTAGACTTACAGTCCATTTTTAAATTTCTTTTCCCGCGAAAATTTGCTATATTCTTCACTGTTGGATTGAAATCGCTTTCTTCCGGCTAGTCTATCATGACTCTGAACCCGGGGTTGGAGTTGAACCATGTCCGATTAATCAGTTTAACCATGTTCGCTTAACGCTTAGTCTTGCTTCATTGCTTTTCATTTCCTGTAAATCATACTTTGATTAGCTGAAATGTTGTTCTACGAAAGAAGATTCTATAAATAGCCTAAAAAACTCATACACTGTGACCCTGGTCTTTTTTGATACATGAAAGCTCCGGGGCGATGGGCTCCTAGCATCACTTTAAAAATAGCAATAGCGTATGACAGCACAAAGGCGTACGAGAAATAGTTTCAACATATACTTGTACTAACTAATACTTGTTAGTTGCTTGTCAAACGTTTCCTCTTTATTACTCCTCAGCTCCTCCAAAATTGACAAAAAGACCCGAAAACACTGAAGTGTTGGAGGGTAGCTCCGCTGACCTTAAGTGTGAAGCGAGTGGTCACCCTGTGCCAGCAATCGCATGGACCAAAAGTGGCGACCGATTACCATCTCAGGACCGCCATATTGTGCTACCATCCGGGACCTTAAGAGTCATCTATGCTTCCCTCAGTGACCAGGGAGAGTACGAGTGTCAAGCGATCAACGTCATCGGAGTGGGATCGGTGAAAGCTTTCCTAACGGTGAAACCACGAGGTAGGTTTAAAGAAAAGCAGCGACAGAATGCCATGTTGACCTTGAAAATTCTCGATGCTCTTTGTTCTTAAATCATCAGGCGAGCAAGTTCGATCGTAAACCCTCCATCTTGTATTGCATAGCGAGAGATATCTAGGGAGAAGACATAACAACTCTCCGCAGCACATGCACTTCTCGCATCTCCCCAAATTTTCAGGACAACAGCTTTATACGGTCGTAGCTGTCGGCTCAACGATTTTAACTATACAGTTTTTTACTCAAAGTTTCGTCCACATTAGGCTCACCTCACTTTCATATGTCATGTCTCTCTAGTTCCCCCCTCCATCGTGGAGTCTCCGACAGACATCATTGTGTCCGCTGGTCAAACAGTTGAAATCCGCTGTTCTGCTTACGGCGCTCCTCAGCCAATCATAACGTGGATCAAGAATAATGTCCATCTCATAGAAGCAAACAGATACTCTGTTAGCTCGTCCGGGACACTGAAAATCCGGGATGTTGGCAAAGCTGACGAGGGTCGTTACGAATGTGCCGCTCGTAATAGCATTGGTTCGGCTTCTGCGCAGATGACACTGACGGTACAAAGTAAGATATTCAAGGATTTTGAAAGACTTGTCATTTTTAATTCAGAAGGTTTAACTTACTGATAATATGAACACGTATAGTTTGAAACAACAACTTCCTAAACTTCAATTCAGAAATTTGAATAAACTGGAAAAAAGATATTTTTTGACGACCTTGAAATAATTTCCTTCTTTCATATTTCAGCTCCATCTGCTCAAAATATCGGTGTTGATGTCCTTAACATGTCAATCGCGAAAGCCATAAGCAATGTAGACAGAGCTCTGAACGCCAGCATCCAGAGGCTGTTTTCGTCACCCAAAAAACCCAGTGATCTCCTCGCACTGTTCCGGTTTCCTTCGCCTGAAGCGCAACAGATCGCTCGAGCCGCAGAAATCTTCGAGCGCACAATCCAGCTGGTCCATGAACACGTGAAAGAGATGGACAGGGTGAATGTGAGCAATGATAAGTACAATTTCTTCCACCTGCTGTCTCCTTCGCACGTCAATATGATCGCTAATCTGTCAGGGTGCAGCGCCCACCGACGCATGAACAACTGTTCCAACATGTGTTTCCACCGCAAATACCGTACTTTTGATGGAACGTGCAATAATCTTTTGCATCCCATGTGGGGTGCGTCTCTTACACCGTTTAACCGACTTTTAAGTCCCGTGTATGAGAACGGGTTTAATTCACCAGTGGGTTGGCAAGACCTTGAAGGAAATCCCAGCGCACGTCTTGTTTCGACGCAACTTGTTTCATCAGAGGAGGTGACCGATGATCAACAGTTCACCCACATGTTGATGCAGTGGGGCCAGTTCCTAGACCATGACATCGACTTCATCGTCAGTAGCTTAAGTACGATGAGATTTAGCGACGGTTTGGATTGCACAAAGCAGTACCACATTTGTGATAATCAGCCGCCATGCTTCCCCATTCCCATCCCAGAGAACGATGCCCGACTCAGTGGTCATGGAGCATGTATGCAGTTCACTCGCTCAAGCGCCGTGTGTGGCACAGGAACAACTTCCGTGTTCTTCAGCGCAGTAACCCCTCGAGAACAGATGAATCAAATAACGTCTTATATAGACGCATCATCCGTCTATGGGTCTTCGGAACAAGAGGCTCTAAATCTACGAGATCTTGATAGTAATGGACTTCTCAAGTCAAATTCATCTGTTGGTAAAGGAAAACCGCTACTACCATTCAACCGTGATACGCCAATTGAATGTCTGCAAGCTGATGATAGCCCAGTCCCGTGTTTTCTCGCGGGTGATTTTCGCGCCAACGAGCAGCTTGGGCTGCTGTCGATGCACACAATATGGATGCGCGAGCACAACCGTATTGCCAAGGAACTAGGAGACTTCAATCCGAATTGGGACAGTGATAAAGTGTACCACGAGGCTCGTAAAATAGTAGGAGCCGTGGTGCAGCATATCTCTTACACTGAATGGCTACCTAAGATTCTCGGCCCTGAAGGAATGGCCCTTCTAGGGCCCTACAGTGGCTACGAGCCAAACATTAACGCTGGAATTGTAAACTCGTTTGCCACTGCAGCCTTTAGATTTGGCCATGGATTGATAAATCCTATAATATTCCGTCTAAACTCTTCGTTTCAACCCATCGAACAAGGTAATATCCCCCTACACAAGGCCTTTTTCTCACCCTATCGCTTGGTTACGGAGGGTGGGGTAGATCCAGTCCTCCGCGGACTTTTCGGAAGGGCCGCCAAGAGCCGCGACGATAAACACCAGCTTTTAAACTCGGAGCTTACTGAGAGACTGTTTGAGATGGCTCATGAGATAGCTCTAGATCTTGGTGCTCTTAACATTCAGCGAGGAAGGGACCATGCTCTGCCAGGTAAGTTGGAGCTATATGGCGATGAATGCTCTCATTTTGAATGGCGGTGGTAACTTCATTTGCAGTTTGCATTACTCCATTATGATCAGCTCATAGAGGAAAATGCTAAAAAATCGAGTTTCAACTTGAAATTTCTGAAAGAATTACTTTCCACTGGACAAAGTGTCTAATGTAATTTCTATTCCCATACCCTCAAATCAAAATCTGCAGAAAGGCATAGTGGGATCTGGGTTCGAGATCATCCGATATCCTGTAACATCGGAGTCGAAGTCGGGCTATTAGCCCCTAATATACCTTGTTTTCCACTAAATAAAGTTTTACTTAACTCTACTTTACTGAATTTGTTTGTATTAAAGCCTCCGATTTTTGCAGGTTATAATAAGTGGCGCGTCCTCTGTAACCTGACCGAGGCCGAAACTTTTGATGACCTTCAGTCTGAGATAGTAGATGGAGACATTCGAGAGAAGTTACAGGAGCTGTACAAACACCCTTCTAATATCGACTTGTGGGTCGGAGGTCTCCTCGAGGAACTTGTCCCAGGATCGGTGCTAGGACCAACGTTTACTTGCATCATAGCTGAGCAGTTTAGACGGATAAGAGCTGGAGACAGGTAGGAAGCACCTTGAGCATAATATACTTTCTGAAATGAATAATTAGGGGAATCAAAGCTTCAGACGCCGGTTTTGTTCAATTATCCTTAAAATTCAAGCTATCCTCACTAAATTTGCAGCATAAAATACTGAATTTTGATTAAATTATTTTTTCTTGTAGTTTTGACTACCAGATAGAGCACTCCCCCCATATTTAAGGGAGTGGTGTAAGGGTGGGCTCAAAATTCACCTCAGTGCTAATTTAGCCAAGCGATACAAGGATTTTTCCAAACATAGAGAGAAATTCCATCCCATTTCCTAAACGCGCAGCAGGGGTAGCCGAGTTGGTAAAGTGCTGGACTGTAAAGCGGAAAGTCGCTGGTATGTAAATTCTCGAACGGGACCACCAATACGCAGGGTATTAAAATAACCGAGAGAAGGGTACTGCCTTTTCCCTGCAAACGGCTAGACCTTCGTTGCTTGGAAGACCACGTTGAAATATGGTGAACCTGTTCTCAGCAGGGGACGTAAAGACATCGCCCTCAATAGTACTTCGTGCGTCCATTTTCTTTTTCTTCAAGAATGAAAGCAATTTGTCATAGATAAAATGTTGCTATCCTTCAGATTCTGGTATGAAAGTCCTTCTACATTCGACCACTCTCAGCTGATTCAGATAAAACAGACATCCCTCGCCCGAGTGTTGTGTGATAATGGTGACAATATTGACCGAGTTCAGCCTGACGTGTTTCTCCGCGCGACATACCCCACGGGATATGTTTCGTGCTCTTCCATTCCACGCATGGATCTGCGCATGTGGAAATCTTGCGAGGAAGGTTTGTACATGATATTGTCTACTGGGTCCTTAATGACCATTTTTGGGCATATTATTTCACCGATATATGAAGTGGTTTTCTCTGGTTCATCACCAATATTATTATAATATTACTATTATTCCAGCTCCCAACGTTACTGGCGTCACTAGTTATTTGGTTAGAGTGTCGCACCGATGACGCACATATCAGGGTTTTGAATTCTGCCTAACCCCTGAATTTCTCTCAGGCTTCTTCTCGCAATTATTTACATTGCATACACAATTGCAAGGATCTGCCATTCAACGTGACGACTTTTGGGCCCTGAAGTTTTTTTTCTAATAAATTTGCAGTGCCTCCTAGAACGATAAAACGATAGAAGATAAAACGTTTCGAGAAGTAGCCCCTTTGTCTTCTTTCGTGTAAGGCCCCAACTTTCGCAGACTACAAGTCTTCAGTGTCACTGTTTATTTTCTTGTCAGATCACTGCTCCTCTGAGGACGTAACTCCTACATTTAGCAGTCATGTTCAATCCCGTCGTTTTAGACGTGCAGTGGAAGAACCCTACTTAAATGCAGCGCATGTACAGATGGAACCCAAAGAAAAGAGGAAGAAGAAACTGCAGGCAAAAAAGAAGCCTGCTGAGGTATCAGTACTTGTGGAGAAAAACGAAGAGACAGTAAGCAGTTCTTCAGAGCAAGAAGAAATGCAGCTAAAGAAACGAGTTGATTTTCTTGAAAAGAAAGTGGAAAGCATGACCGCCACTATAAAAGGTCTGCAAGATGCATTCAACAGTCTTCAAAACCAGGCAAGTGTACTTCTTGCTTTAATAACACTTTGACAGTAAGCTCTCTTTACTTCAGCTATAACAACCTTTGGATGTCTCCGAAGAATTAGAATCGTTATTGTGCAATACAAAAAATTATGAGGTCTTGTGTGAGATTCTTACCCAACGCGTTTAAGGAGTCAAAAGTAGTTATAAAAATATTACAGAATGCCTTACCTTCTTGTTTTATGTTTTATTTATTGCTTGTTCTTGGCGTTCTGGCCCTTTCAGTAGAGCGATTATGCAAAAACGATATTCAGTCGTAAGCTTGAGTTACCTGTTGTAAGACTTGGGATACCTGTGGTGCGCCAGTTATATACCCTACGGTTAGTTGCGTAATTGATGTAACGTCCGATGTTTAAAAGCTAACGCCCGAAGTTCAGCGCTGTCAATCTATTTATTTTAACACCAGATACTTACAATCATGTCCGATGTTAGGTTTTATGCAATTTGCTGCAGAACATTCCCCTCTCCCCTTTGCTGGCCAGCAAAGATGAGAACACTAAAGGATTAGATTGGTCCCACATGCATTTATAACTTGCACGAACGAGTGTTCCCGCCCTTGACACTTGGTAACATGCAAATGATCAAAGTCCTGATTGCTTTATTGCCATGTCCCATAATTATTCCTGTTGTGATAGGTAAACAAGCAACTTTCATTTTGTTTACAAAAGCAGAATTAGAATCAAATAATAGATCTATAGTCACGTTACCTTGAAATTTTCCATCCCCTTTTTTAATTGAAATTTTTAACAGGTGAATAAAATTACCCAAATGAAAGGGAAAATGGGAAGAAAAGGAAGAAGAGGATGCGGGTTTGTTGATGGTTCCGCGCGTTACGTGGGAGACTCGTGGCAAAGAGATGGTTGTATTCACTGTAACTGCATTGGGGTAAGTCACATGTAATTAAACAGTGGCGGATCCAGGGAAGGGGCCCGGGGGAGTCGCCCCCCCCCCCCTCCTTATGTTGGACGAAACTGAGGCTCGAGGGGCGGAAAAAATTTTTTGGGAGACCGCCCCCCGCCCTTTATATAAGGGTCTGGATGACTGCCCCCTTCCCTCCCCCTTATCTCAAAGGCTGGATCCGGCACTGTTAAATACTCCTGGTTTACGTCTTTTACTCATGGCATACGTTCGCACGCAAATCAACATATGCCTGCGGTCAAGAAAAGAAGGCAGACGAGTAAACGATTTATGAACACGCCTGAAATTTTGAACTAGTATTTGGTGTAAAACAACTGCGGTGAAGGGGTTGTCCACACTTTGTGCCCGAGCGCTAATGCCTGGGTACCGGCGCAAAATAGTGTTGTGTTCACACCTTGTGTACCCGATATGTAACAGTAAATTAGTTACTCCCTTTCATCCTGTCAGACGCCATTATGAAACTTAAGCTTAGCAAGGAGCACGAAGCAACGGATTAGCTAGGAACTAACAAAACCGGTGTGCACACAGGGACCAGGTGCCCTCTTTAGTGCCCGAATACGAGGTCTCGACCTTGTACTCGGGCACCGTGCTGGTGCCCGAATTCGGGCGTGGGCACTTGAAAAACTGAGGTGTGTGTTCACATTAGTGCCTAGCGAGTGCCTTACTCGCGCAGCGTTGCCGTGCACCAAGTATGAACGCTGCCTTAGGTGTCATTAGAGGGTCTAGAAACCGAGACGGGGTACATGTAGGCACGTTAGGATCCTAATTCCCCTGAGCAATTTTTGGATTTACGCGACGTAGGTGTATCTTTCGGTGTTCGTTATAAAGTACTGTTTCAACGTTCCCTCGTAGGGAGGACAGATCAGGTGTTTACCAGTAGGACAGTGTAAAAAAGAATTGGAGAGGAAGCCATAATGAATCTACAAACTGTTTTGTAAAGTTAAGGTACGTGGGTCTTAACCACTGAATTAGAGATCGGCAATTCTTTACCACTTTAAGAGCTTGTTATTTTAAAAGTGTTCAGGACAACCCTTGCAGGGCTTTTTGAGGGAAGATAGTTATTATTTTGCCGCTCAATGGTATGACCTGGTCAATAACCGTTTACAGTGATTCTAGCATAGTTACATTACTATCCCCTGAATAAAGGGAACCCAAGCGCACATCTGTTCAGTTTGCTTACAAAAGTTTGTTCTTAGTCCTAGTTTAAAGAATGTTCCCTATCTTCGCTATCTTTCTTTGGCTCCATTGATAAATATTTTATTGTTATGGCTACTATTCCATCGTCTAAGTCATATACATTTTATGTATTTTAGTGTATTTAAATTTATTACGTGTCTCTAATTAGTGTAGGGTTTCCGGCCCCTACGCTAGATCTCTGACTTGACTCATTAAAAAAGTGTTCATTCATTCATTCATTCATTCATTCATTCATTCATTCATTCATTCATCCATTGCCTAAAATTCCCTTTGCTATTCCTATGGAAAACTAATATGCACTTTAATTTTATTTTTTTGCAGGTTAAATCGTCAAGTTGTAATTATAACAGACTTAGACTGAGATCTGTTTGTGAGAGTATGCTCATTTTTGCAGCTGTGGAATCGAAACAAATTCTTTTTAGACGCTTTTTCCAGCTACTCCTGATTAAATTTCATTTCCAAATCCAGCGTAAATGAACTTCATATTAGTAAATTATTTTATAACCAAGCTCAGTGGTCGTTTGATAGCGTACAGGAAATAAGTGACAGATCACTTTTAAGGATGAAAGATAATTATAGCTTAGAGAACGTTCTCGTAATTTCGTCGATTAACTCGTGGTGTTACTCCGAAGACAAGGTGACAATACGCTTTTACCGCAGCTAAAACGGCAAAAAAGCATTTGAGATGGAGTAAGCATGCTTTAGGATGTTTTGCACTTTGCTACAAAAATTGCTTGCAGTGCTGAATAGCCTTGATCAGCCACAAATTTAGGAGTGGTTAGAAAGACTTTTCGCTGTAATTGCTTCATCTTCTTGGTGTCCTTCCATTTTTTTGTTCTCTTTTATTGAGAAACGTCTAAAATGTGGGTATAGATTTGGGCACGTGCGAGTCTTTTGAAGTTTCGAACTTAAGTATAATTTAACTTAGATCAGTTTTAAAAACAAGCATATAGGAAAATGACAGGATTTTATTGTCTATTTAGTAGCTCTTGGACTGAAAACATTTCTTACCAAGTTTGACATGTACCGGTAGTTTTAAAACAACAAGATGACTGGTCCAGTTTCTGCAATCGATGATAAGATTTTTCTTTCCTTTTGGTAACAAACCAGTCTTAGATAAGATTACAACTGGAAATGCTATGAAACGTTCCTTTCCACCGGAAATTCGTCGGATAAAAGGAATAGCTTCATAGCGGTATTTTCCTCTTATTGTTTTTATCAGCATGAACAGAATATCACTTTGCCTCGCTCCAAAGGAGCTATACTCCTTGATTTCCGAAACATGTCGCCCTTTATACTGTTCTACTTGGTGTAAAATTCTCACCTGTTTCCCCATAGAAGAAAAGTAAGGGGCTAGCTAAACACTTTTTTTCTTAGATTTTCTTGATGAAAAATGTTCTTTTCCATTAGACGGAAAGTTGTCGCCCATTTCTCTGTATATAAATAGCCTGTAAGCAAGCTCCAGGGATCGCTCTGGCGGCGGGGCGAAAAATGAGCCGGAGAGCCCCGGAGAGCTTGCTAGCAGGCTACTGTGTAAAAAAAATAACTGAATGCGCTGAATGAGAAGGAGGGGTCCAGTTCTCGCTCGGTCTAACCCCTGCCCTTCCTTCGCGTCCTCGACTGACTGACTTAGAAAGGACAGCAAGTAGTCTACAATGAATTTGTTAAACGCTCGGGACCTCTGAGTAGTTATTTTATTTTTTGCTTTAATCCTGTCAGTAAAGTCATAAATTAAACGCAGAGACAAGAAAATTAGTGGGATACATTCAATTACGCCAGATTGACGTTCGATTGCCAATATTACTTTATTTGCCTTTCTTCATTAATTTACATGAGTTATTTATTTGTTTGTTTCAACATTATTTCGCTTTGCAATAAATGTTACGTAGAAAGCCCATCGCTGTTAATTTCTTGTAGCACTTCGTCTTGAAAGTTTAAATTCTTATTCCTTCGAGTTTATAAAACGAAAGACCTCGCAGTTTTTAGAGATGGTGATCGTTGTTAGGTCGTTTTCTCCAGAAACTGCATTCTCTCCTCCAGAACGTTTGCTCTTTATACGGCTACGACGACTCGAGGCCGCTGGGAAACCAACGGGGGAACTCTTCTTAGTCTATCTGAGCAGTTGGCAAACGTTTTTCATCCCCATCCCCTCTAAAACTGCAAGATCTTAATGAACCAAGACCTACACTACGACCTTTCCGCCGCCTTCGACACAATCGATCACGATCGAGATCCTTCTTGAGAGATTACGATTTCGTTATGGTTTTTCCAACCTACTTCTTCAGTGGTTCACTTCTTATCTTGTTGACCGTCCTCAGCGCATAGTGTTGGACAAGTTTTCTTCCCAGCCTCGTCGTGTGGAGCCCCTCAAGGTTCTGTTTTAGGACCGGTGTTATTTTCTCTATATATTTCTCCATTGGAATATGAAATTATGGCTCTTGCTTTAAATGCAATTGTGTACGCCGACGGTTCTTAGCTTTACATTATTATGAGACAAGAGCCGTCGTGCTCCGGCATTACAGGATCTTAAGCTTTGCATTGTAACCAAGATATCATGTCCCAGGCCCCAAATCACAAGCTCGAGTGTTCTCCCAACATCTCAAGTGGGTTATCACACCTGTAAACCCATAGAAAGTGTGGTCTTTATAAAATAACTTTAAGTTTTCTACGAGTTTACCGGCACAATAAACCATAGGTTTTTAACCAATCAGAACGCGCGTACTATCTTAGTTATTTTATAAATTGGGATATTCACCAAACCTGGGCATAGCTCAAGTTTCATAAACATACAGTCAGAGGTTTTAATTGTGATACAAAAATTTTTATTCAATGTTTTTCTTTTTCTCTTTATCTTTTGCTTTCTTCATTTTTGCATACAAAACCCTAAGGAAACGCGTATGAGTTAGAATATCGAATATTGGTGTTCCGTCCTGAATATCCTGGCGATTGATACCAAAATCTGCCGTTTTCACCCTTAAGCGATTCAAGGGAGATTATCCCCGCACCCTTTATCACGAGGCTGACTTCCTTCAAATGAAGTTTTTTTTGATAAATTCCCTCAGCTTAAGAAGGTGACTTGGAACGAGTTACAATCATGTTGTATTTGTTTTTGACATCAACGTTTGCAACTTCCGATTTGACACCCAGATTTGTTCGAGACGGTGAGGATCTGGGAACGACTGGATGAAAGATCTCGTATCCAGTCTCTTCTCCAATTCTTCACCACGTTTTCAAAATGGCGGAACACGATCTCACCGCTCGAATGGGCTGCTTTTTGGACCGGCATCTAGTGTTTCCCTTGTTGGAATTTCTCTCTGTCAAGGAGGTAAATACCTTCTTTAATTACTGCTTTCCCGTTTTTAGGATTTTCTGAGTATAACTTACCGGGCAAAGTCACGTGAAATAAAACTAGATACCAAGGATAATTCACTTTTAATTTGTAGATTGGACGTACACTTTTTTTAATTAATCAGTAACAATTTTTTGCCTTTGTTCGTCTTGATTATTAGATATATGATGAAAAAGAATTACTTAAAGGGAAGCTCGACCTTCTTAGCAACACAAACATGGTAACGTATAAGTTGAAGAGTTTGGCTTTTTAACAAATTTCGGCCCTGTCTGACTGACGTAGATGAAAAATCCACACTCCCCTGAAAGGCCTTTTTTTCCTTTTTACTTTTAAAGAATCCCACATGATTGTATTTACCCCTAAAGACCTCCATAAGTTATTTTATTAGAAAGTATGATTTTGCCTCTGGTGCATCTTATTTAGAGGTGATGGACTTCTAAATACCAACAAATCTTAAAAACTCCCTTCGTAGTGTAGGAGTTTAACCTCAAAGAATCTCGCACTTCTTCATTCTTAAAAGCTTACCTAAAGAATAGACTTTCATTACTTTTAGGGACCGTTGCTTTATAGAGGAAAAAACTAACTGAATGCACGAGCAAAATGAGGATTAAAACAAGAATTTAAAATTACACAACAACATGATGAATGTATTTGTTGTGGTTCAATTTTTTCCTTGGTTTAAATTTTATTTCCTTTGTTTTGGAGTATGATAATGTGTGATAATGAGTTTGAAAAAAAAGGAAACAAAATTTAAACCAAGGATAAAATTCAACCACAACATATACACCAAATGTAGAATGTAAAACCAGAAAAACAATAATCTTATTTAGTTATTTTCTGTATTAATCTCGCTTGAATCTACAGTATATTGGCTAAAATCCAAAAAATTGCTAAGCAATGTCTCGACTTGATATTCACTGCTCTTGGCTAAAAGATGCATCAAGAAATGACCAGTATTGCACTTGATTCATTCTTTGTTATTGAACCTACAGCGTAATTTTTTTTTGGCATATTAAACATTTTAGAGCAATGATCCCCTAAGGAACAAAAGCCAAAGAATTCGGCCAGTTTTATTCCCTACTTCATATAAAATATTAATTTTATGACTGTCCACACTTTATATCAGAAGAATTAACCTAGGTTGGCTGTAGGGAATGTAAGAAGAGAGAGGGGCTGGGAGAGGAAAATGGTCAGAGGATTACACCTATTGTAGATGCTAGAATTTATTACTCCCCTTCTTCAAATATCTACCCTATCCGAATTAGCTCCCCTGGAGGATGAAATAAAAGTAATAATTAATAAAGCAAGTGCCTCCCCTTTAAATGCGTACCCCCAACTCCCCCTTGGGTAGGAATGAAATCATTGAATTTAAGCTAAAGAAGTATAATTTTAGGAAACTAGACTTATGATAGTAACTGTACTGTGATTTATGTTTCTTTTTACAGAAACATGTAGGTTCTTGTTTACTTTATTACAATATATGTTTACTTGAAATAAATAAAGTTTACATTTACAGTAATGCAATAGAAATTTGTTAGATTTGTTTTTCTTTAAACTTTATGTTTTTAACTTGTTTTCATAAGAAAAAACTTATATTCCAAAACTGCTTTTTGTTATGAGGTTTGCAGACCTTTCTTTATACTCTATATTTGCTGGTTGAAGTGATGTATCACACTCCTGGGGGTTGTTACTTTTATGATGCGTTAAAAGTATGGTTGTCTTTCACAATCTGTTATGTAAGTCTGTTATTGCTTATTTTATAGGTTGATTTTGCAATGGATGTTTTTAAAAATCTATATCCAGACCAGGATGTTCCAGAAGGTTTGTTTATTACTCTTCTGTGTTAGTTTCCTGGCAGGGGCTATGGAGGATAACCTATGACTTGATACAAAATACCAAAAAGGCACTGTCACCCATATCACAGCACAATAATAGGTTACCAACAAAAGTTTCCACAACAACAACAAGCTGATATTATAATTAAGCATCAGAAACAGAAGTGCTCAACCTATAGTTTATTTTGGCCAGATACTGACCAGAAAACACCTTAACTACTGGCTTCAAAAGGTGTTTTTTGGTAACATTTCAAGGAGAAAATGAGTTAAACAGTCTTGTTTGATGAAATAATGTATTATGTACATTGAAGACACAGTGTATGCTGTAAAAAGAATATGGAGAGCATTGGGTAGTTTATCAGTTAAATGCAGTCAAAGCTGTCCTACTCACTTGCAAGTAGCCCTTAGTAGTTACAACCAGTAGTGTGAAACCTACAATCCTTGTCATCATTGTTGAGACAGATTTTTGTCCTCCTTTGTTGATGTTCATGAGGTATATGTCCAAGCAAAACTGTGAAACAAGCATTGAGAGGAAGAGAGGAGAGCCCTATATGTGCCTATACTCTCTTGTGCCTATACTCTCTTGTGTTTTCTAGAAATGTTTCAAGGAATTTTGACCATGATTGAAGTTTGAATTTTGAGTTTATGTCTGTGATGAAAAGCCTTCATAATCCATGGTTGACCTCTTTTATGAAATACTTGGGAGGTCTTTTCCTCTGTTTTGAAGTCGCCATAAGGGACCATTTAGTCAACAGTTGAACATTTACTTTTTGATTAAATTTAGAATAATACAGAACATACGGACTAGTGGTTTGTTGACCTGAACATATGCCAATTAAACATAGTAACAGATAACTGAAAAAAAAATCTATTCAATGTAATTTATTAGTGAAGTGCCATTCGTAATGATTAACATATACCAAGCTATTTGCTTAAAGTTATCATAAGTGACTAATGTTAATACATGTAGGTGTATCACATGGTTGCTTACAAGAGCCCATTCTTGTAGATGACTAACTATAGAACTTTGCAACCAGTTAATTTCTGCGGTGGCTGCTTGTAAGAACTTTGACTGTATTAACATGTTTGGACAGTGGCACCCACCACACAATAAGAACTACTAGATACTTTGCACATTACCACTCCTTCTCAGATTTAAGTGATCCTTAAATGGAACAAAATGATGATTTTTTTGTTGTTTTTGTCTCTTTAGATCTTGTACAAAAAAGAACAGAAGTTGTCACACAGTTAAAGTATCTTCAGGCTCAGACTGAACCTATTGTCAAATGTTTTGAAGATCCAGAGTTCAACAATCAGATACAGACAACAAGGTTAAAAGATTATTTTTTAGTTACTTGATGACTTGAGTTTTCTTATAACTTGAAATCAGAAAATTTAATTTCATCGATGCTTTTAATATTGTTCATTCTTTGCTTTGTAGGGATGGGAGATCACTCTTCGAATACCTTGAAAAAAACCATGGTGTAAGTTCATTTTTTTTATGTCAAATGGGTAACACTGAACAGGGTGCCCAAAAGATCCACTTTCAAGCTTACCCCTTTATTAGTAGGCATGCTTTGCCTTTGATTTACTGATACTTTATTGACATGTAACTTTCCCTACATTTGATGTAGAAGATTAGAATATCTCATAATATTTATATATATCTTGTCCATTATTGAAGAAAAGGATAAAGTCAAATATTCAGAGAGAAAGATTTTCCTGAGGCTATCAGATGTATCTCATAGTGTAGTATATCAGTAACAATAGCTGTTACTAATATCAGCCTGGATTTTAATGCTTATGTTGTGGTTCAGTTTTATCCTTGGTTTAAATTTTATTTTCTTTTGTTTCAAAATCATTGTCATACATTACCATGCTCAAAAACAAAGGAAAATAAAAGTTAAACTAAGGATAAAATTGAACCGCAACACATACAAGACAATTTATATGAATCAAGTTTTATTAAATTCTGAATTTTTAATGTGTTTGCTATTTGCAGATTAAGCCAGAAATGTTGGACACATTGTATAAATATGCAAAATTTCAGTATGAGTGTGGAAACTACTCTGGTGCTGCTGAGTATCTGTACTTCTACCGTGTGCTTGTGAGTTCCTAGTTTCTGTTTTTATTCTATTTGCTTTTGCATTGTCTGATGTCTTCCCATCAATTCATAACATACATCAAAAGCAGAGCCCCTCAGGGTGGATCCAGGAAATTTTTTATTGGCTGATCTAACCTGTAAAGCCTGTTAAAGCTGTTTCACTGCTAATAATTTTCTTTCCTCCCTACAACAATCATGGACAAAAGTCTTGGGACACTTTTGCATTTCTGGGCATTTCCAATTCACACAGGTCCAACCCCTCCCCTCACCCCACAAACAATGTTGGATGCATGTATCCAGAATTTTTTCTGAATTTCAACTTTGTATAGGGTGGGGGGAGAACTGCAAGAAAAATTAATTTCAAAAAGGATGCACTGTTTAATGAGGGAACCCAGAATGACAAAAAAAAAGAATATTGCATTGCTCTCCCAAGGACTTCTGTCCATGATTGTAGATAATAATATTATTACAACAGACAATGTCAATGTCGACTCGTACTTTCATGATCGGTGGTACATGTCAGACACAGCTGATAAAGACAGTTCATAGAGGACACAGCTTTGAACATTCTCGGTGCTCTGCTTGTGAAAGAGCATCATCACAGCTTTTTATGACTATGATTTCAAAACAAAATTTGAAATCAATAAATGTTCATATTTTTTACTACAGGCCACTGGTAACGATGATAGAAATACATTAAATGCTCTTTGGGGTAAATTGGGCTCAGAAATCCTCATGCAGAATTGGGAAACTGCGCTAGAAGATCTAAACAGACTCAAGGATGTCATTGAGAGTAATGTAAGTGGTACCTTAATAACTTCATTTTTTCATCTCTATCTTTTCAATATGAAAACCAATAATTTTTCCAGTGGATAGCATTATCTCCCCTTTAATTAACTGGGGCCTAATAGTAGATTGTGTTGTTTATGTAGTAACCACACAATAAATCTTATTTTAGTTAGTTACTCTTTGCAGGAGCTGAATTCAACCTAATATGGGCAATTTTAAGTCATAATACCGGGCTGCAAATGACGGCCGGTCAACGGACAATGTCCGGTGAAAAATAGGTTTTGTCCGGTCAAATCCTTAGATGGCCGGACAATTTGTCCGGTCGTCTACGCTGGTAAGGAAAAAATTTAGAGTTTCAAGTTTTAAATATTTAAAGGTTCAATATTATTGGCGTTTGTGAAAAAGGAGGGGAAAAGACGGATACTTAACTACCAGACCAAGAACTTTTTAGTAGTCATAAAATTTCCGGCTGTCGTGGCTTTGTCATTCACCAAGTCGTCACCGCAAATTAGCGGGTCTTACAAATGTGTACCAGTCACAGGTGCGAATTACTTTATTATTAGTCCATGTGGGTTTTGTAACAGCCATGATGTGAGAAGGACAACAAAACCTCTCAGTGTCGATACAAGGGTCATGGCACCCTTTGTCTTCAAAATTTAAGAGTGAAAATAACAATAACAAGAAAGCAAGTTTACATTCATTTGTCTACTCGTCGACATTTCCGTGTTAATCACTTAAGCTATAAATACCACGATTAACTAAACATTCTATTTTCCAGGGAAACAAACCTTTTTAGCAGTAAATTCACATATGACAACATGTAAACTTTACCTGGTCTATCTCAAATGATTGACCGCAGATTTCATTGTGTTACGTGTCACGCATGATGCGTGGGTCATTTATATCAGAAATATTTGAAAAAATTCTTCTCAAACTTGACTGAAGCAAAAATGCAGTAAGTTTCACCATTGACAGGTCGAAACACAATGGATTAGAAAGAAATTGTATTTGCGATAATCCTTTATAAATGTTGTCAATGTGGTATGTAACGACTTCAGTTAATGAACATAGTCATCAACGTCTTCGAAAACCCTTTCCAGTGCATCCGGGTGTTCCCTTGTTATATGTCCAAACTGCGTTTTCGTAAGATGATGTCCTCCGATGTCTTAGCCTGTAAACAGACCTTTTATTTTTCTTTTCATTCTTTCCAAAAACGTTGGTGAGCGAAGCGAGCGCTCCGCGCGAGAAAGAAAAATAAAGAATATGTATATTTATCTTCCCCCACCACCACCCCCTTGCGCTGGCGGTCAATAAATCCCCTGCGGTTTATATTTTATCACCCGCGCTCAACGGACTGTTAAGAGAAAATAGAGGGTCTGTGAAAAGGCTACGGATGTCTAAAAAAACTCTTCCATTATTGTATTTTAAAAAGTTCAATCATGCATCTTAGGGAAAGAGCTTCCCTGTCCTGGCAACACTTAAAATCAACTAGATTGCAAGCCTCAGTCAATTTCATCAACTTAATAACTAACCGTATATAAGACATAGAAGTCAAGCAATAGTAGTAGGCACAAATGTGATACTGATTTTGCTGTACCGTGCGTTCCACTTTTCCTGCATTGAGATCGATGCTCATGTACAATAAATGCTTTGAAAATTTACTTGTTTCATATTTAAACATCTTGTGAAGGGGTGAGGGGGTACTTTTATAGCGATAAGACGTAATCGATGTTTGTCCGGCCAAAAATGGGATATGTCCGAGCAAAAATAGGTTTGACCGGACAATTTGACTGGCGCCAGCTGGGAAATTATTTGCAGTCCTGTAATAATATTGGCTGACACTTGGAATAATTACATACCATGACATACGTGGTTGACAGCATGCTGCCCTGTTCAAAACTATTTGAAAATTCTTAGTTAAAGTGTCCCTTATCTGCCTCTAAGTTACTTCAAGTTTAACAGGGTTTGTATGGGTCATGGAAAGCCTGGAAAGTCATGAAGTTTAAGACTTTCATTTTCCAGGCCAGGAAAGTTATGGAATTTAATTGTCGGTCATGGAAAGTCATGGAAATTTAAATTTCTGTTTGGTAGATTAGTTACTGCTGGTGTCAGAGTTAGGACAAATTAAGACAGAGACAAAACTTGTAAATAGAGTGAACATGATGCATTTTGGTGGACTCCAGCATTTGTGTCTGTTGAACTGAATTTGGTCAAAAATACCCTAACACAAGGAAAGGTTTAAAAATTTTGGAAAGTGACAGCTAAATCTAAAGTCATGAAGAACTGCAAGATGTTATGGAATTTGAGTATAAAGTCAAGGCAATGAGTTCGAATTTACTCCAACCAAATGGAGATGGAGTATTTCTCACCTGTCATTCCCAATATTAGAGCCATTGTTAAAACCTGCCCTTCCCTGTTACACAATTTACTGTATTTCTCTCCCGCCCTCTCATCCCTAACATTTTTACCCGCCACTCAACCCCCAAACCTGGCGAGGTTCTGCAGTCCACATATTTCTGGTTAATTTTTAAGGTATGTATCATTTTTGACTTCAGACTAATACTGGAACACTGCAGTTGTTACAAGAGAGAACATGGTTGATTCACTGGAGTCTGTTTGTGTTCTTTAATCATCCAAAAGGAAGAGATCTAATCATTGATTTGTTTCTTTATCAGCCTCAGTAAGTGATCATTGTACTTCATTATTTTTAGTATTCAACCTTATTAACAGATTTTTAAAGTGTTAGCAGAAGGGGATGTTTCTGAACAAATTTGCCATAAATATTCTAAAAGTTGCTCTCTGGTTTTGCATGCCCTTGCGAAGGTTGGCAGTGCAGTGGAAGGCAAGAATTAAGCTTGAGATATTGATAACATTGAATTGTGAATTTAGTATGGTGAAGGGATTTTTTTACAGTCAATATGCACTGATGTATAACTGCGTTAACTGATTATATTCTTCTTTTCCACTCATTTTTTTCATACATGTAGGTATCTCAATGCAATCCAAACCACCTGCCCCCATATCTTGAGGTACTTAACAACAGCTGTTATCACCAACAAACGTCGACGAACAGTACTCAAGGACCTTGTGAAAGTTATACAACAGGAGTCTTACACATACAAGGACCCCATCACTGAGTTCTTGGAATGTCTTTATGTCAATTTTGACTTTGATGGTGCTCAACAGAAGCTTAGGGAATGTGAAACAGTAAGTTTTTTTGGTTACATTTGTTGCTTTGTGTTTCACCTTCTGGGTTTTTTGTGCACTCTTTTCTAGCTTTTGAATACAGTGGTCTCTCATACATGTAGCTCCCTGACAGTGGGAGACTTTCTCATCACTTTGTGTCACATCACCTGCGACAGGGAGCTATAGGAGCCAACTGTATTCAGTGGCTAACACTTCTCATTCATTTCCACAGTTAATTTCATGGCAACATGTATATGCTGTGGTTCAATTTTATCCTCAGTTTAGATTTTATTTCCCTTTGGTTTGGGGTATGGTAATGTATGATAATGAGTTTAAAACAAAGGGAAATATAATTTAAACCAAGGATAAAATTGAGCCACATATAAAACCCAACAAAGGACTTCAAATCAGGGCCCGAAAAAAGTCCTGTGTGGTAGTCCAGGACTTGTGGATTTTCTTGCTGGGCAAGTTACTTTTAAAGCTCACTTTCTTGCCCAACCCTTTAAGCCCCAAGATCCACATACAAATTCTCCAGACTGATCTCCATACATTTCTTTTAAGAATAATTGAGAGAATTTGGTTTAAGATCAAAGCATTCTCCCTTTGGTAATCAATTTAGTAATTCTCATAACCTTTACTCTTGATGATCTGCTGATGTTGTTAGGAGAAAATTGATGTTGGTCACTCTTGGGACCTAAAGGGTTAACTACATCATTAGCTAAGATGAACAAGAAGAGGCCGGCCCCGGGCAAGCAAAATGTGAGAGCTGCTTGCCCAGAGCACAAACTAAAATTCAAGATTTTTTTTTTTTCCAAGCCTTGGAAATGTAAACTTGTGTTGCTCAATGCATTAACATTAATTTTCAGTAGACTTCTGCATGGATACCCTGGGTACCAGAGGTTTTTTCTCACGTGCGATGAGGAGCTTCGTCGGCCACGGGCGAAGACTCGAGCGGCAAAGCTGCGAGAAAAAACCTCTGGCGCAGGTCACTTTTTAAGACTTAACCGAAACCAGAAACCACGCATGAAAAGCCTCTGGCATCCAGGATACTGCATGGAAGGCTAATATCTTCAAGTTACCAATTTTTTTACTTTTGTAGGTTCTTCTGAATGATTTCTTCCTTGTGGCTTGTTTGGATGACTTTATTGAGAATGCAAGATTGTTTATATTTGAAACTTTCTGTAGAATACACCAGTGCATCAGTATAAGGTATAGAAACTCTTAAATTAAGTACTGCATCTTTCTCCATGATGCATGAATGCAGTCCATCATAAATGCATTCACTGCAAATAGTTTGTATGTCATCCACTGACTTAGCTTTTTTCTGCCCAAATGCTTTGTATTTTATTTTGTAATAATTTTATTGCTAACAGCTTCCTTTTTTATTCTCTTTTCATGTGCTCAAAAAATTTACTTCTCTGAAATGTAGTAAACATGATGCTCGTCCTATTTTTAAATGTGCTAAACTAGCTGTCGTTTTGATTGACAGCATGCTTGCTGAAAAACTGAACATGACTCCTGAGGAAGCTGAGAGGTGGATTGTTAATCTGATCAGAAATGCCAGACTTGATGCAAAGATTGACTCTAAACTAGTAAGAGAACTTTTCGTGTGGTATATTGCTGGTAGTTATAAAAGTTTGAAAGTTACTTACCCCAAAATTAATAGCTGGAAATTGTTTATTTTCTTTTATTGCAAAGTGAAGCAAGGTAAATAAGCTTCCTAGGTGCTAAAGTGAGAGAAGGCTCTGAGATTATTCGCAGAATTAAGGCCACTTTGTCGTTGCAGGGACTCTCATTTGCGTTGCTTCAGTTCTATTTACACCGGTTTCGCTTTTTGTCAAAGTTCGCCACCTACAGCGTACATACATACTGTACGCTTTCCGCTCTTCGAGGTCTAATTAGTTTCGCGCATGTGGCTTGAAGAACGAAGAATATTCACCCAAAATGTTTTTCTTGGTCAATTACAAACTTTACTTGAAGTGATCGAAATTTTTGTGCAATTTCACTGCTTGAGTTCGTATCGAAACGACTGATTTCCCCTACACACTAGGCTCGCTGCCTTTTGGCAAAGTCCAAAACTTTCACTTTCGGAGAGGCAGGCTTACAAAGAACGAGAAATATAAATGTTTTTTTTTCCTTGCGGGATAAAGGAGTTATTTTATATTGGATGTAATGTGTAGCAAACGTGTTGCGAACTAGGATGTAGCGGTTTCCACAAGTAGCGTAGCCGGTTGTTACCTTTCCAAGGATTTTAGGATCATTTGTTACAAGTTACAGTGAAGTGTCACCTTTATAGGCTGTTTCTGCGTTTGCCACCTCAATCCCTATTTGAAAAGAAGTTTTAACGAAATATCGATATTTTAAGCAGGTTGGTAGCTCTTCCCAGCGATGTCTTTGCCCTTGGGGTGGAGTCCTGAAAGGACGAGTCACCTTGCTATGCTGAGTGGCTTGCTAAAATATCCCGCGCCAGATTCTTAAGTTAACTCATCGAAAGTGAAACCAAAACTTCTTGCAACCTCACAGTCGTTTTTACCGCCCTAGAATTGGGCAATAAGTTGCTACGGTTATGTATTGGTTTATTTGTCGGTCAGCGTCTGCCGATTGGCTGAATAACTACCAAACTCATTTGAAAACCGCTCCATATAACACGTGATAATCAGGATTCTCTTACTTGTTGCCTTCAGGGTCACGTGGTCATGGGAACCCAGGCCCCCTCTGTGTACCAACAAGTGATTGAGAAAACCAAGGGCGTCATGTCTCGCACGCAAGAGCTGGCACGTAACATCGAAAAGAGGCTGAATATCGACAAGGCAGGCTATGAAGTAAGTTAATGTGCCTATTGATGCTAATAAAGGGGTATGCTACGGTTTCTGCAACCGATGCCTGTCTCCTCCAGTGCAATGTATCCTTCATTCTATATTTTGACCTCCTTTAAACCTCTTTTGAATTTCCCTTGAATCAGTCTCAAGATAATTTTATATGTTGCAAGTAATGACTCAAAATATTTTGACAGAGCTCCTCTAGGAACAATAGCTATAAAGTGGATTTATGCCTGCTATCTATCTATTTCGGGCGCACCCGCACTTATTTTATAAGTCTGTCCCATTCCCGCCTGTTGGCCATGACAGATGTAAGTCATGTAAGATCATGCCTCGAAACGCCGGTGTCACTCTCTAGTTGGCCATTAAAGATTTTTAGTATTCCGTTCTTTTTTCCCTCCTACACTAATCCGGGTAAATGTGAAAACAAAATGTGGCCAGAGAAATCACATGGTTATCGTGACGTCAGCGTTTCCGAAACGTTCTTTTTAAAATGTTGTCCATTCACACTAAAATTCAAGCGGGGTGTCAATTTCATCCACTTTGAAGAGCGTATTCAAAAAGAGCCGTTTCCAGATTAGGGTGGACGGTGGGCCTCGCCGTAAGAATGGAGTTGTGTTGTCTGGTCTACCTGGTGTAGTGTAGGCAAGGCCCAAGACACCTTACTCGACAGTTTTCATACTTGGCTCCGAGGCTTGGGGAATAAAACAAAAGAAATATTGTTTTCATCACTGAGCCATGAAGATGATTTCTTTGTTTTATTTGGAATTGGTTTATTGATTAGCTTTGTCCCATTGTTCTCGCATGACACGTCCTTTTTTTCCAAAAGAAGAAATCCTTGTTTGAATTACATGTGTCAAAAGCTTGTTGTGTTGAAACAAATTTTAATACTGATTTTCACAGAAGTTTGGATCGTATTGAAGCCATTTGTTTATCATTTATTAAACAAATGCACGCGCAAAACAGAAGCTATCTTTTTGGCCAGTTCTATAATTTGCATTGATATCTTGACACTGTTGGCTTAAAGTTGCGTCCATTCCGTGCACAGCTTGTCAAACAGCATTAATAATTTTCATTTTTAAGAATTTTATCAACATTTGGTCAACAAATGTTTGACGTTTACTAAACAAAAATTGAAAGTGTTCCAACAAGTCTTACAAAAACATTTTTTGTTTTTTTTGTTGTTGTTGTTGTTGTTTTTTTACCGTCGAAGCACCTAGGAGTTCTTGAGAACTCGTTGAAACGTGTCCGTGCGTTCCAGATGGAATTAGAATTTGAGAAAATGTTGCTTTTTGAGGAGAGGGAAAAACCGGAATACCCGGAGAAAAACCTCTCCAGGCGAGGGCGAGAACCAAGATCGAGTCAGATACGACCGCACACAATCATTATAATTTTATTCGACTTTGAGCTCGTTATCTCCTTCAATCCTCAAAATGAATCAACATATGTGTATAATCCCATCTTATTTATTTTTTTAGGGTCCTTGGGACGCATACGACCCTTCTGGATTCTTCAAGCATTGAAACATGCCCTTTGAAAAAAAAAAAACGTTAACTAATTCCATGAGGGTTGCCAAGTTGAGTGACCTGTGACACTACTCATAAATTCCATCCAAGTCAGAGATATTTATTTTGAATAAGCAGATGCACCGGCCATGTAGGCTTAGTTTCTGTGAATGACAAGTAGTTATTATATAGCTTAAACTATCAAATTTTTCTGGGTTTTTTCAGTTTTAACTTCTCATGATTTTCTGGCAAAAAAGCCAGATGAGTGACAGACCACTGTTCTAGTCTCCTCTGTAACGCCATCGTTGTTCCGACCTAGCCAAATGCTTGTTTGCATGGTACCTTAAACTGAGACATGAGTGTTAAAAAATAGATGATAATAATAGCAGAAAGGAATAAACTGCAAGCGAACATCTTGTGTAAGAATCTTGCTGTTAGTTTGAACTCCTGAATGAGTTTGAATTTTCTGTGCAGTTTATTTACAGACTCTCACCCCACTTTTCCTTTTTGAGGGGAAGGGGCGGCTGTACACTGGCTAAAGCACTAGCCTGACCCTTTTCCTTCCTTTTCCTCGGGATTTTTCCACCGTTTCCCCAAACAGAGAGCCTGTTCACAGGCTACTAATGCACCGCATGCCATCACCGAAAAAGAAGTGCGTTATCAAAAGGTCAAGCTGTCAAGAATGTACATGTACCAGTATTATTATTTATCTCCCATTTGAATGAGTTTCACCCAAAGACTCAAACCACACCAGAAGCCAGGAAAATTATTAACTTGAAGATATCATTATCCACGTGTTACTTAATAAAGAATCCGAATGGGTCGTTGCCTTCTTTATGTAGAACCTGTACTGTGTTTTTGCCTTTAAAAAAAGCTGTGTGCGCGAAAAACCTGTTTCAGTTGCTTAAATATTTCATTTCTGCTTTGCTATGTCTTGATAGCCGCAAGTTTAACCCTGACAATATAAACAAACTTTAGACAAAACAATGTGTGAGGCACAAGCGGAGCGGTGTTACAGTCGTATTTAAAAAAAGTAAATTAACAGTTGGCTTTTAATTGTCGCGCTTGTGGAAACATTTGGTTCGAGTGTATAGCACTTATGTTTTCGCAATTTTTTCTTGACTGTTAAGGTAATCTTGTAATCCCCTTTGTTCAGGTACAATAAAATAGTTATTTTTTATCTTTCTCCTTTCTGAAGTGATTACGTTTCAACTGGTTACGATAAAAGGTATTTCTCTGATGTAGCACGTCGCACTCAGGACAAAAGCACTTTGATGGGCTTTCGATCTCAAGCTGAAGCGTTTTTAAAAAGCCTTTTAGCATGACAGTCAACTCTGAAGATATGTCATACATTTTTAAATTTGTGAATCGTTTCCCATGGTGTAATCATTCAAACAAAACTTTTCCAAAAGTACTTACACATGATGCTATTAATGCTTAAGTATCTTGCAAATTGACATCTTCGACTTCTCTTCACGTGCGCTTGGGATTAAGTTGGTAAAGCCTTATATTAGAGAGCTTTAAGCAACATCGACGGCTACGAAAACGTCATCACTTAAGAAGTGAATTCGCCGGCGCTGCTTCAAACTTTATCGCGCTTATTCCATCTCGTTTACTTCGTCAAATGTTGGCAAATGGTTTTTGGAGTTGAATTCTAAAGGACTGTATCAAAGTTCAGAAAAAGCCGAAAAGAAAGTTGTCTTGTGTTCCCGTCTTCGACAAAACGTGAATTTAGCCACTTTCACGTTGTAGTCGTGCAGCGACGGCAAAGAAATGTACAAAAAAAGCGTGATGCACGTGCAAAGTTGTTGTTTTGCCAATCTAAACCTATTTCTTTTTTGCCGTTCTCGTTGCCGTCGCCCTCGCCGTTGCTTAAGCTCCCTATTATTCACTGATAATCCTTGAGCCTTTATGTTTATTATTTCGTATATGATGTCAGTAGTATTTTCCATCCTGCAATACGTAGTTCAGAGTCTAAGGTCAAGTTGAAGTTGTTGATGCGCCCCGACCGTTAGCCCAGTTGCTGGTAATTCAGGCCCCAGTTGTTCTGAAAGCTGAATAGCGCTATCCGCCGGATAAATCACAATCCGGTGGAAAAGTATTAAGGAAAATAATTGCTCTGTCCAGTAAAGAAAGACCCAATGGATAGCCTTATCCACCTTTTGAAGAACTGGGGCCAGATCAGTAAAATCTTCAAGATAGCAAGGGCTGAGTTCCTAGATTCTGTTTACTGTTGCGGAGATTTCCCTCATCTCTTTTTGTTTTCCACTGAAAAAATGAACCGAACTCGCTATCATAATCACCAACTGGGATCAAAGCTATACTGTAGTTACCACATGTGAAGCGTTGAATCCGCCCGCAAACACTGCCTCCTCTATATATGTACTTCTCCATCTCATGATCCCAAACAGTACACAACTTCTGTTAAATGACGCAGTTTAGCACCCCGTACAGTGATAGTTCCTGCTCACCTTGAAGATAGACGTTATAACGTGAAGGGACAACAAAAAATCCACAAAAAGTAGATAGCTACGATGGACACAGTCTGTATGATGAAAAACAATTCTTGGATGATCATAATATTTCCTAACGCTTATCGCAGCCGCCGCGAGCTGTATTTTGTCATTTTCTTGCTCTCGCAGTACTTTTTAATTTACACCCGTAGAGGTTTATTAGCATAACAGCATCAAACTCGTTATTTTTTTGCGATACGTGCGAACTGATCATTCAAGTCGATGACAGCTTGGATAACGATATGTCGTGCTTGAGGTAAAGTAATTATCAACCAGTTGTTCAGATATCATCAGGTGCCATTGTGGTTAGTTGACGTTTAATTGTCCACGACCAAGAACAATTGAAATGCGCTTTTTTGCGAACTACACTACTAGGACGACAGCCACTTTAATTCAAATCCTTAAATGCCAGTGAAGTTCAGTATTATTCAAAAGTCCCCGTTGATTTTGATTCCTATTCTGACTGCAGTGACCACTTTTTCGTTATTCCAATATAACCAGCAGAATTGATTGTGTTTTTTAATGCGTGTAGTAGCCTCAGTGAGGTTAAAGTAATATTTCGTATAAACACAAATAAAGAAAAACCGTAAGGGGTTCTGGTAATTTCATACGAGTCATGTGACGCTACTATGTAAATATCCTATTACATTTACGTTTTTTTTTTCCCCACTTTTTCTCTTCAGGTTTTTCAATTTTTAGGTCCTTTTTTTCTTCTTCTTTTTTTTTCCTTAAGGGTATACCACTCTTGTAGAGGAGAACAGCGTAGCAGAAAATTAAACCGCTTTCCAAAAACATTTTCTACTAAAACGACAAAATATCAATGGTCTCCCACCCCCCCCCTCCCCCTCCCCGCACCCGCTCCTTCCCTAAGTTTTCTTGTGATAAGGGAACAAAGAGAAATGTCAGAATGGAGAGCTTTCGTTTTGTTTGTCATGATGAACAATAAGATCGACTGAGGACGCGTCGAATGGACAGTGTTATTACTTAATTGGACAACAGAAAAAACTATAAAAAGTAGATGGCGATAGACACTGTTTGACGAAAGATATTCTTGAATGATCGAAATACAACCTGGCGCTTATCGCAGCTGCCGCGAGCAAAATGTCGTCGACATTTTCGTGGTCTCGTCTAGTGTTTATTATTCATACTGCACTTAACAATAGGAGCAGTTCCAAGTTCATCGAAGTTAACGATAAGCTAATGGATATTTTCCAGGCTGTATTAGTCTATTAAATATATATGACTGTTACTCAACTCAAGATAACGTTCAAAGAGCTATTGAAAATTGCTGTTGAGTCGGTGGTAGAGAAGCATTGAACGTTTTACGATAGTACAAGTTGGGTATACTCGATTTGGAATACCCTTGCCCTAGTGCTTTTAGCGTATAAGAAGGAATCTAAGTTCTGAGAACCGATTTCGCCAACTCCATTCCTAAAAGCTAACGTACCAAACAGGTGAAAACGTTTTAGCCTTCGACATGCAGACAGAGGCTCAAGAAACCCTACTGGACTTTGCAATAAATTGATAAGATAGAAAGGATAGAAGGGTTAGTTTCAAAAAAGACAAAAAAAATGTTTGCGTCGGTGGCGGAGTTAAACTCAATAATTTGGCTTTCATGACTGAGTTGTTGATTGGTGGAAATAAGAGGACCTAACCCCCCACACAGTGTCAATAGTTAACAAAATTGAGCGACGTTTTGCTATTTTAATTTGCCCTTTTAATAGGCAATTTTACAAACGAAATTCTCAACCGATCTAAAGACTCGCCCCCTTTTTTTTAAACAACTCATTTTCGTGCTTCGGGCTCCCATTTTTGGCTGCAATGTCCTATAAATATATGAAAAAGATCAAATAAAAACCTCGGAATTTCATTTTCAATTGTCAACGTTGTGCTCATCATTTATTAAAGGACCTGCAATTTAAATTTAATTTAAATTTTTTATGCTTCTATGGCTTCTGGCGGGCAAGGCAAATTGAGTTTTTGGCACAAGTCGTTCACGCCACTTCAGTCACACAGCCATGGAAGCGCTTTAAAAGCTCTTAGCATTAGTGCTGATAATCCTCAGCAAAACTCAGGATGTAAAGGCGCTCTCGGCTTACCACTAAATAACATACACCATGTTTGAACACGTGACCCTGGTCTTGGGAGTGCTAATAGTTTATCTTGTGGCCGGCATGTGGGGAATCTTTATCGGCGAATGTATCTATAACCATTGTATTAGCGACTCGTGACAGAGATCCTTCAAGCGAATGAATGACTCGCAGTAATTTTCTACCTCGAGCTCCAGAGATGCGGCTGATGCATGAAATTGAGTTTTTCAAAAGTGGCTGCCAGAGGTTGCCAGCAACACATCACTGATGCTAATGTCGACACTGGATGTAACAAACCTCAGGAGGACTAACTTGGAGTGTTCTCTTTTTGCGTGATGAACTGTTGTTCCTGAGACAAATGAAAGCACCAAAGAGTAAGGCGCCTTATAACGTGGGAACTGACTATTTTCTGCTTTGCGTAGAGACTGAAAGCAATTTAACTTTTCATTAAAACCAGATTCATTTTCACTTAATAAAACAGCTTGCGGTTATTTCATTTTATTGTTTGGAAATTTTGTATCTTAAGAAACTTTTCGGACAATGCTTAGCTAGTGAAATCCTTTCTTTTCAGAAACGACGGAGGCGACTGAAGTCGAAGAACGACACTAAAACGAGATTTAGTAGAAATGTTATAAATGTATTCATGTTTGGTTTTGCCACCCGTAAACTGGGGATTGTACCTCGCAGAAAACAAACCCAACCTCAAAACTTCAGTTTAAACTAACAAAGCGAAAAAACTCGTAAAACCTCCGAAACACACTTGATCTTTATCCTCCAAAAAAAAAAAAACAAAACAAAAGAAAAACCGAAAATAACCATAAACTCCACTACTCCGACTCCGGAACTAGAAAAAACGAATGACTGGGAATCAAGAGAGCTGCATTTAACCGGATTTTTAGGCAGATTCCAAACCATTAATGCTAATCTTTGGCCTGAGTTTTAGAACCCTTTGGAGTGAGAAAACTGCGGACTATTTCAATGCGAAAACGTCGCTGATTCTTTCAATTGAGTTGACCACCCTTAAAGCTCTGGGATGTTGACATCTCAGTTGCACAGTGCGCAGTTAACTCTTGTCCCAGCGAACTATAAGAAGGGAGGACTAGTGGACGCCCGGCAGCTTCTTAATCTTTTTTTGCAGTGCACAATTTAAAATCAACTTCCTCGTTTCCTATTTTGTTAAGCAGCCTAGCCTGCGCTCATTAAGTAAGCTTTCTTTTTGAAGAGAACCGCGAGGACAACGGGTGGAACGCGAGAAGCGAGCAATACATAACTTGCTCGCAGGCAATAATTTTCTTTCATTGCTAAAACCAGTACATCGTATCTTTAAAAAGGCTAACTTAATTTTGTTTATTGACCATAAAAGAAGTTTTGTACATCCTTGTTTGCCGTTAATGACTGAATTCCACGGTCCAGATATTCTGCCACCGTTTTCTTCAACTTTCGCCTTGGGTAGTAACAGTCGCACAAAAGAAGTTTAGAAGTTTAGTTCTCTTGTTTATACTACACAGTTATCAACGTCTCTTCGCGTGCTTACTCATTGTCATAACCTTTAATGTGGATCCATTTTTGAAAAGAGCTTCCTGTTGAAATTGCTGTTTATGAAGTCGATAAAATATCAGCCTTCAAAAATTACAACAATTGATGTAGTTCTCTCGATGGCAGAAACAAGGCCCAAGTCAAGCAATTTTTTACAGTGAAGTTTTCGTGAGTAGCAGGTGCCTTAGAGTTCTCAATCGAAAGCCTGTAATTCGATTTTTTCAGTTTAGGAAGCCCGCTAAAGACAATCGTTATTAATGTATCCATTTTCTTGCGGCTGTCCTGCCCTGAAACACTGTCCAATAAAATACGCTTGAAGAAGCGCTAATGCCCCAATTAGTCCGACAGCCAAAGCAGCGACGAAAATTGTGATTGTTCCAGCCATTAGGGAGAGATGTGGGATCGCATTCGAAGTTTTCCTGTTCCCGGTTTCTTTCAAGTTACGACCACATTTACTTCGATACCATTTTTCTGTTTATTGTTTTGTGTAAAGATAATCTCCCTGAACGCTATTCATGTCTGGCGTGCGCTTGAATTTGTGGGTAATTTTAATGTGAGGTTCAAAGTCTAATTACAAGGCGTGGCTTTTGAATGACACTAGTTTACTTGTTATTCACCGGCCTACCAGTAGATATCAGCAATCACGAGTTCTGATTGGCTGCGTACTTTCAGCTGCTCAGCTCTTATTCAATTTTTGCATCATCTTTCATTGTTACCAGCAACAATGGATTTGCTGAAATTGTTATGGCGGTTCGATAGTGTCTTTTTGTCCAAATGAATCAATAAAATAAAAAAATGAAACATTACACGCTAGGGACGGCGGAAATTTCTCCAGGTGTTGGAGGGAAGTGGGCTGACTTGCGACTTGAAGCGGATATATAGGATCGCTCCTTGTACCAAGTATTCATGATTTTGGAATGCCCTGCGCACCACCCCACCCCCCCCCCCCCCGTCCCTTTCATTCCAGTCCTGAGGATAAGCCCCTCATTTTCATAGTGCCCGGAGACATCCAAAAAAATAAGCCCCTCAAAAATTTTTGGATCTCAGCGTTGAACCTTTGTTTTGAAAAATAAGCCCACATGGGGCTTATTTTCTAGAAACCGAACCTTGAATTTTAACAAAGGTATTTTTGAGTTTTTACTTTTTCCGTAGTTTATTTTTTATTTATTCATAGTCCGTTTTGGTCCCGGGCTCCGCCCCAAGATCCAAACCTTACCCTTTTTATACCATTTTCGACAGAAAAGCTACTCCTTGCGTATACCTTTCATTGACAAGTGGTACCTCTTTTACATACCTAGTTTAGACCTTTTTCATCCCTTTTAACTGCTGTGAATTTACTGTCTTTAAAATATGAGTAAATTACAAAACCAGAACGTTTTCTTGACTTTTTCACAGCCATAAAATGCATCTGTTTTCTGTTTCCTTTTTGGAGGCTTTTAATTTTTTACCAACGGACAAATTTCCCTATATCCTGCTTTAATCCATATACTTTAACAAGTGAGATCCGTTCGCTTTCGTATACCTGAAGCTTAAAAAAGGTACCCTTCGGGCTGGTCCTCTCCATATAGGCCATCGGTCAGGAGGGAAAAGGGACTTTTCTTGCTTGCAGGGCTCCCTTTGTAAGGCCGGCGGCGTGTCTTGGGCGTGGTAACAATAACCTCCAATCAGAGAGCCTTATGTTAAAGAACGTCGATCATTTCAAGTCCAGTTTATTTAGTGATATTATTTTGCGATTTTCAATTTAAAATATGCTGTTCTTAATACACCCTTGAAAGTTAAGGATAAAAAATATTCACGATTACACTGTCATTTCGAACGTGACTAACGTTCAAGGAAAACATTCTGATATATTAATTTTTGGTCACTAAAATTCATCTTTGTTAGTCACACACAAAGAAATATTTAATCATGAAGCAAAATTCTACTCGTTATATTAAACTTGGCAAAGCCTACTGATGTTGTTGACAGTTTTCTGTCATGAAAAAATATAAACTAAAAAGATAAAAAAAACTTTGGTGAACAAGGTATTTTATAGCATACGTGCATATCTATGAAAAAGGAGATTCACTTAGTTCTAAACAGTACGCTGTAGTGACGAATGGTCTTTCAGCCTTAATACTTGAAATGAACTTAAAACGAAAGTAAACAGTCTTGCTGCAGGTGGCTTATGTATTTACCATGAACATCTCCAGAAATCTTGCGTTATGTCGTGAAAGGCTTCATTTCCAACTTTTGAATCTCCACCTATTCGCGAGTAGATAAAGATCTCGGGTTGCGTTCTTTGCCGGGGATTCGTTGAAAACTTCTGTGAAGATAGCTTTTATTATATTCACGAAAAATATACCAGAATAATAACTAAACAACCGTTGGGACTATTCATCAACGAGGAATGTTTATTTTTGTATTTAACAACAAACCGCGTTATTTTAAATTTTTCACCCAAAACTGCATGACCATTCTGCAGCAGCTAGGCTGAATTATAGGGATGATCAACCTTAAAGGACGTTAATAGTCAGTGAATAATATTGGGCAGACCGCGTACGAAGTGACGAACTCCTGATTTCAATCTAACCGCATTCGTTCTCGCATTGAATTGGAAAAATGTCATTAGTATGTTTCGTACGTTTTTCTTTACGGGCTTCTGGATTTAAGACTAACATGTTGATGACCATCTTTCAGTTTTTTTTTTCCAAGCATAGCCAATGCTGTTTATTCTGATCTTTATGCCCAATAAAAACAACCAAACATGCCCCAATAGACATCGGTCACTAAACTATAATAACAACTTACTGATACAACATCCTTGATAGAAAGTCTTTACAAACTTCATGATTTTCATTGCTTTCCTATTACTGAAGATACAGTTATTATTTTCTGTAATACAATCTCTAATATAAAGCTAGCAACTGCATCGATCATGACAGTATTAACATAAACACAGTAGTCTACAACCACACCGAAACCGTACGCGTACATTCACGCATACTAAGGAACTGATAAATGTCCTTCATGGTCCTAACTAACAACATTGAATATTTCAGTTATTACAATGTGGTTATCAGTTTCTCAGTCAGTTTGATTTTGTATTTGGAATATAACCGTTCCACATGAAATAGTTACTACCACTCCCAAAGTCTAGGCTCAGTTCATGTTCAACAGCAAATGTGCACTGTTTTAGTCTTGAATTTCATGGTAAGATGCTATTGTCACAATAGTTTTTGTCTCCCTTGTTGAAGTCTGTCATTCTGTAAAGTCTTTGAGGGAAAAAGATTCTTAGTGGTACATGCCGTTTTCATCTGGGTAATATCTGACAACGTAGTATCCTCCAGGAACCCGGTAAGCGTGTTCGCTTTTTGAAATAGGACCTCTTGCCAAACAGAACCTTCTAAAAAGGTACACTTCCAGTAACGTGAATGCTGCAAGGGTTCCGATGAAGAATATCTCACAGAAGACCATTTTCTTGGTGTCAAGCCGTTATTAGCTCGTGAATCTCTTGTCTGCGTAGTTAATTACACTCCACCGAATCTTGTTCCGCCAGCTGATGCCACTTCTTGTTAAATTTTGGCAACTGAGCTTTCTTGATATAGATTTCCTTGACGTTACGAGAGCCTAAATCGGTAATTGGATATCAACATGACCTGTTCAATTTGTTAACAATAGACCACCAGACATACAGGCTTCAGATCCAGAATTCTGCCCCTAAAACGGGTGGGGTCAACTGTCATTTTAACACCTTTAGACCATGTTCCCATAAATCCGTTCATTTGTACCGTTCTACACACTAGGAGGATATTTGTTCTTGTACAAAGTGTTTCCTCTCCGGACACCCTTCACAATGATAGTTTACTTTGATCAGTCTCGCGTTGACAGCTGTCTTAACGCAAAACCAATTACTGTCTTTGAACCAGCCAATTGCAATACTAGACGTTTGAGGACTGAAATTATTTATATTTTTTTCGGGAGGTATTGGAGGGATTTAATCCGGCCTCTAGGTGTTCCTAGAGGCCCCGCCCATCTGAAATGGCTATGCAACACGATCTGCCTCAGTAGAAAGTTACAGCAGGTGACATTCCCAGATAACGTGCCTTATGTCGTTTAACGTTCCATTTCAGAATTTTAAATTCCCTGAACTGCACAAAAGTACGAATAATGATTAATCTTTGAGATTAGCGATTGTCAGGCCCGGAACTCCTGAAGGTTTTTTTATAAAGAGCAGTCAGAATATGAGCGTTTCCCACAACTGCTGTAATGGACAGAAAAAAAAAATCGGACGACCGAGAACGAAGGCGGCTAACAACTAGAGAAGGAATTCAACCGAGACGCCGAGTTGAAATTGATTAGCCTTACCCCTAAAACGTCTTGCGAAAGCTCCTAAACTCCTCCTTGCCAGGGGTTAACTGAAATTAAAATTGCGAGATTTTTGTTTTTGCCAGCAGAAGCTCATTTTTTTATGTAATACTTTCAAACTAAAGTATCGTATCAAGGAGCATGATGTATTCACCGTTAGGCTAAATGCAAGGAATGATCAACCTTGCCTTTCATGATTAGACAGAGAAGGTATCAAGAGAAATGCACGCATGAAATCAGGGATGTCATAATCGGTTCGTGTGATAATTCATGTGTTTACAATGAGGACGCTCAACACTAAAATGCTTCTTTACTGTCCTCTACGTCTCTTGAAAACAACCCAACACTACTGTGTATTTGTAAGACAATCGTAAATTATCTTATCATGGACAAAACGTTTTTACAAACTTTGAGCATGTCATTTCTTTGACGCAGATGTAGTAAATTTATCTTGCTAGTATAAATAAAGCTGAGAATTAGCTCAGTACCGCAGTTTTAAGACTTCATTATGAAAAGCTATGCGGAACTATTGATGCACGATTCACTTGGTGTACAACAACACAAACCTTGCACATTTCTGCACTTCTTGCTATTTAGTCTACAGGTATGAGGTGCAGTTATCAGTTCCTACCCTATATACCGTTAAATATTTCAGTTATCGTCCACGGTTATCAGTTTCTTTAAGATAATGTGAATTATCCATACAAACTCATGCAATAACGAGTTCCAAATTAGTAACAGTTCACGTTCAGAATCTGTCACTTCTCTTTTCTCAGGCGTACAAGCCATCTTCCCCTGGGTGAGGTTTGATAACGTACCCTGAACAGAATCTGTTAAAAAGGTATACTTCCAGTACCGCGAAAGCCGCAAAAGCTCCAATGAACATTATCGCACAGAGTACCATTTTCGCTTGGCGCCGAAATTCTTCAAGTAATATAATGTAGCGTGGTGCAGCTGCAGGAAACCCTTCCTCTTCAACTGACGCCGCCACTAACCGGGGCTTTTCGAATGATTTTCCTCGTCAAAATCGGTTTTGATGTCCGCAGGACTTTTGCAATTTAACAATTAACAATAGACCACCATGCGTACAAACCTTAAATAAGAATTCTTTGACCAAGAGAGGAGGAGCAACTGTCACTGTAAAATCTTAAATTGTTCCGTTGATATTCTTTGCTTTTGCTTTGTGACGAAGAGTCTATATTTCTGGGCATTAAACCATAATTTTTCGTCATTTCATAAAAGAATATTTAAATCCATTTACAAGATATATAACAGGTGAAAATGTACCTTGCCTGTCTCCTCAAAATTTGGTTTTCCCACGTAATGGTTTTCTTTTACTAATTTCAAGGAGGACAAGGTTCGAGTATGGCTTGCAAATTCCTTTCAATATTGGCACCTTACCATTTTACAATTTGTTTTTATTTACAGAGACTCCGAATCTGATTCCGAATTCGTTTGTCGTGTTCACACATAACATTTGCCGCTTTCCCCTAGAAATTTTGTTCTTCGAATACCTTCCAAGATGTTCGGTTTGTTTGGAAAAATTTAACACACTGCTAAATTTCCGTAAATGCAAACCTGGTGTTTCGTATACTTTTAATTCTCTTTACAAATTAATTTCATTTATTTACTCATCTTCGTCATCTAATACATGGACTGGACTGGACTTGCTGATAACTTGTTAAAAATAGGCCGTGCACTCAAATATGGATAGGGAAAATCACTGAAGTTAATAATATCGTCACAAGAGTTAAACATCTATTCCTCCACACAATGCATACTAATCAAGCCCAAGAGCAGGCTACTCCATGTATTTTTTGTGAATCATAAGAATTAATATTTTTTCCCTGGCCCTTGCTAACAACTGAAGGTTGCTGAATTTCCATTGTCCTTGAAGAAAATAAAGCTGGTTTGCAGCGTACCAGCTGCTTCAGTACTTTAGTTCCCATGGCAGCGCTGTTCAGAACTTGATGTTAAACATTAGCATCTCTTAATATACCGCTTCGGAAAATAACAGGCCCAAAAACAAATGCAGACTGTTCAGTCCGTTTCAGTTTATCGAGACTCGACGCTGTTGTTCATTTGATTGAATTTTGGATTGTTATACACACTCCACTGTTTTGAAAAACTCTCCACTGATTTTACAAGCGCGATTAACGATACAGGCTTCCATTTAGTGAGGTTGCTACTGGGTAGGAATTTTGTCGATTCTCTCCCCGAAGGCTCCTAGTTGCTTGTCCTTAGAAGAACCTTTTGCTATACAAAATCGTCTAACAAGATAAACATTCAAAACAGTGGATACCACCAGAGATCCAATAAAAAATGCCTCGATGACTATCATCTTGACAAGCGTTTGTTGTTCTGCTTACTGAAACTACGGTGGTCTGCTTCACTAACGTTTGTATACGGAACTAATCTCCACTTCCCTCGTCGCTAAGGACGCCAAGTTATAAGGACGAAATTAAAATATTGGGTCTAGCACCTTGCTTGGTGACAACGAGGTTCCAGATGTGTCGACCAACAATAAGGCTACCTGCTTGCGATTTGTTTACGCATATTAACGGGAATGCAAACTTAACGCGCAATGCGTAGCTCAGTCGGTATTTATGAATAAAAAATAACGATGTATTGATAGCAAGCCAACAAAACTACTTGATTAACGCCAAGTCTTCTGAGACGCCTAGGGAGAGCCTGGAAAACGGCACGAAAGCAAGTGACACGACCGCCTTAACAAAAAATGGAATAAACACTGCAAATAATACAAGGCCGCAGAAGATATTTCCTAACAAGGATAATAATGTTGGGACCTGTATTTCATCGTGGAAAGGATACAACCCTTAAGACCTTAGAGACAATGTGTAATGCGCGTGCGTGGCCGCAACAATGTTGGAAGAACGGTGCAAACGGATCCAACATTGCTGCGCTACGCTTCGACGATCACGGAACTAAGAAATGTTGGGAGATGTTGACTCAACAGTTTGACCGGTTTCAAACTTTGCACAAGAACTCCCACCAACACGCAACAGGGTGTGCAAACGGACGCAACATGTAACCTCTAACAATGTTGGGGGTTGCTGGCAAGCAATGCTGCGTCCGTTCGCACAGGGCTTTACAATAAACGCGGACTGAGTGATGTCTGGTTCGTTCTGTGGTCGAGAGCCATAGGCTTTGAGAGAATAGACTATTAAGGAAATGGGAGCGCGCGCAACTTCCTAAAACAACTCTGCAGTGAAACTACTCATCAGTAGTTCGTGGATCCATTTGAGTCATTTCCATTCACGTCATTTCGATTCGAGGCCTGACAAGAGTATAGAAAACGGAAAGTTGTCTATTTGTTAAATGTAGACCATAGAAATGACCTCAATTGAAATGTTTAAGACTTCCAGTAGTGAAGCCATTCGGCCGCGGCTTGTGGTTCCACTTGCGTGTCGTTGGACGTCATTTCTTTGGTCAGTAAAGAACAAAAAGCGGAAATTGTCAAGAACAGCAGCATGAACAGAAGAGTGTTAGGCTATACATCTTCTTTCCCGAGAGTCACGCTTATTCATATTCTCTAGCATGGATTAAAGGATGTCTCAATTACCCGCTGATTTTGTTGTAACTCAGTGAAAAGACACGTCAGAAGTACAAGTAACGTACCGTATTTATTCGAATAAGCGCCCAACTCGAATAAGCGCCCATCCTAAAGGCAGAAAAAGTTAATAAGCGCCCAGCCTCGAATAAGCGCCCACCCCCCCCTACCCCCTTGCCCCTCACACCCCCCCCCCCAAAATTGAATAAGTACTAATAAGAGACTTCCCCGAAGACGGAGTTTTCTTCAGAGTATTTTACAGAAACCTTGCTTTGTTACATCTTCGCGTTTTGTTTTTACTATTTACTGTTTTGTTGCAAAATAAACATACTGCACTTGCTGAAGTGTTGAAAATTTAATAAGCGCCCAGCCTCGAATAAGCGCCCACCTCGAATAAGCGCCCACTCTCAAGGTACAAAAATTTAATAAGCGCCCAGGGCGGTTAATCGAATAAATACGGTAATTTAAATATGAGGAGTTTCTAGGGTGTAGCTCGAGGGGCGGAGGCGGGTGCCCTTGATCTCAACCAGTACACAAACACTTCACACAGTTCCAGCTAATTAAAGTTAAATTTATGTGAATCTAATGCGAGAAGTGACAAACGTTATGTCAGGGACTGAAACATTTTTCGGCTAACATAACCGTATTCATAAAAATACAACCAGAAAATACTAGACGTTTCAAGAAGGTAAGGGGGGGTCTTCGAGACGGGTTGCTCCCATTTCGAATTAGGGAAAGGCAAAAAGTATCATACATTTAGGGAGAGGAGTTGTTGCACATTTTTTAAGTGTTTCGGTTGTTGACCATGTATTAGGAGTTTTTTTCACTAAATTGAATTATTAAAAACAGCAAGTAACAAATCAACAAGCTTTATTGTTATTTACATCTACTATGCAGCTTACACTAATGTTACTTTCCTGAACCAATCACCTCCTATCATTAGCCAAAAAATTGTCCAATGATAGGCAAACCTCTTTTCATAATACATATGTGAGCAGTAAGGCTATGCTGCAATGATTACCTTTTTTTATTTGTTTTGTACAAATTCGCACTAAAAATTAAGTTAACGTTCTAAACATATGAAGACGACACAGTAAAACGGAAATAGACTTAATACCGATATAATAAAGCCGAGATGGCTTGCAAATGGCTTTCTTCACATATTGTTTTCTCGTTCAGTGTGTTTAAACAATATGCGAGGATATTCTATTTGTTAACTTAACACTATCAAAGTGATAAAAAAGAATCGAAAAAAATGAACCTCTAATCTCTTCAGGTATAACGAATGATTTTCTTTACCCACGTTATTAATAGTAAAATAAATGAAAAAGAACCTCGATATATTCGTTATAGCGAACAAATTTTGCCAGTTCTTAGGCCCTTCATCATATAGAGGTTCCATTACATGCTAGCCAAAACATTACAAACGTAAAGTAAACTGTATTTGTGCCATTCATTCATAATTAGAGAAGTAGGAGAATTTACAGAATTTAGGTGCTCTATGTCTGAGGGATGAACATGTAAAGCATCCAAACTCTCTGCAAATCATTATTGATATTAATTTTTTAACAATAAATTTTAAGACTATTGCCAGGCTACTAATATTCTTAATACCTTGTAAAGAAAAACAAACTGTTTTGATAAATGACTGTTTGCTTATATTTACAAGTCTGGAATGCTGTGATCCATGGTCTTCTTCACAAGTCCCTCTCCCATGCTAGAAAAAAAAAAACCAAAAACGGCAAAATACATAATTAACACTAGTAGCAATCAGAGATCAGAGTACCACATTGAATAGTCCATTTCATGCCATCTGCCCCTATGAAGTCAACATACTGTAACTCCTCTATTAAGCCCTCCACCCCTCCTCCCCTGGGGGGGAGGGGAAGGGGAGCTATTTCAAACACATTAATTGAGAATGGGGCTTAAAAGAGATGGTGGGGAGGGGGGAGGGCTCATTTGAGAGGGGGGCTTATTTAATTTAGCATAGACAGTTGTATCAATTCTCCTGAAAGAATTAGAAGGCAAAGTGGTCATGCAATCAAGGATCAAAAACAACTCCAAACTTCCAGTTGGTGAATAAACCATCCCAGATCAGTCAACACAAAGTTTTACAGTTGTGATTGATTAATACAGTCTATCAGTCATTGGTGAAGAACTGGAATGGAAGGGGGCTTAAAAGAGAGGGGGGTCTTATCAACTTTCTTCCTCTGAAAAGGATGGAGGGTTTATTGGAATGAGAGGGCTTAATAGAGGATTTACCATACTGTATGTCTGTGGTATGTCATCTCTAAGCTTATTTTGATAAAAAGGTTGTAATGTACCCATAATCTGTTACATTCAATGTATGTTTTTCAATATTTCTGCTCAAGTATCCAATTATCTAATATTATATTTTTGACACTAAGCCTTGAATCAGTCAACAGAAAAAGGCACCATGTACTACCTTTTTACTAATAAAAATCATTCTGCAGTTGTATTATCTACAGTGCAATGCCTGGCATTAAAATAATGGTGGGAGGGAAGGGTGTGAGGGAAAATGAGGATAACAGAATTGAAAACACAAGATACAAGGCTTAACCAGAAATTCCTTCAACTTCACCAAGAAACAAAGGACTAGTGGAATAACCAAACAAAATTCAACCTATGATATGACGACATTAATTAGTAAGGAATAAATGAGCACACTTACCACTTGATTATGTGCTCATAAATAAATGTAGGAATGACTGTCAAAGTGATGGTCTGTCCACCTTTTTCAAGGATTGCTTTGATATCGTTATCCTATAAAACAAAAAGTATTGGTTATTGTTACTCTCTATTATACACACCCTCTGGGGTACAGAACACTGTAACAAGGTTTTTAGATACAATTCCATGTTACAGTTTTTGTTGAACACATCACCCTTATCAAACATGATGGGTTTCACTGAAAACTTTTACAGGCGTAAAACAAAAAGGTGGATGGGAAAAGAAACATGATAATTATTGAGAGTTCCTGATGTCCAAATTCTGACAAGCAAAATGGCCATCAGAAACTTGATAATTTGCAAGAAGTTGGACTGAAACTGCGATAGCAAGGAGGGTTACCATAAACACACTATAGTAAAATACTATCAGCCACATGACTTCCTCCACAAAAATGTGAAAGTTCAGACTTAACACATATTAACCCCCAACCTAATAATAATAATAATTAATAATATTAAGGCACAGTCCCATGTACGCAGAGCTTAACTCAGGACTCTGGCAAGAAAAGGTCCTTTGAAAAATATGTTTCATTTAGGATTAAGTTTATTTACTGCTAGTTGTAGAGTTGATTATCTCACATATCATTGAGATTCAAAAATGAGAGTTGTGACAATATAAACACATATAGCAGCTTTTGAAGACCTGTGCTATGAAAATAGTCTTCTCTGCTGCTCACCTTTAGTCCCACAACATTCTGTCCATTCACCTCCACAAGGTTGTGTTCTGTCAGTAAACCATTCCTATGAAAATAAAACCATATGGATACATTGTAAAACCAAGTACCAAATAGACAGTCGATTCCCTCTTAGAGCTGAGGACACCATTGCCATTAGCATTAAGTGTCTATCTTTCAGAAGCGACTGGCTTCTGGGGAGTCAAGGAAAATGACTAAAGAATAGCACGGACTAACTCAGTGAGGGCTCCATTCTCAGAACTGTCCAGTAACCTTCTATTTTTCTAAGCAAATAAATCAGGAAAAAGGTTACATTTTAAAAAAATTACTGTATCTGCTTATTTGTATACTCAAAATAATACTGGTTGAAGATAAAGAAAGAGTGAATATGTGATACTGGTCTCGTAAGGTTAGAAAAAACCCATCTAATTCAACATTGACATTTGTTACAAAAACTATTAAGTTGAAAACACTATGATGAACAAAGCAAGCAAACAAACCTCGCAGCTGATGTGTCTTTGGCAATCTGAGTGATTTTACCATTTTTAAAAACAAATCCTACATGGCCAGAACTGTCCTTCTGTAAAACAATGGTTCGTTCAAATGGCCTGAAATCAGAGTATATAAAAAACATCAATGAATTAGTGGATTCCTCCACTCAAAACATCCCCGGCGGCATGGAGTGAGGAAAAACAGCTGTTTTCACAGGCTAAAACAAATGAGAAAAAAAGTTAAAATCTAACCTGTCTCTCACAGCAAACACTACTCGCTGAGACGAAGCATTCTTCAAAATCTTCATGACTTTATCACTGCTGTATCCAGCCAAAGTCTCACCATCAATCTGTAAAATCTGGTCACCAAACCTCAAGCCACCAAGTGCTGCAGGAGAGTTTAAATGCACATACTGTACAAACACACCCTTGTTAACAGCACGCACACGCAACCCAATCTTTCCTTGCCCATCCTTGCAAAGGACAACCTCACGAACACCTTGCTTGATTTCAGCACGGCGGACACCTAAGTTGTTGTCTCCACTGACAGGGGCAATCATTCCACTGATTTGGGGTACAACAGCACCTTGAGGTCTGGGGACTACTGCAGCTGTCTGCAGAGACAAAAAGAATTGTTTTACTTTATAAATAAGAGTAAAAGCTTTTTAAAAATTCTCACGTTGTATCTGGAAATATATAAGTTGTGTAAAAATTCCTTTCAGATTATCATTATCATCAGTAACAATCATGGTCAGTGACAGCTTATAATGGATACCTATTTTAAGGATTGATTAATAGATTTACATGTACTACATGACAGCTGCTATACAGCAGCTTTTGTGAAACAAAAGTATTTTAGGTGCAAATCAATTAAATAAAAATGATGCTCACATAATTAGGAACATGTTGCCTAACAGATGCCTCAGAAACATTTATCCCCATGTAGTCATCAAGTGATGGATAAAGGCTGCTGCCAGGGGTCGGAGCTGGAGCTCCAGGCTGTGGCTATAAGAAATACAATAACTTACATTAAACATAATTAGTTCTAAACTAATGGTTTACTGTCGATAAAGCTGATATCTAATCGAGGGCAACTGGCATTTTATTGTTATGAAATAAAATAAGACTTCCTTGTCACCCAAAGGCAAACTTGGGCCATCAGGGGCTATTAGGCTCTGCTATACTACAGCTCTCAGAAGGAAACAACTTACACAAAGGCAAGCAAATTTACAGTTGTGTATTTACACCACATTTTATGAATGGAGCCTTTCCCCCTCCCTCTTGCGCAGACTTGCAGAGTGGCAGGCAAATAAGGTTTTAAGTTTTGTGAGCATTTCACAAAATTGTTCACCTAGTTTGCCTGTCAGTCTGCAAGTCTGCAGTGTGAATTTGTCAACACACTCCATCCCCCTTCACCCACATGCTTTTAGCCCATTTTTGTAACTGGGTAAGAGTCAAATTACTTCACCCTTACAAGGCTAAATGAAATAACCCTGGGGGAGTAGCGAGAGTTAGTTAGGAGGATAAGGTTTCAGGATTCCCAGAAAAGTGAATCATTGGGAAGAAAATGAAACAGCAGGGTTACTAGACATTTGAGGCTAAAGGTACATCCAAAACAGAGCATGATGTAAAGATTAACTACACAACAATGCCGCCACGGAATCATCATGAAGTAAAGGAAATTTTGGTGACATGATGTCATAGCTTACAGTCATTCCAAATAACACGTCTTACTTATACGGAATAGTACATCGTTCTTTAATAGTCACATGCTGGTTGATTCATGGGTGAGTTCGACAATAATCATTGATTGCTTTCTGTTCACTTACTGCGTAGGCTAGTGCTGGTTGCTGCGCTCCAGCTTGTTGGGCCTGAAAGGAAAGTAAACAGAATTTTAGACAAAATCGATCGGTTTAATGCTGTCAGTTGAAAAAATTGCCATAAATTAGATCCAAATAGTAAGCAGACATGCATGTTTTCTGCAGTCTGCAATAAATATCTGACAAACTCTCTTTCATTCTGTTTGAGGCTTTCTGGTGAAAATTTTTAACAATCATACTTCTGCAACAGCGCTGAGGAGCTCCTCTGCCACATTGACCTCAGTGTACAAAAGAAACACTCTATTAATCTCGCAAGTTTGTAAAATGCATCGAATTTTTAACAGGTGTTTATAAAGTTAAACAATAAACAGTGCCGTAAAATCGTGGTATATCGCTACAAACAACAGAAACAAGCCCATGAAATATAACTTGGGATGCCGAGTGTCCTAGGAAATTATAAGCAAAAGAGAAAAAATACCTGGGCTTGAGCCATTTGACCGACTTTCATATCTTCAAGTGATGGATAGAGAGACATCTTGCGATATTTCTAGAGAAAATCAACGACTAAAGATGAAAAATGTACAGTAAAAACCTCTTCTCTTCGACAAGGAACTGAGCCTCTTTCGAAATCAGCTTCCAAACTTATCGACGTCGAATCTATGTTTGGAGCAATGACGTCACTTTAAATCACATGCCTTATGTATTTCTTTACGTAATTATCCTAAAAAGGGTATCATCGTGACGCGTAAAAACGTTATCGATAGTTTCGTCATCGCCGAAGTTGCCCCGATCTTTTTACGAGATTTGGCGGGAAACAGAGGCCATCTTGAAGGTTATGCGGGGGAGAGAGAGGCTTATCCTGCATGTTGATGGTGATATTCTGCTAAGCTGAATGTAAATGGCCGTGTCAATTGGGAAAGGTCGGTATTATAAACTTTTCGCTGGAAATTCACCACCGAAACGTTTACTCATAGAAGACATCAATGAACCTGGATTGCTGTCGGATGAATATGTTCAAGGTTTGTGCAACACGGCGTCGATAAAACCTACAATTGTAGATCGGATCATTCCTAACTTTTGTCATAAGTGTGACTTACAGGGTTGATGCGATCGAAGATTTTTCAAAACGGGGCGTTCAGCTCTAGCTTTATTTGTTAGTTTTCCGTCACTCTAAATTCAGAAGAATACCCAGCCCACTAAATATCTCACTTGAAAAAACTGCTCCCGCTGTCCTGCAGTTGTGTACTATTATGCTGGGCCCGCAGTCCCACAGACTGGTAGTCGACAAATACTAAATCTAAGTGAGTAAAACTAGTGCTTCCGCAGTCCTGCGCTCCTACAGTCACTGAAAAGTGAATATTAAGTGGTTATACAACTAGTGCTCCCACAGTCCCGCAGTCAATGTTAGAATTTATTTATTATGCAGGTCTGACAGCTCAGGGGTTTCATTAAGGTTTTGAACAGAAGGGCAATTGGGTTTGACACCTGGGCAAAGAATAATTATTGTCAAGGCCTGGAGGTACCCTGGGTGGGGGGGGAGGGAGCTACTCCCTTATATAAGCCATATAGGTAGTATGTGCCGCCCCATTGGGTAAGGTTTTTGTGCCGGTTTGGTCTGAAAACGGATATACACTTTGCCCATTTTGGTCTGGAATCGGGTATGGTTTTCGAGGGAACTACAGAGTGTATGAACATATTTATCGTTTCAATTCCAAATGAGTAAGGAAAGAAAGAGAAATTTGTGAATTCGAAATGGATTGAATAATTTTTTTGTTCGCGCTCTAATCTATGTAATTATAACACATAACAAATGAGAGGATTTCGTGCTGTGTGGGATAAAGTGGTAATTTGTCGGTAAAGTATGTTTGACATTCAAGAAGACTCATCAAGAAAAGGGCATGATTGTAACTTAAAACTGTTTTTGATCATTCCTTGTAAAAAAAAAGTTCTTTGAGGTGTTAAGCAGCTTGGCAAAGTTGTGTTGTCAGCCGGTCGATTTGCCTGGTGGCATCGGAGATCGGAGAATTCCCCGTTAACTATGCAGAATTCTCCAGCAAATGTTCGGTAGCCTATGAGTATTTGTTATTCAGACGTGAAGCCCCTTTCAAAATATTCTCCTGTAACGTTACACCTTCCTCCTGCTACTTGAATTCTTAGTGAAAACCCTGCATAAATGTTTAAAATGTAAGGAGGCATGGTAGGTACATGTATAAAAAGAAGGGAAGGCGAAATGGAGAAGACAGCTCCAGTTGCTTTCCTTGCCATCCCTTCCACCCCTTCACGATTATTGTACCTTTCACACGTACTGCATTTTATGACCTGATAAGGGATATTTTTTCTGCATCCTCGTGAATAATTTTTTGATCCTGGGGGTACTTCCCATAATGGCCTATACAGGGAGGCTCCACCTGAAAGGGGTACCTTGTAGAAGCCTCAGGTCTATGAGAGGGCAGGGATTTCACTATTTGAAGTACATGAAAGGGTAGAAAAATCTGTCATTTTGGTTGCTGAAAGCCCAAAAGGGCTAGCAAATGCATTTTATTGCTGTGAGAAAGTAGAGGAAATATTCTGGTTTTGTGATTTATTCATATTGTGAATACAGTGCCTTCACTTCAAGGTCAACAAAAGTATGTATAAACTGATATTTTGAAAAAGGAGTTAAGCAACTAAGCTTGATTAATATACAGGGAAGGTCGCTGAATTTGAACTGGAGTGACAAAAAAGTAAAGACAAAGAATTGACATGGTTGTTTTGAAAAGAATTCAGTGTTTTGGACTTCAGTAAACTGTTTTTTATTTTCTGACTTGTCATGCTCTAAAATTATGGTTTGAGTTATTGTGGGTAATATTATATAGAAATGATCTGAGGGGAAACAAAAACTACTTCGAGTTAGCAGGAGGCTCGAGTTATCAAGGGTTTGAGGTACTGAGGGTAAAATTACAGTAAATGTATAAAGGAAATCCAGGGGAAATCGACTTTGGTTTGAGTTGACGCGAGGCTCGAGTTAACAATGGTTCTAGTTAGTGGGAGTAGACTGTAGGTATCTGAAAGCCGTACCATTTGTCAGTGATAGGTAGACCTTTTCTGTCAAAAATGATACATGTATCAGGGCTGTGTCCTAGCAGAGCCCAGTGGCCTGTGGCGCCTAACTTTTGCCCTTGGGGGACAAGAAAATCTTAGTTTTTTCATACAAATCATATGCTGGGTACCCTAGATTTTACAGTTTCAGAGCACTGGGCTCCTTTCAATTTTCCTTAGAGCACAGCCTTGATGTATGTAAAAGGGTAAGGGGTTGGCCCTTGGGGTGGAGCCACTCTGTATAAAACTTTGATGAGTACCCCCCCCCCCCATTCAAAGGTTTGGATATTTGTTATTTGGTATCCAATAATGCCACATACTTTTTCCTTAATACTAAAAACTTCCTTACAATATCAACCATATATTATAAACAGAAGTTTACCTAGACTGCAAAACAGTCGGTTTTTTTCTCAAAATCAGTAAAGAAATCGGTAAAGCATGGCGTAAGAGTGAGAGCGCGAGAAAAAAAACCGACTGTCCGTTTTCCATACAATGAGTTTGTTCTGACCAGGGGGTTAAAAAATGTCGTCGAGCTGTCAAAAATCTGTTCGCAACTCCGCCCTCTTTGTGAATTTGATAGACTTGCGTGTTATTATTGACACTGTAATCCAGTAATTTTAAAGCAGTTTTTAGCGTTGCTTCCCTGTGAAATGTAGTGTATATAGTGAAATGTAGTATATAATTATAGTGGAGGATCAAAAATGAGTGAAAGTGGCAGTACGACAACAAAGCCTGTGCCTGCTCCTCGAAGAGGGAGAAAGCCGAAAGAGGCGAGGTCTTTGGACAAATTGTAGAATGTGTGACTGTTGTTTCAAAACACAGTTCGGCAGTTTTACGAATGGATGGTTAAGCTCGGAAAATTTGTTTGTTGCGCCTACCAGAAAAGGGGAAACGTTACCAAAGTGGGCCGACCTACTGAAAAACAAACTTTTCGTTGTCCTCGAGGAAGGAGAATCTTTCTCCACAAGAGCAGTTTGCTCTCCGTGCAGAACAATGGTTAAGAAACTGCCCCGGGAAACTGCACGGCAATGCTTTCGCAAATTACAGAAGAACTGAACACGCCAACTGACAATGAACAATTATTGCGATTGAAAAGAATGAGTAAATCCCCTCATTCCAATCCACGTCTTGGTGATTTAGCTCTGTAAATTACTATCTGTGAGAATTTTAAATCCTGCCAAAAACGCTAATGAGCTGGGCCCAGCGTGACAAAACATTGCAGGAAAAAGTCACATCCACGGACACAAAGAAAATCGTTTAAAATTATTCAAATCCAGGAGGCGCCTTGGAGAAATAAAACAACCTAAACCCTTAATCAGCCGCAATGAAGAGCTTTACATTTCTAAAGGGGCCAAGAAAGAAAATGCTCTTGCGTCAGAGGGCAAATCATGCCTACCAGAGAAAATCAATATGCGTGTCACAACCTCTCAGTACCAAAATTCACATTTGCTCAGTCAAAACGTTTTCCTCCAAAGCAAAATCTACTCGACAGAGAAAACAATTCATTGGAACAAGCGGCATGTTTGCATGAGGTAAAAGTCGTGTGTTTCCCACCGATCCCGCTTTTTTAGCCTGGCGAGATAACAATGACGGTCGGCCGTTGCACGGAACTTGAAGAACTCTTTGCATGAACGAACATCCAATAAATAAGGCTTTTGTCAAATCCTGTTGGTAGAACACAGAAAACATCCTTTCCCCTGAGTAGCAACTCCAAAGCTTCCCTCTGCTCTGATTTTAAAACAAATCCCAATTCTTGCGAGCAAATCCAGGCGATCAACATCTGTCATTTTACAGCGAAAGCTTTAGCAATTTGTCACGGTATGGAACAACGTGAATGACTTGTTGAAAACATTACTTGACAGCTTGGTGACAGCTTGCATCGAAATTTAGCCAATGGGAATTGCCCGTGGCTGGGAGAAGTGGGTAATTCCAACGAATATAACGTATGCAAAACGGACAGTCCGTATTTTTAGCGTCTCTCGACAGTCTCGCTCTCTGTTTTCAGCCTCATTCCAGACCTTTTGTTTGACTGCTCGGGCGTACTTGAATACGCAAAAATACGGACTGTTTTGCAGTCTAAAGTTTACCCAAAGTGGCATTTATTGAAAATTTTGTCAAGTTCTCAAAAAGGGGACCCTTGGTACCTTTATGATAAGCTGCATTCAGAGATAGTTACTTTGAGGGGTTGTTACTGGTATTTTGAGGTCTCAACAGTGTTAACTCTTCAGCCAGAAATTTAAAATAACACTGTTTCTTAATAATATTTATCCAATATTTCATTTGCTACCTTGAATGTGACACAGTATGAAAATGGCACTAACTCCAGAGATACTATAACGATAACGTAATAAAAAATAAGGAATTTTTTAACCAGAGCTCTAGCTATGTTCCTTGTCATAAAAATAGTGTAAAATAATGTTTATCAGTCTTAATCTGATTCCCTTGTATTATTTCATCAGGGATTGTTGTTAAAGTTTTTCCCGTAAAGAATTCAGAGAGGTTTGGAAAGCTCTGCAAGCTTGTATTAAAGGAAGATGTGGAAAAAGCAGCAAGGTATGCACCATGTGCCACAATCAATGTATTTCTCTTGGGGGATGTGGCCAATGAAGGTGAAAGTGTCTGTGAGGGTGATCGAATGGTGTTAACAGAAGCTTTTGTGGAATGCTCTCCTACTAAGGAACACCTTTTCCAGCTCATTGTGTGGAGAGAGAAATCTGATGTATCAGTCTGGGTCATCAGTGAGAGAGGCAAGGTGAAGGCCAATACAGTGAATGGAGTGGACATTTTGCCTCGTTCATCTGAGAACAGAAGGGAGTTTGAGAAGGGTGCAGCAACTGAAAATGGTAACGACTCTGAAGAAGCGGAAAATCTCACCTATCAATCATGTGAATATGACTTTACACAGCGAAGTTTTGATGATGAACAATCAGAAAGGGTTGGTGAGAAAAGGAAGGGAAAGTTTCGGCTTGGACCCAGGGGTGTAACTCCCTCTCATGTTAAGAGAAGTCTTAGCAATGTTGTTGTGTTGCGTGATAAGGTAAATGATGCACACGTGGCTAAAACTCTGCAGCGTGAGGAAAGTTATACTAAGAGTAAATCTACTTGTACAAATGCTTCTGCAGAACTAAATACTGCAAATGTAAATGCCAGAGGCAATACTGCAAATATTGCACTGCCAAGTACAGCTGTTGAGACAGGGAGGCAGTCAATGTTAATGTCGCAAAAAGCAGCTCCTGGAGGCAATGGGCAATCCGCAAGCCTCTTTTTACATAGTGCTGATAGCACACCCCTGCGGGATCTACCTCAGTTGATGGCTATAGACAGTGAGAGGCATAGTCAGTCAACAGTGGGGGAAAGTAATGTGACAGCGTCAGTGGAGGGAGCCAACACTGCAGCTAAAACTGCAGCTTTTAACATTGATGGAGATGCCCTAGAAGCCATAGCCACATCCACAGAAAGAACTGCAGCTCTGAATGAAGACCATACAAATCTGAGTCTAGGTAGGGTGGTTTTGTCCCTTACACATGTGGATAAATAGTTTTTTTACAGTGGAACCTCTGTAAAGTGGATATCTTGGGCAAAGAATTAAACCATTCATGCCTGAATCACCAGTAATGGCCCATGGGGATTCGCAAATAAATCACTTGTGATGTCATTAACTTTAACAGTCATAGACAATCACATAGTACAGGGGGAAGAGATCTTTCAAACCACGCCTGACAGAAAAAAAAAAAAAACAAAAGACCATGTAATGAGTTATAAGCTCTGAAAATTCCAATAGAAATAATGTTCCATCACCCACAAGCACTTTCTTCCATCTCATCCTGGGATCCTAAAAGTTTTCCCAAAATTCAGGATTAAAAGGGAGAATGAAATTTGATGTATTTTTGTTGTTCTGGCTATGTTTTAAGGGCAGTAGTTTGGCTTTTTTCTTCTTTGCAAAACATTTTACCTTTTTATCTAGCACCATTACTACAGCTAAGCGCACACTATCTAATCCCCAGGGCTTGTCAGTTGCCATGCCTTTTTCTGCTGTTACTCTGCGCCATTGATGCCATACAACAATAATATTTTAAACTTGATATTCTTTCCCATGTTATGTCTGTACCCAATGATTCCATAGTGTATTTTGTTTTAATTTTTGTATTGCAGATGATCTGGCAGAACAGCCTTATGAAGAGCCCTATGTGATCTCCCCTGAAGAAGAGGATAGGGTATTTTTAAGAGCAAGAAACCAAAAAGGGTGAGTTCTTATTGTTGCAGTTTGCTTGACCTCTATGGCTGATGTTCAGAAGTGAGTGGAAAGTGAAAACACAAATGGTACTCAAGGAATAGACTAGGAGAAGTCCCTCATTTTTCCTCTGAAATAATACAGTAAACACCCGCATATAAGAACCTACTTTTTTTGAAGTCTGACAAAATAGGCTCTTGTATTTTGGGGGTACTTATTGGCAATTTAGGCTTCAGTGTAAGTAGGGTCTTAATCAGGTTCTTAATTCTTATGAAGGAGATAATAAATTGTTGATCAGCAGAAAAATACATAAACTTTGGTTTGGTCATTAAAAATACAGTCTTAATTTTATTCTCAATAATTGTGAATAAAATTAAGACTGTAATATTGTATTATTATTACAATAACAAAACTGATTACTGAATTTCTTTTATACGGTTTGGTACAGTATCTTGTTGTTATACTTAAATTTACAATCTCAGTTACACTCCTTGGTTAAATAATTGTTTATTATAATACCCCACATATAAGAACCTGCTTCATCTTGCTAGGTTGAACAAGTTCTTGTATATGTGGGTACTGCACATGTTGGGTTTTGCGCTCCTGGTTTTTTTAGTTTTTTTCCCTACTCCTTACCTATTAATTACCTGCCATGCCGACTTGATATTGTGGAGCCATTTTTGGGGGAGTGGTTGGTTCAAGCCTCTCCCATCGCGTTGTTTCCTTAGACAAGGAACTTCACTCCACTTTGTCCCCATTTACTCAGGTGTATAAATGGGTACTGGCGACATACTACTGGGGGGTAACCCTGCGATGGACTAGTATCCTGCCAGGGGAGAGTAGCGATACTCCTAGGTGCTTCATGCTAATGAAACCGGGATAAGCTCCAGTCGTTTGGGCCTTTAGCTCCAGTGCGCATTTACCTCTACTTGTGCAGACTTGAGTGGAATTTGCTTGAGAAATTGTCTACCGTGTAGTATGTATTCTTCATAAACAAGCTGGAGTGTTTTAAGAAGTTTCTAAACTGTGGTGCAGATAAGCTCCAAGCCTCAGAGATATTTCATCCTAAATTCATGATAAGTAGCCCCAGAAGACAACAACAGCATAGAAACTGTAGACCAAAGCTTCAACTAAATTTCTATCAGGATAACTTATAGCAAAATGACTTTAGGAAGACTTGTATCAAACTAAAGTATTTTTGTATTTCATAAATTATTGAAATTCTGGTGAACTCCCCTTATTAAGTTTTTTTCCTTTATTCCCTCGTATAAAAAGAGATGACCCGGCAACCACATCCAGTGTGAAAGGTTTAATGCCCAGTGACTACACTCCAGCAGCAAGTCTCTTGATGTGCAGCAAAGGTGTGTAACCAGGAAAAAGCAATTTGATGTCTTTATGTGCAGTAGCTCAGAGCTTTTGCCAGGCATTCATATTGTGGGTACAGTGTAATGAGATGTGAGCAGGAAAAAAAGTGAGACAGTAGGGTTAAGGGAGTGAGAGCAAAGGGTCACGGAAGGTTCCGTCCTATCTATCCCTCTCCTGTGATTTTGTTACAAATAGTTATGCTAAGTCCTGGGACTCATCTTGAAAAAAATCATGAGTCCCATTCCACACCCAGTGTGTCCCAGTTCAAAAAACAATGAGACATAAATTGAAAATGCTTGGGCCTTTATGTAACCAGGTTAATTTGACGACAGACTCCAAAACTCTTTATTACAGTTCACTGAAATTAAAATGTGGTCCTTCTATTTAAAGGGCAAAAAGACTAAAATAAATATGCATCGTTAAACAACAACCACAATAAAAACCACAGAAATAATATGACCAGGACATTCAGACTACAAACCATCTTCAGATCGATCAATCCATCTTTGCGTCCTACGGGAGGCATACCAAGAATAATTTTGCATCTTTGGGAATTTTCATCACAGAGGTAACAAAGTCACTGCCTTTCTTTCTCTTTTTGTTCCTGCTCTTTGACTTTGTGCCACACGACACTATCTGAGTGCCTGGAAAAGGCTAAGTAGCTCACAAATCGCTGCTGTCTACTAAAAAGCTGAAACTTCAGATCATTCCAGAAAAAGTAGCAGATTGACAAAAAATTATGTTGAAAAAGAGAAACAGAAACCCCAATCCTAATCTGTAAAACATCGAATTTCCTATTTGTCTGTTTTATTGAATTTTATTGTATTTATAGGTGCTCTTGGGGTCCTCTGGTGTTTGGGAGGTCATAAGTTAGAATCCTGTGGGGATTCTAACCTGTGACCTGGAAAGAAACTACGGAATCAGCCGGTCCCCCCCTTCCCCACCGCCCCGCACTCCAGGCTAGCCACGTTCGAGTTTGAACCTCGATTTCGATCATGATTAGAATTAAGCGCTGACAATACTGATTAGGATTAAGCACTGACTCGAAACGGTTAGCTTTTATTTTTTACAGTGAGGTTTATCACTATATGAAGGTCGTGGGGTGAACTCAAGTTTACCCCATGTGTGTGTGTGTGTGGTAGGGGTTTTGGGGAACCAGCTTAAATCACCGGGAAAAAGTTTGTGTCTGCGTCCTCTATTTAATGACCTTTTTCAACTCACTCTCCGTTTTTATCATTCCCTTAAGTTACATTTTTATCGGAGAGTTAAGCTAACCTAACATAATTTTAAAAAGTTTCCGGTTTAAAAGTCTTCCTCGCGCTTATGGAAAGGTTCAGAAACTAGTAATGAGAAAGGTCAGACAGGGTCCGAAATTGCGCCTTCCTGGTCGCCAATGCGACCAAAAATTTAGTTCTGGCGACCAGAATTTCATAGCTGGTCGCCACCTGGCGGTTGTTATTGTAGACTTTCATGTTCGGAGAAAATGATTAAGAATTGAAACCTCGAAGCTCTTTGAAAACAGATGTCTTACTTTTTGTCCTGCTGATATTTTTTTAATTTAAAAGTGAAACGAATCTTCCTGTAAATATACCTCCACAACAGCTACGATCCATACGAGCTGAACGTTTCCAAGCCACCAAGACGAATTTTTGGCGAAAATAATTTGCCCTCTGGCGACCAAAAATTTAAACTTGCTCACCAGTTGGCGCCCATATTAAAAAGTTAATTTCGGACCCTGTCAGATAATGGACAACACCTTTTTCAAGATTACCTTACTTGGGGGAAGGGTGATGTGGGAATGATCTTTGAATACAGGCTTTAGCGTTACTTGCGTTTACATTTGTTAGATGATGTTTCAAGGTCTCCTCTTCGTCAAGTACTTGATCCTAAACTACGACTGCCTACTACTCCTAACTCCGAAGCAGGGCCTTCCCAGCCATCGCCATCACGCGATCGATCGCCGGTAAAGGCCTTTCCGGTTCGAGTTGGGAAGAGATCGTCGCGTGCTACAGCGGATTATACCGTGCCTCCTGGTTATACCACCCTGGCCAATTTGCAACCTGAAACAACTGTTAACGTGTACGGCGTAGTTAAGCTCTTTAAGCCAGCGTGGAAATGCCGGGGCACCGATATGTGTTCGGTGCTGATGTTGATGGACCCGACTGCCGCCGAATCGGATGGTCTCGAGTGTGTGTCGTTCCAGCCGAGTGTATCCCGACTGCCGGATGTGCATAAGGTCGGGGACATTGTCAGGCTTCACCGCATCAAGATTAACCAGTATCAGGGGAGGCTGCAAGCTAAGTCTTCGCGCGGTTTTGCCGCAGTTGTGTTTGACCGCGATGCAGACCTTCCAGTTACCGCGGAAATGGCTCGGGTTTCCAGTTCCACTTTCACGTTGACGCAGAGTGATAAAGAAACCGTAGAGTGTTTAAAAAACTGGTGTGATGACCACCCTGTCCTATTTCCACCTAGCAACTTTCTGACGGTGTCCCAGATCAACCCGGACTGCTACTTTGATCTCGTCTGCCAAGTTCTCGGGATCGCTTTACACCGTGCTCTTGACTGCGTAGTGCTGTACGTGACCGATGGCACTCAACCCAAGCACGATCTTCGAAACTGTGATGGTGATGACTACAGTTTGATTGAGCCTCTATCCCGTGGCTCCACACAGGATGACGATGTGATCTCTGTATTTCTTTACGGTTCCCATGCAGAAGTGGCCCGTCTCCTGGCCAAGCAGGACGAGTATGTTATCCTTCACAATGTACATTCTCAAGTTCTGAAGGGTAGTGGTTCTGTCTGCAGTGTCCTGGATGTGGTGAAACCCTATCTGGAGCTCTGCCTTCACAGGGGGACGGCCTTTGGGCGTGGTTTGTCTGTCCTGTCACCTGATTCTCAAGAAGTGATGCAGATTAACAGACGCAAAGGTCTATAACTATCCCACACCTTACTTCATGAACTGTGTTCATTTACCAAGAAGTTCTATAAACTCTCGGTCTTGAATTTGTAGTTGTATTTGTGTTATAACAAGAAAATTGGTCAATCATTATCCATAGTCGACTTGTTCAGATTTCTCGTCTCCCTTCATTCCATGCTCATGAATGTTCTCCGTATTCATTTTCATATTCACGTCGATATTTCGCGAAAAACGAACTCTGAAGCATCAGTTGAGTGTATGTGCAAGCTATGCTTGAAAGTACTTCTGTTTGGTTGTTTGTTTGGTCTTAAACAATAAAATTAGGTTAGACGCTAATAATGTTTAGTCCAGTAGTTTTTTAAAAGTGTTTTTAGCACCCAGAGCATCCAACTTTTTTTCTAAAACGGTCTCGACAAATCTCTCCTAGCCTCTCAGGAAGGCCTGATTGTCACATGTTGGTGTCAGTAAAACTCCGACTCAGACGAGGCTGGGTCCGGGGGGTACTCCCTATAATGGCCTATACCGGGAGGCTCCGCCCGAAAGGGGTAGGGATTTCACTAGTTGAAGTACGTGAAAGGGGAGGGAAATCTGTCATTGCGGTTGATGAAAGGCTCAAAAGGGCTAACAGATGACTTTGCATTTTTTATAATCGGAAGTTTACGGTGTCCAGTGAAGTGATGGTGAGGATGATGCCCGGGGGGAGGGGGGTAATTGGTCTAATTTTTGCTGACTTGGGCCACTGGCCTCCCAGAACTGATACCCCGTTATAGTCTATTCTGTGGCCAATTATAGACTTAATCAGGAACCAATTACCCCAACTAAGTCACTTTCTGTTTCGCCGATTCCGTTCATGCATTTACCTTAAAAGCCTTCTAACTAGGGGCGCTTTCCTTTTGTCACAACTGGCCCGCCGGACCACTGCAGGACCAGTCAGTTAGCAAATGAAATCGGCTTTTTCCATCAGGGGTTTTTGCTGAAAAACTCTCTCCTTCGTGAATATTATTTAGGATCTGACTGATCTGGCCTGATAGTTTTGATTAAAAGTGAAATCCTCATTAAGACGGGAATGGTCTGGCCGGTCAGTTCTGACAATTGGAAAGCGCCCTAGGTCGTCCTGACGAAAAGTAACACATTTTAAAATCCCTTCTTACCAAAATTTTCTAGCCCTCGTAGCTGGCGGGATTAGCGGGCGAATGTTGTTGTTTTTCAGCGGTGGAGCCGCGAGAAGATTGGGAGCAAGTCCCTTGAGGCTTCGCCGCTCGCTTCCCTTGGCGGCGGCTCCGCCGGCATAGCCTGCGTAGCAGGCGCTTGGAAGTAGTGGGCGCAAGAAGGAAAACCCCGCGCGTGTCTTCCTCTCGCGCGCCCGTTCTATGTTGCGCCCACTGCTACCGGGGGGGGTACTCCCTAATATGGGCTATATATGTATGTGCGGCCCCAAAGGGTAGGGTTTTTCAGCCGTTTTGGTCATAAATTGGGTATCGATTTTGGCTATTTTGCCGCCATTTTGGTCATAAATAGGGTAACGATTTTTGCACTGTAGTCTTGAATGCACTTTTTTAGAAGAAGCTACTTCCTTATCGTGTCCCCCTAACCTAATAAAAGCAGATAAACATTGCCTTTAACATTGGTCTGAACTAGGGAAATAATTATAAGGCAGGTCTGAAACAGGGTATTGATTTAAGGGTCAGGTCATAAATAGGGTATTAAATTTTTGGTTAGGTCATAAATAGGGTAGGGAAAATCGCAGATTTTGGTCATAAATAGGGTAAGGGTTTTGGGAAGCGGGCCGCACACCCCTACCCAATTTTTCTGCGAGTACCCCCGGGGTTATAGCTTTTTAATAAGCTTAACAGCGTTTGGACTGTTTTGTTATCACTGTTGCCACTTTGTGATCAGGCAAGACCATGGTTTCGGTTCCCCAAGCGAGCCTCATCAGTTGCCTGATTGGCTTTGTGCTTAGTTGCTTTTACGAGAGCAACTTTAGTTGTTCTCTTTTGTGGCTAGAACGGTACAACCGTTCCTTATACTGAGCCTTGACCTTAAGCATTAATACCCGCGAGGCGGATCGAGCGGCAATTGAGCCTGACAGAGGAGTCAGGTCGGAAGTCGGAAGTCGGAAGTCAGAAGTCGGAAGAACCTCCTCGGCTTTCGTAGTTTGGGGTTTCCCAGGAACGCTTTTTTTTTAAAAAAAATACCAATATCAATACCAAATACCGTATAAACGCGTTGGTCATACGATAGCCTTTGCATTCGTTTGTCTTAAGTTAGTTTCATTATCGAGTCACTGTTTTATATTACGAAACTCGGGATCGTTTTTTCTTGTAAGTATTGTGAGATTTTAGTTCAACTTTTTCAGTAGTTAGGAAAATGTTCTTTCTGTATTATCTATAAAACACTATATTCCGCACTTTTTTAATAAGATGTGAATTATGACTAGTGACTAGGGAGGTGAAATCTGTACCCCGAAAACTAAAATAAAAGGTTGTTTAGCCTCAAGTTTGTCACCGTACTTTGCGTTTTATTTCTAATCAAGCTTCGTTGACCTAAGACGAACAGCATTTATGATATGTTAGACTTGTTCAAGACCTGAAGATCACAAAGATTTAAAAACATTCTGATTAGTGGGATGGGCTGAAAAGTATTTTTCACGACCCTGCAGTTCTTATTTTATCACAGAGTAACATGGGGACTGTGTTCCCCGGGCTCCTTCTTTAACAAATACTATACATTACATTACATTACAGTAATGTTTGTCTTGAGAGTACATGTGTTATAAAAAGCGCTGTCGAACTCCACTCGAACCCTCATACTCACGCTGTACATCATGAAAACAACTATCCACTACATTTCGTATCAGTGGCATATTCAGCTTTAACAAATGAACCCTTTTTATTATTGCTTAGCCTTGGCTCGTTCCCAGTCATCTCTCGGTCTGCTATTGATATTCAAGAGAGAAGCGCAGGGGAGAGCGAAGGGCGATGGGAAGGAGCAAAGACAGGAGACCACTGGTAGATCCTGTGTTCTCTTTTTTTTGTTCTTTTTTTTTTTGCCATTTTTTTAGTTTTTATTTGGAATTTTCATGTTACAGAGTACACTCATTGAATCTAACAAGGAAAAGGCAAAAACAAAAAGAAAAAAAAAACAAATAAAAGAAATAAAAATAGCAAATAGTCACACCTACTACCTAAATCTAAACTGCAAACCATTATCTAAGTCGATAGAAAATACAACATCTTTACATTTACATATAATATTCAATTGTTAAGACGATTGATTAACTTTTCCCAGTTACTAAGATGGCCCTTTTTCCTGGCAATACAAAGTTCAACGTTGGTAAATACGCCTAGTCCTGGAAATGAGTCACCGAGGGGAGGGCATACCCTTTTGACATTTTTGTTAATAAATATATTAATACTTCCCAAGTAGTAAACTGTGATTGATTAACTTCTTTAACATCAAATTTATCGAAGATTGTATCCTCTTTTTTTTAAGTTCTCAACAATGATATTATCATCTTGCAACCAGGACAAGGCTACAATGGCCTGCGAACAGCAGACGCATTCTCCGATCGTCGCTTCTCTCCCTCCGAAAAATAGAGAAGGGAGAGAAGCGACGACCGGAAATGCGTCTGCCATTTGCAGGCTAGGACCACAGGTAACCCAGGCTCTGTGATAGTACCACAGTACGGTTCCAGTAAAATTACAGTGTTTGTATGGGGTAAAAATATCATCCTAAAATTTCTAGGAAATACTAAATAAAGATCAATAAAACTTACTCTGCAGTTAATTGTTGTTGTCCTTATTGCTCCAACGAAGTTTCGTGATAATTTGCAGTAATTTGTTCAAATTCACTCTATCTACAATAATAATATACAAGGTAGGAAACACGAGGTGCCATTTTCGCCGACATGCTCTCATTCAACACAACTTTTTCCACGAAATTCGAACTCCAACGGAAAATAAACATGCCAGGATCGTAGAAATAGGATAGCAGCAGATATAGAAACCAATGAAGCTTTCCCAGATAGAGAAACGAATCCCACAGACTTCGACAAACTCGAAGAATATAATCCAAACACACCGAGAATACGCTCGCCGAAGCAGCCGGGCCAGATCAACGCGCGGCCAAGAAAATGAAGCCTGGGCACTGTACAAAAAAATTCCATCCCGGGGGTCCTGGGGTGACCTTTCTAGGGACCGATACATCATTTGCCCAACGCCACCCTCCCCTGCTAGAAAAATACTTGATAGAAGGCAATTGTTCTTCCTAGCCAATCACTATGGCCTGTTATAAAGAGATTATTTTCCTCTCGAACTATATTCAGCTCCTGGCGCTGGTCCTCAGAAAGTTTATCAAACATCAATAGGGCAAGGTTATAAGGGCAAAGGAAAGAACAACGAAGGACGATTTACAAAACTTAAAACGAGCAAAAGATATAAGTGAATTTTGGCTCTTACCGAGGCATTTGTACAACAGGACCAAATTCAAAGAGAGGTGTATCACGATGATTCACATATTTAACCGATAGAGCGTTCACTTGTATTGACAAGAAGTCGGCGTGTTACTGCCGCATTAATCGCTAAATATGTTAATCGCGCTAGTTCTTTGTTTACTAGTGCACGTGCCTTTCACATTCGTCTCAGTTATCGCAATTCATATTCTGTCGCAATTTTCTGTATAATTTTTGACATTAGTTTGTAAGCTTCACCGTTTATTTACGATAGTTTCGCTCGAGAGTTCACAGCAACAGTATCTCAGTCATCATCTACCTTTTGTTCAACCTCGTTTTTAGCCCGCCTTGTAAGCATTTCGCGTTCTTATTTCATTAGTTTCATTACTGTTATTTGCATTCCTTAGTAAAAGAAATGGGCAGCCTTGTAACTCCGAAGACTCTCCCGATTATATTACTTTTTTTTTAGCCATTTAAATTCAGGCGCGTGTGCGGGGTTTGCTCTGGCAAATGGTGATTGGCTAGGAAGAACAATTACCTTCTATCAAGTATTTTTCCAGCATGCAGGGGAGGGTGGCTTTGGGCAAATGATGTATCGGTCCCTAGAAAGGTCACCCCAGGACTCCCGGGATGGAATTTTTTTGTACAGTGCCCAGGCTTCATTTTCTTGGCCGCGCGTTGATCTGGCCCGGCTGCTTCGGCGAGCGTATTCTCGGTGTGTTTGGATTATATTCTTCGAGTTTGTCAAAGTCTGTGGGATTCGCTTCTCCATCTGGGAAAGCTTCATTGGTTTCTACATCTGCTGCTATCCTATTTCTACGATCCTGGCATGTTTATTTTCCGTTGGAGTTCGAATTTCGTGGAAAAAGTTGTGTTGAATGAGAGCATGTCGGCGAAAATGGCAGCTCGTGTTTCCTACCTTGTATATTATTATTGTAGATAGAGTGAATTTGAACAAATTACTGCAAATTATCACGAAACTTCGTTGGAGCAATAAGGACAACAACAATTAACTGCAGGGTAAGTTTCATTGATCTTTATTTAGTATTTCCTAGAAATTTTAGGATGATATTTTTATCCCATACAAACACTGTAATTTTATTACTGGAACCGTACTGTGGTACTATCACAGAGCCTGGGTTACCTGTGCTAGGACAAGCCATGTTTTCAAAAATCACAGGATCCTTTTCAGGAAAAGAGTAAATGCTCGATGGTTCAACCTCAGTTTGGCAGAAAGCAATTTATCTGCTTCAACCACGTCAAAACTAAAAAGTTTCTCGTTTGTATTAAAATTCAATATAGTTCATTTTGAACTGAAATTCCTTAAGTTTGGATTCTAACTCTATACGCTGGGAAAGATAGCAAGTAAACTCTTTTCCAATCAACAGTTAATGGCAGATCCGCTTTCAAGATAGCGGATGATTAATGGCGGACTAAGGTGAAATTTGAAACTTGGAAAATAGGCCATTTCATCTGGCCCATTTGACCAAGAAGTTCAGTACCTTGCCGTCATGTGCCCTTTCGTTTCCTCCTTCCCATCACCCTCGCACTTCTTCGGTCGCGAGTGTGATCCAACTAGAGACGAACGGGGACGAGTCAGAGCCGAAAGAGCTTAGCCTGTTCCAGGCTCTCACATAGTGTTCGCACTTTCTCTATTTCATGGACCCGACTATCTCGAAGCCTGGAACAGGCTTTCAGGGGGAGCGCTGAGAGGCGGAAATGGTCGGTCAAAATTATGGAAAACAGACACCTTTTCGGTTTGTACGTTTTGTTTCCTTTTCAGGTCACGTGATGTTCTTTAGGCAATTTGCTTTTTGTCCAGCCTCCCCGCAGACGTCCTTTGGGGTTTGTTCGTCAGGCATTCATTTTCCCTTACGGGGGAGAATTGAATGCGTGACGAACGAACCCCATAGGACGTCTGCGGGGAGGCTACTTTTTGTCCTTTCATAAATTATGCTTACATATGCGCGTATTTAAAAGAAATTTGAAAGAAACAATTCTCTGGGGTAACATCACGTGGCATGAAATGGGATAACAAACCATACAAGCTAAAAAGGCCCTTTGAAAGGCTCCGAGTTAGGGACCAGTCATAATTTAAGTTGGAGGGGGGTGGAGGAGAAATTGTTTTTTATCCCAAATTAGTTCCAGACCCCCACTAATAGCACCCATGTTTTTTAGGTACCCCCCTTCAATCATGTTAAAGGATTTAAGAGCCCCCCTTTCTTATACATAATACCCAAATGGTAAGAACAAATAACATTTTCTTTACTTTACCGTTCTTACTCACTGTCACTTCCGAATGTGCCAACTAACAACAGAGAAGCACTTCACACTAAACTGAGAAAGAGATTTCACCCAGAGCCTCTCAAACAGCTTATAGAGCAAGGATGTATCAGTGATTGTGTTATAATTGAGATAAGACAAGCCATCGAAAGGTTAGAGGCCGTAAGGACCGCTTCAAGGAAGAAAGAAGATAATCAGCCAAAGCTTACTGCTTTTTATATGAGCAGTACATGCTCTAATAGCAAAAAACTTGACAGTGACACAGACAGTGAGTCCACATCAACCTCATCTACAAATAATGATTCGGATAGTGAGATTGCATAACATGACTTTATGCATGTAATCATATGTTAAAATGCCGATGAATTTGTTTCAGTGTTACACAATAATGCATGTTGTGTTGATGCACCTACTATCTGAGCATTAACTCTTTTTGTCAAAATGCTGATTAAATTGTTTTAGTATTCATGATATTACACAATATAGGACTTTGTGTAAACCTGAATCAAAATCAGGTCCTTTAATACTTGAACATCATGCTGCTCAGTAGGGATGCTACTTACAAGAAATTTGAAGGCCCCCCCAAGGTCATCTTTTGGCATTTTAAGGCCCCCCATATTCCATCCAAAAAAAATTGAAGGCCCCCCAATTTCTCCTCCCCCCCTCCCCCCACCCCTCCAACTTAAATTATGACTGGTCCCTTAGGAAAACGGTAGATCCTTTAAGGACTTCTAAAATACAGTCAAACCTCTTTAAAGTACTCATAACCTAAAATTTTATATTTTGTTATCTGAAACTACACCTTATTAGAATAACTTCTGCTAAAACATTTTGCGATTTGAACCAAAGACGATTTTTTCAGAATTTTTTAAAAACGTTCAAATTTGCCGCCATTTTGGCACACCATTCGTCTTAGTCTTCTCTCGGAGTATGATGTCATATGACGTGCTTTAAGGAACACGTGACTTCATCGACAGGAAAACATTAAGAGTTCTGGTAGGTTTTTCTGTTTCGGAAAAACTTTCTTCTTGCGAAGACGTTGTGATTCAATCCTTAGTTGTAATTGATCTTCTTTGTGTACAGCTGGTGAAGGCAAGGTAATGGGAGTTACTTAATTTACGTCACATGACGTCATATGTGAACCTGCTAGTTTGCGTGACCAGCGTCACGGGTGTACCGCAAAAATGTAGACTTCAAAAATTGGTTAAAAAAAATCGCGTTTTGTTCAAACCGCAAAATTTTTTCGCAGAAGTTATTTTAATAAGGTATAGTTTCAGATAAGAAAATAAAAAATTTTAGGTGATGGGCACTTTAATACGGACACCAAAGGGACAGAACCAAGTGTCCGCTTTACAGAGGTGTCCGTATTGTAGAGGTAGGAAACGGTATCATTTTTGGCATTTCGGGGACCAAACGAACTGTCCGTATAATAGAGGCGTCCGTAAGGAGACGTTAGACTGTATACTTTAACGGCTCTTGATTGGAAATCGAATTAAATTTAGAAATTACAACCGCCCAATAAGCCGGCGCATTTGATCGCTGTACACATGTCGGAGCAAAATTTACTTCTATAGTATCCTAACTTTCTTTGGTCTTCTTATCTAACTTTATGTTTATACTAAGTACTATGATCACTTCACAAACCGTTGTTTCAGTTTTCAGTAAAACGGTAGACGCCGGAGAACTCAATCAGTAAAACTTGGGAAGGTTGGTTTAGGTCTCCGAAAGTCCCTCAAACAGCGATTCCTCCGGCTTATTGAGTTTCCGTATGATGTGCATGGAAGAACTGAAACTCACTTTCAAAGTAAGTCCGATCGCCACAGTGCGAAGGGCAGTTAGTTTTAAGTTGTCTAAGGATCCTTCAGAATTGAGAACAAAATAAAACACGGCAACGATGCTGCTTTCCAGATACGCAAAAATCATGCACACGCTAATGTAGAAAACGTAACGCGTGACAAACTTGTGCTTGTTTAAAATGATTGAGAAAAGCAGATTACACATTGTGCAAACGGCGTTGTAAGATGCGAAATAGCCAAAATAGTATGTCGAGGTACATAAAGGGACCACTACAGCTAAAACCAGCAACGAAATGTTTGAAGCAAACCAGTTGCTACGAATAAGTTTTAAAAAATTGATAGGAACAACCCAAGTGGAAGTACAAGCTAACCGACTGTACAGTAAGAAACAAAATATCTGAATAAGTGACCACAGCAAAACAATTAGAATAAACGCGATAAGTGCAGAAGGTCCATATGCCATGTTGCGGCATTTGTCTAGGAGGTCGGAGAGGAAGGATTTTGCTCCTAGTCCGGGATATGAAAAGCTGAGGTGCGAAATGTAATCAAATCTAAAAAAAGATAAACCTCCACTAGATATACCCATTGGAAGAGCGGCAATGATAAGTATTAGGTAAAAAAAACACAATAACCCTTTGTAAAAGAAGTTTTTCAAACTTTTCACCCTTCCACTGCGTCGGGGTTGTCTTGTATTTTCAACGTCAAGTAACGGTTGTTCCTCGCAGCTTCTTTGAATAACAGAATTTGGGGGCAAAAGTTGACGTGACTCCTCAGTTCCATTTTCACCTTCTTCCATGGTTCGAATTTCGTTTTCAACAGCATTTCTTTCGTTTTCAGTTGTTCGCTCTTCCGCTTCTCGTTGATCATCTTGACTGTCAGACATCCAACAAAATTTCCTTGTACGTCTCATCCACTCGAGTGTAATTAAAGGTCCAATAAGAAACCAAAAATATAGTCTCTTTAAGTAAGATTCCATTTTCCTCAGTTTATCTGTGTCAACAATGGCAATGTCAACATAAGTTCGATCTGCATTCCAAAGTGTTGAATCAATTTGCAAACTTGCTACTGGAATTAACACTTTGTTCTTACTGTTCTTCATTATCGCCAAAGTCTCAGATCCACCATATATCAGCACAGAGTACCCTGCATTCTGCACATTTCCGGCAAGCTCTTGTAACGTACACGTAGATTCATCCACAAGGGTGACATAAGCTATTTTGGGAACTGGAGTCTTTACTTTGCTTACATCGTCGAGCGCTTGACATGCATTTGTGAGGCTCAAATACACAGCGAGACATCTCACTGAATTGCCTGTCGTTGATTCCCGAATAAAGGAAACGACACTGGGTGGTTTAAGTTCAGCTCTAAGTTCCTCTGAATAAGAGGACGAACCAGAAACTTCCAATTTCCCCTGCCCTGTCCACAGAATCAAATCGAATTCTCCATTGTCTTTCGGCGCGCTGGCATACAGGTTGCCTACTATATACCACGAAAGACTTAAATATGTTAAAATAACGCATACAACTATGAAGAAAATGCAGCTGCTGATTACGAAGCACTTTCCCGACATCTTTGTAACGAGAACAAGATGTTACTGGAGACAGAAAATTGAGCATTATGTTTAGCAGAGGAGGGTCTTCCGACTTCCGACTTCCAACTTCCAACTTCCGACTTCCGATTTCCGACTTCCAACTTCCGTAGCAATGAAAGGCGGTGGTAGGCCTGTACGACTTTTACGTTATGCTAAAATGCTGCTTGTTCCAAAAACGTTTTTTTCGTTCTGCTGGGTAGATTATGCTCTAGAAGGTTCTGGTTAAGCCGCCTATTTCACATTGAGAGGTCATGGCACATATATCGATTTACTGTAGTTTTTGTTTCTGGTCGGCAGGATTTGCCCTCTTATGCAAGAGCATATTCTTTAAAGCTTTTTATTACGGCCGAGTAAGGGCTCTAATTTTCTCCAAAGTGCCTTCTGGACCTGAATAACTATGTGACTGTTTTTAGTCCGTGAACATGCAATGCTGTATCACGCTGGGCCCAGCTCGTTAGTTTTCTTTGCAGAATGTTAGATTATCACGGATAGTGATTTATAGATCCAAAGTGATAAGAATGAAGTGCAGCTTAAAATGAAGCTGCATCAACTATGGAGAATTGCATTGTGACTCAGCAGATTCCTGCTTAGGGTTTTTCTAAAGAAAATGTGAGTCTTTTGACTGGACCGCGTATTTCCTTACTTATAGTCTTACTTGGTTATAGCCCCGGGGGGTACTCCCTAATATGGGCTATATATGTATGTGCGGCCCCAAAGGGTAGGGTTTTTCAGCCGTTTTGGTCATAAATTGGGTATCGATTTTGGCTATTTTGCCGCCATTTTGGTCATAAATAGGGTAACGATTTTTGCACTGTAGTCTTGAATGCACTTTTTTAGAAGAAGCTACTTCCTTATCGTGTCCCCCTAACCTAATAAAAGCAGATAAACATTGCCTTTAACATTGGTCTGAACTAGGGAAATAATTATAAGGCAGGTCTGAAACAGGGTATTGATTTAAGGGTCAGGTCATAAATAGGGTATCAAATTTTTGGTTAGGTCATAAATAGGGTAGGGAAAATCGCAGATTTTGGTCATAAATAGGGTAAGGGTTTTGGGAAGCGGGCCGCACACCCCTACCCAATTTTTCTGCGAGTACCCCCCCCGGCACTGCTACGCAGGCTACCGCCGCCAAGAAAGTAGGCCAGGGCACAACAATCCCACCAGCTACGCAGGCTATTTAGAATTTTCTTACCCGCAAAAACTTAGCCTGCTTAGCAAGCGTTTCCGTGCGGTTTAGGAGCAAAGAACGAGGAACGAGAGTCAAAGACCGCGCGAAAAATGGCGTTAAGTGAAAGAGCGGGAGGCTCTTGTTTCATTTCTCGCGCGGCTAAAACCCGAGAATCCCGTTCCTCGGTCTTTCTTTGCTACGAAACCAAACGGAAACGCTTGCTACGCAGGCTAGCAAAAACTGAACAAGTGCGACCCTATTCTAGTAAATCTATTGAAAATGCAACCCCATTAGTCAATCACAGTCAATCCTAGGAAGTTCCCTGCTCCCCGGCCTTTGTTCGTCTTTGTACCCTGTGGCACCCCCTGGAGGTATTCCATGTCTCGTGACTGCTCGAAGGTTCAAATGTCACGCAGTTGACAAGGTGTGCAGTGGAGCGATTTGCATATTTGCTCAAGAAGTTTGCGCTTCTGCTTGGAGAAGTTGACCTCGGCTGTCCATTGGCAGGGTCATATCTCGGACATTATTCTGCTGCAGGATCTAAGGCGGATTTTTTTTCATCTCCGAACAGACTACAATCTCATGAATGGTGGTGTACGGGTCCGTTCACCACATAGCGCGCAGGTTCTTTTGGTTTGTTCAAAGCGTGAGTTGTTGGGGAATGATTCTTTTATATGAACAGCTGTTGTAGTCCGAGAGAGAATTGGAGAGTCCATGTGTATGGTTCACTGCAGAATTACATCTCGTTTGGGGTCATTACTGTACTTTACGGTTCAATTGTTGCAGTGGATTTGTACAGGGCTTGATTAATGCCGGTTTACCTGAAATTATAAGCCGATCGAAGTATAATGAGGTTCCTTTCATCCAAACGTTTTCTATTATTGTTCTTGATTATTCTCGAGATAATATTTATTGTTAGAGGTACTTTGAACACTAGAACAGTGAAGAATTGGACCGCTCTAGTGGAGAATTATCTGCTGAAGCTTGCTGAAGATGGCTTGAAAACGCACGAACTGCAAGAGTTATACGATGGTGCGAATTACACTGTCGAAGAGAAGAATGGATCTGATACCCTCAATTCTGTGAAATCGCGGCTTGGTGATTATTTCGTGAAAAAGGAGACTACAGCCAGGGTAGGTTTGTGCCTGTCATGACACGGGAAACGTTACGTTCCTAAACTGTAATAAAATTTAAGCTTATCTGCTTCCAGAAAAAAAAGAAAGAAACTATTGATTTCGATTCCTTACCGAAAACATTTCAGTCGGAAAAATTTTTATTTTATTTTGACTGTAAACGATTAAGGGTCATAGTGGTTGTTGACAGCTGGATCATTCTTTTTTGGTTTCTTTGTCTCATATATTTTGAAAGAAAAGTGTTCTTTATTTCTGCAGGGTGTTCTACAGTAAATTAAATTTCTTGTACCAATATAATCATGATGGGCAGAGTTCTCTAGGCAGGTGTTTGCTTTCAACTCATGTTAGCACCAACCTGAACATTTCTGCTCTCTCCCCTGAGAATAAATATGGATAAGCAGCTGAACACACTGACTGCATGTGCCTTGTGACTGAACAGGGAAGGAGTTTATGGGAGGGTGGTGGTATGAAAGCAGTGGTAGACTGAAGGGGAGGGGTGGGGGAGAGAGCAGATTCCCTCAAAATAAATCCATCAGTGCCAAGGATTTTCTTTGTAGATGCTTAACTTAATTCAGTGGAATGAAAAGAGTGTGCGATAATGCCAAAAACCTGCTTCGTGTGCTCTGATTATGGATAATCTTTTTAATAATTAATGAAGTTGAGCACGGCAACAGCATGGTGTTTGAAACCAACTTATATTTTAGTAATTCTAATTTATTAGTTTCTTATTCTTAGTCAGCAGTACCTTGTTGATAACAGTACTTTGTACTGAAGGGTCATCGTGGGTAGGTTATTCAATTATTATTATAATATTATTATTGTACTATTGCTGGCAAATAAAGGTTACTGTGCTACGCAGCAATAGCACCACTTTGATTCAAGCGTCATGCCAAATTCAAGTTATGTAACTTCATCATTTGAATAGGTCGAGCATGATCGTCCGGGTGAATGTAGTCCTGAATAGGACTGTTGTTGACAGTGACCGATGTTTCGACAATCTGTCAGTATTCATCTTCCGAGTCAAAGTGGGTTGTATCACGTCAGTCTATGGTACTAAACTCTGGTTATTGACCTGATTGGTCAATTAAGTTGCAATTTTATTGCTTGTCTGTCTGTTAAGCATTGAATGGGTATGAAGACTCAAAATGTGACTGGTGTGTTTTGATCTGTCAATTGTCAGAGTTAAACAGTCGTTTAGTGTCAGCCAAATTGTCAGTTGTCCAGTCATTCTCTCGTAGTTGGTTTAGCATGAGTTTGTCAATTAAGTCGCTTGTAGGGTGCCAGTAACTGTTGTCTCAATTCAGTGGTGTTTGTTCATTCTAAGTTTGTAAACCAACTTTCTAAAGTGAGTCGTTGATAGTAGTATGTAGAATACGTAATACATATCACAGAGTCCCAGTCAATTTGATGTTTTGTCTGTAAATGGTGTTCAGCAATGTGATTGTTGACATCAACATTTCTTGTTGCTTGTTTTGTGTTCATGCAGTCACATCGTGTGACTGAATGAACACAAACAAGCAACAAGAAATGTTGATATCAACAATCGCATTAAGTGGTTATAGACGAAGCATCAAATCAACTGGGACTGTGTGACATGTATTACGTATTCTGCAGAGCCAGTAAAATTTAAATCCAACTCTAAGTATCTCTGTCTTAGTGTGGTGTCTGTTATCTGGAAAACAAATTAACTGATATACCAATGTCAAATTGGTTTCAAATACGATCATATGAATAATATGAATTTCTTTCCAAGTTTCCATGATTGACTTAATTTGGAAGAATAGGGTTATGGATTATGTGATCAATATTATAACTTATGAGCAATTTATTATTACAAAGAGTCATACATCAGCAATTTTAAATGCATGCCATAAGCACAAGAAGATTGATGAAAAAGATGTCTGACAGAGTTTATAATTTAAGTTTGAAATTTTGAGCTGCTTGAAAATTATTGGTGAGCCTTGCTTTCACATGTAATGACTTATGCCATTTGTTTGTTTGTTTGTTGTTGTTTTTTTTATGAAAAAAAATTCCAGAAAGTTGCAGAGGAAGTTGCCAGGCTTCACGATGAATTTTATACCAACAAAACCCTTCAAGAAATGGCAAAGGTTTCCACCCTTTATAAACTAGACTCAAAATACTACTCAGACTCGGACTTGGTGGATACTCTTCCTTCAGACATGGAGTTCAATAGGTAAGTGTAGATGCTGTGGTTCAATTTTAACCTTGGTTTAAGGTCTCGGTAAAGGAAAACGAGGTGCCCACAGAAAAAAATTCTAGTTGCGCGAGTATTTTCGCTACAAAGGCAAGTTATATATCAAATTAAAGCTAAAAGACTAAATTACCTTATAAAAGATTTTATTTCATCGAATTTCAAAAGGCGCTTAAGTTTTTTGCTCTCGAACTCAGAGGTATCAAGTTTACTGCTGAAGCGCCAGCCCTTTCGCGTTGTTAAATATTCACTTCCTTTTTATTGCATCTGATTGACAGATAAAAGACCTAAAAAAGGGTGTGAGGAATTTTGCATATGTTTCGTATTAGCGGAATTATTGTATTTCAAACTAAAAAGTCGAATCTAGAGCGCGATTTACGCAAAGAAACTGACATAAAATGAGTTACAAAGGGAAATCGGAAAATTCCTCACACCCTTTTTGAGTCTATATCATTATCCATCATATCTGAAAGTTTCAAAGCGATAGCTTAAAACCTGTCCCGACTGGAGGTCAGAGAATTTTGATTTTTGCGCCTAAAATAGAGTGAGAGAAAATCAGCTCTAAAGATTTAGCGCGAGGTCCACGCTTGGCTGGTTAGCTCAGAAAAGGCTCATTTTAGAAGGGTTAAAAAGCACTTTCTGGTTTTCTTTTTCTGCCAAAATAAAATTTAGGACCCACTCATGCCAAAAATAAAAAAAAAACAAAATCGAGCAATGTTCTAAAATTTTCATTTACCGAGACCTTAAATTTTATTTTCCTTTGTTTTGTGGACATGGTAATGTACGATAATGCGTTTGAATCAAAGGAAAATAAAATTTTTAAACCAAGGATAATGTAGTGTATACGATGCTAATGCAAGCGCGTAGAAGCGAGAGAATGAATGTGATGTAATACACACGGGAATTACGTAATTTGCATGTACTATAGATAGCGTGCGTTGTAATTTATTCGAGTCGGTTAGCATTCTGAGTTCGGAGTGTAACGGTCGTGAATAAAGTGTGTTTTAACCTAACCGCAGTACTACATTGGCGACGAGGATATTTCGAGGATATTTCAAGGAGATTTCAAGGGTTTCAAGAGTTTCGTTGAAAATTTCGCTGTGGATTTCGTCGAGGATTTCGTCAAGGATTTATTTCAGCGATGCCGGGAGGCGGTGGATCGGGCGAAACTAACGCGACAAGCGGTACTACGAGCGGTGCTGTTGGCGGTTCTGGGATGACTTCTGTTACTTTAGATGTCAGTGGATTGGAACCATTTAATCCAAAAGGAGAGGCGCACAATTTAAGTCAGCGATGGAAGAAGTGGAAGCGAGCGTTCAGTTTGTATGTGACCGGGAAAGGTGTGTCGAATGACGCTCAAAAACGTGCTTTGCTGTTGCTTGTCGCTGGTATGGATGTGCAAGAAATTTATTTCACAATAGCTGGTGAGGGTGGAGATGCAAGTTTTGAAGCAACGTTAAAGGTGTTGGACGACCATTTCGTGCCAAAGGCGAACATTCCCTTTGAGAGACATTTGTTTCGACAAATTTCGCAAGGAATCGGAGAGACAGTTGATCAGTTCCTTTGTAGTGTACTCCACTTCAGTCAAGACAAAAAGTGCCCGGCGCGTGGTCAAACTTGCAGGAAGTGCGGCGAAACAGTTCGTTTGTAGATTGCGTCAGCGAGCAGTGACTTGTGATTTTGGCGCCGGCGAGGATGACTACATTCGCGATCAGCTCATAGACAAGTGTTATTCGAGCCATTTACGCCGGAAATTTCTGGAAAAGGAAGGAACTGTTACGTTAGATGAATTGTTGCGTGTTGCAAGATCCCAAGAAGCGGTTGATCGACAACTGAAGCAGTACAGTACCGACCAAGCAGATAACCAGGTCAATGCAGTGGGTGGCAGGCTGTATGGAAACAAAAAATCCCAGGAAAGCAAAGACGTGCTTTTAGCTGCGGACAAGAAGGACACTTCAGTCAAGACAAAAAGTGCCCGGCGCGTGGTCAAACTTGCAGGAAGTGCGGCGAAACAGGCCATTTCAAAGTTAAATGCCCTCGACTCCATCAGCTAAGCAGGACCCATTCGGGATCTAGAGGGCCTGAGAGTAGCAGAGGCGGACGCGGCAGAGGAGGCAGGAGTGCTGGTGGACTGGGTCGAGGTGGACGTGGACGCGGAGGGCGAGAGACGAACCTCGTGACTGGAAGACCTAGCCCTGGAGAAGAAGACAAAGGAGACTTCGCTACACCAGGTCGTTCACAAAGACCCGATTATGCCTTTTCAGTGGAACAGGTGAATGATCGCAAGGAACAAAGGAGCGCTTTGGTAACGCTGCTCATTGGTGGTGTAGACGTACCCGATGTTCTCATTGATTCGGGAGCTTCATGTAATGTTATGGGCCAGCAGACCTGGGAGTTGTTAAAGCAGAAGGGGATTAACTGTGAATCTCGCAAATCTGCAAAGGAACTTTTTGCTTATGGTGGTACAGAACCTTTACCGGCCCTAGGAACGTTCACGGCAGATGTCACGCTGGCTGGGTTTGAAAACGGAAGTAATGCTGATTTTGTGGTGGTTGAAGGCGATGGTCGCACGCTGTTGGGCCGAGAGACTGCCGAGGCGCTAAACCTGTTGCGTATTGGTCCTTTTCAGACAAACAGTGTTGACGGTGGGCGATCGGACGGGGATGTCAGAGAGAAATACAAGCACTTGTTTAGTGGTGTTGGTCTTTTGAGGGGCTACGAGCTTAAGCTACACATTGATGAGTCGGTGAAGCCTGTAGCGCAGCATGTACGTAGGATACCGTTCGGGTTACGCGAGAAGGTGGATGCAAAGCTGGATGAACTTTTGGAGCTTGACATTATAGAGGAAGTGCCGGAGGGGCCGTCAGGATGGATTTCGCCGTTGGTGGTGGTTCCCAAAAGCGATGGCGACGTAAGAGTTCGGAGTGTAACGGTCGTGAATAAATTGTGTTTTAACCTAACCGCGGTACTACAGATAAAATTGTTTTTCAGCAGGTATAAACTTTTTTGAATAATCCCCTTCCCTCCACCCCACATAAATTTACCGTCATGTTTGTAAATGTATGCAAGCATAAATTTACATGCACTAATGTGACACGGAAAAACAAAAAAAAGAAACGGAGGGCATTTTACACCTCATGCACTTAGTTGTGCATGAGTAATTAGCTATCTTATTGAAATATTGAAGGGAAGAAAGGGTAAAATGTGGAGTCCTTTTATTGGATCACAGCAGGTGAAATGTACAGAGAAGAAACAAGCTGAATAATATTATTTGACTTGGTACATGTACATACACATGTACAGGGTTCGTACAGACTCTTGAATTCTTGAAAAAGTCTTGAAAATTACAAAGCAATTTCTCAGCCCTTGAAAAAGCCTGGAAAAATGGGGAAAAGTGTGAAGTTTTTATCTTCAAATTAACTGCATTAAGTGCTTAGCAAGTGAATTATTTTTCCTGCGGTCAATCTTGCCTATAACCAAGACATTCAGTCACAGAATGATCATGAGAAGTCTCAGAACTCTCTTATGTCCGCATTACTCCATGGTTACTGCAAGTTTGCAATGCATCATGTGAAAAGCATCTTTGTTGATCTCCTATTTGATGACCTTGCAGAGTCTGGAAAAAGAAATTTCTGTTTTCTTTTTTTTTAAATCTGGAAAAGGTCTCAAATCTGTATATACCCTGATGTACTAAGAGCAGCTATAAGGGAGCAGTTATATCTCACCCGAAGGAACTGTACTATCTGCCTATTGTACACTCAGAGTGGTTAAGTCCTCTCTGGAGATTTTCTCACCACGAATGGTTGCTACATGATAAAATGTGAGCAAGGGTGGCGTAGTGGTGAGAGTACTTGCCTCCCACCAATCTGGCCTGGCCCCTTCAAATTCCAGCATGGACTTGTGCGCTGAATTTGTTAGTTCTCTCCTTTGCTCTAAAAGGTTTTTCTCCAGGTCCTTTGGTTTTCTCCTCTCTTCAAAAACCAACATTTTCAAATTTGAATTAGACCAGGTATCAGGTAGATGAAGAACCACTAAGTGGATGTGATACCTCTAAATCATTATTTATTTATTTATTTTATTTATTATGTGAATGTGATGTTTTGGAGTAAAAGTAGTAGAAGCAGACCTTCTTATCAACTCTCTTGACAACAGATCATAAATTCATTTTATCATATTTACTATTAAAGCATGCTATTCTGACTTCACAGATTGTTCAAACAAAAAGTCAGCAAACAGAGAAGTTCTGTAAAGATATCAGATCAAGTTGACCGAAGCAATCACAAACTGATAGAAGCTGTGTTCTGGTCTTCACTGCTGGATAATGTTTTCAAGGAGAATTTAAAGAATGATCCAGAACTAAGGTCTTTTATATTTTCCTTGTTTAAGGATAGAAAAATGTGACCAACACTGATTGAATAATTATTTGAAATATACAAAATGAATCATATTTTGAACTGCGGAAAAAGATATAAATGAAAGTAAACATGATCTTTGCAGAAGAATGAACAACCTAAGCAGTTTAAAAAGAACCTGAAAAAATTCAGGCTTTCCCGGTCAAGGCAGAATTTTTTCAGGTTCTTTTTCAAACACGTAGGCAGCTCATTCTACTGCAAAGATCATGTTTTAAATTTTCATAGCGTGTTGGTAATCTTATTTTGGAAACTGGTCTTTTGGATACAAAGTCTTTTCAATACAAGTTTTTTCGATACAAACCCAAGGAGTGAAATTGCACAGAAATTTCGTTCACTTCAAGTGTAGTTTGTGCATGAACAAGAAAAACATTTTGGGTGATTATTCCTGGTTCTTCAAGCCAAGGACTTGAAAGTATGTACAGTTCGAGTGCAGTAATGACTTTGTATCGAAAAGACTGGTAACCCTTATTTTCATCTTAGCTTCCTCATTTTGCTGATTGGTATCCATTAAGCAGGAAAGTGCTCAATAGAATGAGTTTCTAACCATATCAATTAATAAGTGACACTCTTTTTGGTTTAGGTGGCAAAATTTTGGTTCAATCGAGGGTTTCATCAGAACATACCCAACACGAGAATGGTCCTTGAACTTTGCTGGCTTCCATATTGATTATGACCCCCGACTGAGACCCTGGTATATTGGTGCCACTTCAGGCCCTAAGGACATTGTAATCATCCTTGACTGCAGCCAATCAATGAAAGGGAAACGATTTCATATGGCCAAACAAGTGGCCAAGACGGTGCTGAATACACTTACTAAACAAGATTATGTAAATGTCATTTGTGGTCGTGAAAGCCATTGGGATGAAGTTGGAAAGTAAGTAGCCCTTTGCTAATTTTCTTAATAATTGTGGGGAGTGAACATTTTGGAAAGACATGTTATTTACCAAACGCAAGGTCAAGATGGCTGGATATTGGCCTAGTTATTATTATTTTTTTCTTTTTGCATTTGTCATGATTTTCATGGACCAAAACAAAGTTGTTCGAAAAGGATTGAAAATGTGAAATTTCCTTTTTTAACAATCCTGTTGTACAAATCCCAAGAGTAGATGGAACTTGCGTGATCTTTTTCCTGTGCCTCCTTGTAGACGAATTTTATTCTCGTAATTTTCTTGTGTATGAATTTTTTGTTTTTGTTTTTGCACCCCCCCCCTCTAAAATTAAATGGCCTGTCCCTAAAAAAAAGGGCCAATTTCCAGCCATTTTGACAGAACAAGCTTGTCGACTATTCATATAGCCAAAACTAATGTCTTCTTATGTGACTAAAGCAGGAAATTCTGAGGTTGTCACAAGTGTTGACAAATGATGAAGTAAAACTTACCTTTAACTATCAATATAGTTAAATCCTGCCTCTCGCATAGGAGTGAGAAGGACAAAAACATTTTAGCGCAAACAAGGCCGTGCTGTTGCTGTGCCTCTGGTGATCTTTGCCTTTTGATGACAAGGACATCTTGACATTTGCGCAAAACTCAAATGCTGGGCACTTGGGTTTCCTAGCCGTGAGTAGAGCTATAAGCAAAACTCACCTCCCTAACTGTTGCTTTGTCCTTTTTTTTCCCAAAATAGGTGGTTTGAATACAACACTGAGGTACTAAGTTGTCAGAAAAACCGACTTGTGCCAGCCTCCACATCGCATAGGAAAGACTTGATAGAGAAGATAGATAATCTGAAGGCTGGAGGAACAAGCGAACTCAAGTAAGATTTCATGGGTTAGCTTTTTGGTGATGTGAATAAGAAGGGGGGCGAAGTAACCCGGACGACGGCGGCGGCAGTGAAAACATCGCTAAAAAAATGAATTTACTTCCTTTGAAACTTGATCGCGTCTATTTGGACTCGCCCAATTTGTCAAATGTAGGCTATTTCTCCTGGAGTTGAATTCTTAAGGAATTTATCCTTGTTCAAAAGAGAAAGAAAAATTCGTCGTCGTTTGTTCACGTCCTCCGTAAATCGTCGCATCAGGAAGTTTCACGTCAAAGAAATTTACTAAAAAGCTTGATGCACGTACAGAGTTCTTGTTTTGCTCATAGGAGTAATTGTTTTTTGATGTTATCATTGTCGTCGTCGTGTTTGCGTAAGCTCCCTAATATTGGTAAAGTGTTGTCCTTGCGGTGTTGTGCATTCGTATATGCTTATCCTTTCAGCACATGATTACTCACTCAGCACCTGACGAATTTTCGACCGGCAGAAAAATTTGACCGGCCACTTCTTTCACACGGAACCGTTCAATATTTTTGCTCGGTTCACACGAACTTTGAACGGCTAGACGTCTAAATTTCGTACAATTAAGTTGGTTCCGTGTGAAAATTCGTCCGTAGCCATGTGAACGTGGCCTTAGTCAGCGAGGAATTTCTCGTCCTGTTTATTAACTCGTCTCAGCCTTGCTCGTTTTTGTGGTTTTACAGGAAAGCTTTTAAGCTATCTTTCGAGTTGCTCCAAGGAAATGCCAGAACTGGCTGTCAAAGCATCATTGTGTTTGTAACCGATGGAGTGGATAATGATGGGGACCCTGTGCGTTGTGGCCCAGGATACTACACCAGGAGCGGTTATGTGCCGGGACAGATCTGTAAATATGATTGGAATGATGTGTGGGATGAGGTTCAAGCAAGGAACAGATACATGAGTCCTAAGGTACAATATGACTAGGCTATTTCACATGCAGCATTTTTCCTATAAGAAAACCGTTTTGCACAAAACTGTAAAGTACAGTAATTCATGGGACAGTAGGTGCGGTTACACTCGAACATTTCCCCAAAGCTCCCCTTATGGAAAAAGCTTGGGTTGGGTTCGCCCTGGGTTTTGCCATGGGCAACAGCCACAATTGCCCATGGGTAAAGAGGCTATTGTAACCTCGCCTAAGTGTCCAACATAAATTGGCGCATGCCCGACGAAATCTTAACTGTGTTCAGACAATGTCCGAACAATGTTAGCGCCAGATACTGTCATTTTGCAGACGAATAAAATCTACCTTGACCGAAGGTGAATTATCTTCCCAGTGAAATTACATTGTTGCAGTGAATATATGTCAGAATTAATGCACCTGCCGTAAACAATTTTTGTTAAAGGCGCATAATGCGTCGTTCATTGAGTCCGCGGGATCACATTTCCCTTTTGTCTAACCAAATTGGTGAATTAGCCGGCATTTCAATGATTACGCCGTAGGATTTACTTCATCGGCTTATAGTTGACTTTCCTTTTTTCTCCTCGAAGACCCGAATTTTTTCGTACCTAACATCGGACAACGAGGGCGAAGGAGAAGAATTTCCCGGCAAGCTGGCTTGTGACAATGAAGGTTACATGAAGAGGCTGACAGATGAAGAGGACATCATTTCTCAGATGCAGGATTACTACAGCTTTCTAGCGTCCAATACAATCAGTATTAGCAACGTCACGTGGACATCGCCATATTTGGACGCGTCAGGCCTGGGTCTCATGGTTACGGTAGCCATGCCTGTCATTAGCAAAGTCACGAACAAGTAAGTAGGCTTGTGAGTCATGCTATTTGTTTTTTCCAAATTACTCGAAATGTTTTTCTGTCTCTCTGTAGGAAATCTGTAGATTTATAGTGTTTTCTCGAACAAGCGCCAGAGCGGTTATTAGTGAGCTCACGCAGCAGGACGTCGGAAAATGTTTGCAAACATAATTGTTTTCGCTTAAGGTTTGCCGTCTTTTTTCCCCTTCCGTCCTGTTGCGAAATTTCACTATTAACAAAAGAGGCAGAAAGAGGAGATGCGGTACGATAAAGGGAGAGGGGGAGGGGTGGGGTTCGATAAAGGGAGAAGGGAGGGGTGGGGTCTTATTATCGTTGACGAAGTGAAACTTTATTGTAGCCTGGTCTTCATACGGAAAAATTTCCGGTACTTGAAGATAGAGTTTATCTGGAAATGACTTGACGAAAAAGAAACTATTTTCTTTCACTAGAATATGTGCCGTATGGTCAGAGTTCCAAAAATAACAGAAGGGAAGACGAAACGGAACTTTTTCTTTCGTTGAGATGTTGGGCGCTTATTCGGGGAAGAAGTTAATTAGAGCGTGCAGAGGTCGTGCATGGTTAGGAGAGGAGACTGGTTATGGAAGCGGGCAGATGTCAATAAAATCAGATAAAAACAACAGTGATGCAGTTTGTGTTGGGAACTCCATGGCGGTGCACAGTCCTTTGTTTTTGTTGTTGTTTTTCTTTTTCACAGGTCGTGACTGATTAAATTAATGTGACATTTTATAGGTGGAAGAGTTCAAAATGAAGGAATTCTATTGAACGTTGTGCACCGTGAAGTGAAAAAAAGCTAACAAAAACATACAACAAAGAGATCTGATAGGCTTCATAACTATTCCACTTTATTGAACATGGATCGTGGACACTTATTAAATGAAAAATGGTATCTGTATTTTGTTCTCTCCGTAGGACAATAGGCGTTGTTGGAATTGATGCTACTCTAGAAGAGATTGAGAACATCTTGTTGAACGATCGCTGGGGCTCAGTGTACGCTTTTCTGGTAAACGAAGGAGGAGAGACGATCTTTCACCCTCTTTTACGACCAAGTACCGAGGCAAGTTTAATGAATAGTGATTATCAGGTTGATTTACAAAGACAACAAGCTTAGTCGCGAGTTTTCTCAGCTTTAGGTATACGCGCTGATGCCCCGGTCACGCCGTCATGTTAGCTTTTCAGGAAGTATCCACAACGAGACGGAGTACGTAACATGTACGCTCGCTGCGCGGAAACTGGGGCAATGACACTAGTCCCGTCCAAGTTTCCTCACGGCTCGCTTTGCTGGCCTCGCACTCTTATGAGCTCAAATAGAGAGCTAGCAGTCAAGTATACACATTGTCGTTGTATACGCTTTCTTTGTCAAGGCTATTGTTACGGGGATAATGGTTTTCTTTCTGCAATTGGTGTAACTTTTGAGAGTGAAATTCTCTGAGGTTAGTTACTAAGCGACTGCGGTGCTAAGCAGGTGTAGAGCAAGAAGCACGTAAATTTGGTTTTGATTTGATTGGGGTAATTTGGCCAACTACAAGGATTCGAGGGCTGATGTTTCGAGTGCCAGCTCTTCGAGACAGCACCGGGTGAAAGTCACATGATCTTGCAAAGACGTCGTTAGGCCCTAGGAACTATCTAAGATATAACTTAATTTTTGCGGCAGGGAGCAGATTGGTCACTCTTTCTCTCTCTCTCTCTTTTATGAAAAGTCCAAAATACAGTAGGCAGGGCCTTGTCAGCGTATTTGGAAGGTTGAGTTAGCTGAAGCTCGAGCTTTCATGAGAATTCCAGGCTTGAACTGTATCTCGAAAGTTATCTGGGTATGGCGAAGCAATGCGTAATCTTTCTCTCAGGTCGTTCAGATGATACTCGTCGGATCCTCCAGTGTAGCAGAGTGCTTGCTGACTGGCTGATGATATACTTGGGTGCTGACTGAAATTGTAAAAGAGAGAACTGTTAGTTGCGGAAGAGCGGCCCTTTTTCCTGTCTCGCGGTTGAAGGGAATTTCAGCGCTTTTGGTTCTCTTACTTGCTCCTGCACCCGGTTCTCGCGCTTCGCCCTCATTTTGAGCTCTCCACCTTCGGCTTTCGTAGCTCGTTTTGTAGGCAAGTGTTAGTCTATTACTCACAAGGATCATTAGCATATTAAGTAACTTGTTTCTCTTACTTCTTTACTTACCTCGGCTTTCGATCGGCTCGAAGCTAGACCATGGGAATGGATTGGGGTTTTATTGGCTATTGCGTGGTTGGGCAGGAAACTAGGTCAAAGATCCCGTATGCACAGCCCAGTCCATAGTGCAATTCAACACTACACCGACCCTGTCTCATACCCAGGCCTCTCTCTCTCTCGATGAAAACTTGCGCGTGAAGGAAGGCGGGAAGGAGAAAACGAATTAGAGGTGTCTCGCCTCCCCACGATCCCTTGCGTTTCGTCACCAGTCACTCGCATTTCGCGCTCGCCTCTGTGCGAAAAACGAAGCGCCCACAGGGAAGGCAGACATCGCTGATCAGTCTCCGGCTAGTGCACCTCATAATGACCAATTCTCTATAAATATGATCACTTGGTCAAAGTCAATAGAAAATGTTCGTACTCATTTTCTCTCACCTGTGGTTTATTAAGGACTTCACTTGGTCTATCCTTTCTTTGCATCTGCACGTAAGCATCAACTTAAGCACTCTACGGTATTGCTTTCGTGTTAAAACGTACATAAATGGATCAGCGATTAGGTTTAACAGCAAAAGGAAACACACAAGAAGATCTTGAAAGCCGTTTCGCCAGTTGTAGAAGGCGTTGCCGATTAGACGAACCTAGCAAGGAACAGCTTCAACATTAAGCCTTAAGCAGAATAAAACGAAACGACAAAGACGGTATCTTTGCAATGCATCGGGGGTTTGCGTCTCTTTATCGTTTCCACTTAGGTGAACTGTACTCTGCTAAGCCGCAATTTTGTCCTTGGTTTAAATTTTATTGTGCTTTGTTTTAGGGTATGGTGATGTATGTTAATGAGTTTAAAAGAAAGGTAAATAAAATTTAAACCAAGGATAAAATTGAACCACAACATTTATGCTGCATTCATTAATAAGGAAGTCTGTTTGGTAACCGTGATCTTTTTTCAGCGTTACGCTGATTGAAATACGGGAGACGGGTGTTGAAGTAACGAAATGTCAAAATTAAAAGTATTTCCTTCTAGAAGAACTTGAAAATAAAACGATGATCTGTAAAGCAAAAACTAAAATCACTCTGATCTCCAATCATTATTCCCTTCCTTGGAGTAGAGACCCAAAGCTTGTACCCATTCTCCATGGAGTTTCTGAAGCGCTCGACTCGTATATTTGCATAGATGCCTTTTTGCGGCAAGGGAAAAATTTGGGTAGGAGGGTGTGATGTACGAGATGGATTAAGACTTCTTAAGACTAAATTTCCAAGTTAATCGCTCCGCAAAGTGTCCTAGCACATTTCGCGATAATTATGACAACTGAGAAGTTTTAGCTGCAATGTTTTGTCTTTATATATATTCCTCCTGGGGTATCTCGATATCATTTGAGACTCTTTTTTTGGCGAAAGGTAATTCTAACCCACCCTCGTTCTTGGAAAGGAGAGAGAAAAGAAAAAAATGTGAATAAAGTGGTCGTCGGAATACAGTGCCAAGGCCGTAGAACACTGAAGAAACTTAAAAAGGCTTTGGTTATTTGACACTCTGACTCAAATGTTCTACTCTGAAAGTGATGTTTATTTGTTGACTTAGCTGAAAGCTACGCGGTCTTTTTTCCCTCTTACGGATCACTTTATCCTTAGTTTGCAAATGCATCCCTTTTGACTCCCCGATCTGTGAATCGAGTATAAGGAAAAATGTTTCTTTTTCTTTTCTAGCAAGCTATGTACCGGTTAAGCCATACGTTGCGTTCTATGCCTCGTTTCATGGCGCTAGTGATAAAGTGTAGGATGCCGGATAATAAAGTATTAATGCTTTGCCGGACAATGACGTATAAATGCCTCAACCACTGAGTATTAACTTCCATTCGTGTTCGTGTCATGATGACAGTCGGACAAATTTGCGGCTTTGTTGCATAGGGAGCAGTCCCCATTTGTTAAAAAGGTGGATAGCGCTCTCCACCATATAAATCTTTATCCAGTGGGTAGTGCAATTGGTTTCCCTAATACGTATCCACTGGATACAGATTTATCCGATGGATAGCTCTATCCAGCTTTTAAACAACTGGGGCCAGGTTGCTTGGTTCCCTTGCAACAAAACTGCATTGGCTATAAAAAGTGATGAATCATGACTGATCTCTAGTACTCATTTCTTACCGTAAAAGGTATCCATCCCAAGAGATATACCACTGAAATGAGCACCATCGTTCTTGAAAATTGTTTTTCCGTGTCTTCAACGCGCTCTGAACCCTTAGCCGGATACATAGCACGTCTATTAACTCCGGGTACAATCATGTTCGTGACAGAAATTCGTCTTTGTTTGCTCCTAAAAAGTTCCCAGATAACCGTTATGTTGCAAAATAAGACCACAGTGGCAGGTAGTCCTCCAAGAACGGCGTAAAAAACGCAAAACGCGCGGTCGGAAGCGTTCTGAGGAAACCAATTAACAGTGCAGAAAGTCCCTCGCAAATTTTGCACGAAGCTTCCAAACGAAAAGAGCGGGAAAAGAGAGACGATTAAAGATGCTGAAATTGTGACACTAAGAAGAATTTTCGCTTTGTTAACCGTCATGGTTTTGCGGTGAAAAAACGGTCTTGTTACGGCGATGTAACGGTCCACAGCCATGGACATGGCTAAAAACGCCGAACAAAGCGTTGAGAACAGAAACACGAAACCTTGGAAATCGCAAAGTCTCTTTCCACCTATCCATTGACTGTTTGTGTAACAAATCCAGGATGGTATTGAGAACAGTGTTATCGAGATAAGGTCTACGCACGACAAACCCAGTACAAACACATTCGGGCTGAGAGGCTGTCGCTGTAATAGTCTGGCTGAGGCCAGAATTGCGAAAGCGTTTGCCAGTACCCCTAACACTGACATAAAATACAAAACGATAGCGTCTCCACTTAAATAAAGACCATCATGTGTGGAATTTCCTGACATAACGTCAAAATGAGAAACTCAGTAGTTCTTCTTTGGCTTGCCGCTTTTTACATTGCCGCAAAACATAAGTAAGCTTTTAAACTGAAATTCGCCGTAACTTTTCTCCAGTTATCGTGTACTGTCGTGCCTAATAACCCAGAACCTCACCTGCGACTCCCCAACGTTCTGTTTCCTTTTGTAATCTCTATTTGCCGTATATGGTTGGATAGTTTTGTAAATATAGTACTATTCAAATGAAGCGATCGACTTTGGTGCGGCGTGGGTATTCATTTTTTTCTTTTGACTTGCTAACGACGATCAGTTTGTCACTGCACCCTCGCAATTAACATATGAATATACTCCACTTTTCTTGTTGTGTGTTTTCTCCCGGGGCAACTGCGTGAGCGATCCATACCATTTGTTGTTATCGTTTAAGTGGAAGACTACTCAAAAGTTAATGGTTATATTTAAGTCGACTTTACTCTCTATTCCAGTCGAGTCACGGGAAGTGTTACTCTTAAAACAGAGATATTAGATGAAGGTTTAGTACATTGTTTTGATCGTACACCCGGAAATGAAAGATGCCACCAATGCGCCGTATCGATAACTAACAATATTAACATGAAATGTGAGGAGGAGGAGGAGAGTTTTGATAATTTGTTGATCGTAGGAATATTTCATACTATGCGGGAAAATAATATATCTTTATTCAATGAACATAATAGCAATATGGGGAACTATTTGACTTGCGTAATTTTCCTCGAACTGTGCCTTCGTGATAATTAATTTGTATTCAGAGATTATCAACCTGATGTTGAATAACAGACCGCATGTCTGATGAATAGTAGAAAGCGTAATTAGTACCTTTAAATTGTTTTATTGAAAAGTCTGCTTCGAGTAAAAGCGTCAAGAAGGATTTCCATTTTTTCATCAAGGTGCGACTTCATCTTACTTGCCCAAATTATATTTCTATTTAATCCCAGCTGCCACTTCAAAGCAAACAAGGAAAATTGTTTACATATCAATGTTCTTTGGACCTATGGTATTTCATCGAAGGTGATTTGTCCTCTTGTCAATTCACTCATTTTTAAACGTAGAAACGTTTACTGATGCTTAACAGTGTTCAGTGTTAAAGAAACTTGTTTTACTCGAAGAAAATCCATGTTTTAAGTCGGTAATATTTTATGAAGGTTAGAAAGCGCTATCCAGGCGATAATGAATTAACCACTTTGTGGTTAAGACTTGTCAAAATTTGTTCGGCTTACAAGTGAAGCGATAAATTGTTGCTTTTGGTGTATATTTGAAGTTGAATAGAATTTTACTGAGAGAATTGTTTAATGTGTTAAGTAGCTTTCATTTAAAATGGTCTCTGCCTTAGGATGTCACCCAGAAACAAAAGATGTTAGGGCAAATACAACATAAAATATTAAAATTACCTTGCAATGGCTTCGATATGAATACGATTAACACTTTATGGTTTCACTTACAAACAGCACCAGCCTTCATAGGGAAAAACTTTGCAACTGGAGAGCACTTAAGCGTTCGCTCTTGTAGTCATAAATTATAGTACCCATCTGCATGCTTTAAAATGAGAATCACCTATACCCAAGTCATTATCAACCATTTATGTTGAAATGATGTCCTTCTATAGTCAAGACACCAACATAGGAAAAATGAAAATTATTAAAAGGATGGTAGAGAGTGAAATAATTTTTGCATAGTTTTTTCTGTGAAAATTTCGTGATGTCACTTTTGCATTTTTTGGCTTTTCTGACAACGGACAAAAAGGAAAAAATTAATTGCACTTTTTTATGTTTGAGAACCACAGCGTTTTTGTCCGTCGGCTTAATTTAATGAACGTCGAAACTGAGCCATGTTTTTTGAAGGAAGCACTGTCCTGACATAAATATTTTCTTTATTATTTGTATAACTCGCCTGTGGGTAATATTGAAAGGAAGCCCGCCACAGTGATACTCTTACGTGATGACCGATAACGAAAACAATTTAAAGTGGCCATCGTCTAAAGACTTGAGTGATAAGATCATCTGACTCTTTTTCCTTAGAACAAAGTTAAAGTGCCTTGTGAATCAGATCACTCGCATAACCAGTGCTTGTTACCAAAGTCGTAAATGCGTAGAATCTAACGAGCGATCAGGCGTGGTTTTTATATCTAGCGCGGAAGTTTTTTTTTTTGCGGAGGCGGAAGGTTGCGGTGCAAAAATAGTCAAGAGCGCTCGATCGTAGCTAGAATACATATGATCTTGACGCAGGTTAGTCTAAAATTAGTGCAAGTCAATAAGTCGAACTCGATTGATGCGGAAGACTTTTCCACCCACTCACTCCGTATGCTCATGTGCTGAATATGTTTAACAACAATCAACTTTTATGAAACAGCTGTTATGGCCGCTTGCTAATTTTCGTGGCCCCTAAGGAAAGTCGCCGATTTATGTTATACAACAATCCCTTCCTTCCATACTTGCGGAAATGGTGAAATTTAAGTTTTCTTTGGTCGTGTTTTTCTTGGAGTTATCATCTGTATTTTCGTTTCCTGATCTAAAATGCGATTCCTTCTTGGCTTAACTTCCCACTTTTGGCCGAGCGAGGAACGGGTCTACTCACCGACAAAAGCACTGGAGGCTCTGCCCTAGACCATCACAGATAACTACAATATATTTGTTCGGGGTTGTGTTTCTTGTTGACCTCGTTATTTTGTTCTTTTTTAGCTCGTCGATGATCCAATTTTTATTCCTATCAGCACTCTTGAACAGCGCAATGGCAAACCAGTCGAGTTCAACACAGTGGTCAAATCCATGATGGACAGAAAAACAGGCTCCCTCAGGATTGAAGATGCCATTAGAAGCATCCCAAAAGGAGATTTCCAAGATGGCGTGATGCTTGTCACCCTGCCCTCCACCTACTATTACACGTCAATCAAAGACTCTGAATATGTGTTTGCCTTCAACCTCGCAGATTCCGATAAGCTATACCGCAGACCAGCGTCACCACCGCAGGGATCCACTATCCCGGTCAACTACTACGCTAACATTGAGTCGTACAACTCTTCTGAAGTGAAGGAGGTGGGTGCAACGGACGGGTACAAAAGTAGACGATAGGGTGGGTGCAACGGACGAGTACAAAAGTAGACGATAGTGTTGAAGTGATCATGACGGATTGTTTCCCGTTCTTTATTGTAGGTGCTTGGTGACCTGTTCACGGGCCTTCATGTACAGTACAACCTGCCAATGTTCCCTGATATTTACGTGACTTATGAAGCTTCCACTGTGATGCTGAGTCCAAAGACGTACTGTAACCCCAACAGTTTTCTATTCAGGGAAAACAGCAGTGATATTGTCATTGCTGCACACCGCTTTTTGAACAGATTAGACAATAACACTGGCTGCCCTCACGGACAGATCAGAGCTTCTGTGAGGTATCAATAATTTGTTTTGATTAGCTTTTCCGAGGGACAGTATCTGGAAGAGATCTCTTTACAATTTGACGATGTTTTTTGCTGCCATGTCATTCACTGTGAACTTTTGTTACCTTATCCTAAGCTGGCTTGAGCTACGATCGCAGAACGTGGAAGACTAGAAAGAAGCGCAAATACGTTCCGGGCTATGCTAAATAACAACTTGGTATCAGGGAGTGGGGAAGAATCCCTTGTATTCGATTTCTTCTCTTTTTTCTTTCTTTCTTTCTTTATTTCTTTATTATTATTATTTTTTGTTTTTGAGGCGCTTGAAAGTATAAAAGTGCTCTCTAGGCAAAAGTGTCATAACCATTCTGGAATTGATTGTATCTTCGACACATATTGGTTTGTTCGAGCTTCACGTCATCTGCTTAGTTGCATGTGCACTCTTTCAGTAGCCTGCTGGCAGACGTCCTCCAAGCCAGAGATGTAGCAGACGTCTGCACTCAGCCTACGCTTTCATCCGTCTACCAAATTGAGGTTTTTCGCCGCCGAGATAGTTGTGATATGCTAATGTGGAAAGTGAAGGGAGAGAGCCATATGGTGTCCAATATACTAGTTCCACCTTTCTCAGCCACGAGGGACACTATTTGTTTCAGTCAAATTCATTGTGCATTCTATCAGATTTTGTAAATGCGGCTGCATTTTGCTTCATCTGTTCTTTGCAGACCGGATGTAGAAATCACTTCGTTGATCGAGAAGACGTGGAAGAATCGCTCGAGTGACATTTTAAAAGATGTTCCCTGGACATATGTTGGGACGCAAAGTGGTGTTTTCCGCTCGTATCCAGGCCACCGGTCAAGAAAGTTGTTCGACCCTACCAAGTAAGAGTATACCACATAAGGAAAAAGAAAAGTTATTCTGGTGGCATATTTTAAACTCGCTTGAGCTGAGAATTTTATGTACTATACTCGTTAAATATACCACAGAAATGACGTCAATGTTCAAACCTCAAGTGGAACTCCAGGATGTTTCTTAGAAAACTGCATGCGGGGACAGAGAAAAACAAATTACGCTATCATTTCGTCCTTGGCCTTTACTTTCATAGACCATAGCTCTCGACCAATTAGTGCGAGTGAATTGACTCAGTTATTGAAAAAAGCAATATGGTGTTTTTTAGATATTATTACAGTCAAACCAGGTCAAGCGTTCCCGTCGCTAACAAACTAATGAATTCATGAATAGAAAAATGATTTCGTTTGTTGATTCAATAATCCATTCATAAAATGAATAATCCAACGGTCAAATTGTACCTCGATTCAATAATCAAATGTTGATTTGGTTTATGAACAAAATCTACCTGTTCTTTATTCTTGTCTGTTGTGTTCAATCGTATTTGCTTCCCTTTTCCTGCCGTTTACGATTGCGTTTTTCATTGCCTTTAATCAAAATAACAGCTAGAATAGACAGACCGCAAACGCAAAGAAACTAACAAAGGCCGAGGATCGAAATCCACCAATCACCGCACATACACTGACCTCAGTTTGACCGTCGTGTTTTCTAACAGGTCAGGCCTAGGTCTATTGCACTGATTATTGGCAGCAAACTGGCGTACATGTAACAGTTTGTTTGGGTTTGAACTTCAGAACTCGCCAGCATTCGACTCTCAGAAAAAAAAGAGGAAAAAACAAAATTCTGAGGTCAACTTGTGGAAAGTGTAATTTTTCAAAAAACAGTAATCGAATCAACATTCGATTATGGAATCGAGGCTAAATACGGACTATTGGATTGTTCATTTTAGGAATGGATTATTGAATCAACAAACGAAATCATTTTTCCGTGAATGAATTCATTAGTTCGTTAGCGACGGGAACGCTTGACCTGGTTTGACTGTAATCGAGTGACTAATACTAATACCTCATTCACACTAACAAAGCGTGTTTAATTTAAACCAGCTTGAACAACATGAAAGTCAGAAACCGAAAAACGTAGTTCTACTTACGGTTCAACTAAGGTTCATTTAGGCCATCATGTTGAGCTAAATTTGTATAGCCGACTGAAAAATTGTCGGTGGGATTTTAATGAAGCAGAAAACATGCTTTAGTGTAAACGGAACATATCTCATGCTTGACTCTTTCACCGTCCTCAATTTAATTTTTTGTAGAATCCATTATATCTTCATGGAGATCAGAAATACTTGGCTACAGACTTTTATTACGAACAGTAAAAAGTACTGTGAAAAAAAATTAATGTTTGCTAGTTTTAGTTTTATCTTGCAACTTTGAAACGAAAAAATCTGAAATACATTTAATCAAAAACGTAACTTTGAACTTAGAACTGAGAACTTTGAACTAAACTTCTTCAGGCGGCCATTTGAAAGCAGTTGTAGTTGATTTACTTTTGTGTTTTAATCTTTCAGGCGCCCATGGTACCATCGTGCCCTTGTGAACCCCTCCAAAACAGCCGTATCTAATGCATATATGGATGCAAATGGAATTGGCAAAGTTATCACCATATCAGAAGCAGTTTTCCAGGCTTTACCTAAAAACGCGTCTGACATCAGTTGCGATAGCCTGGAAAATATTCGAGGAGGCTGCCCCTGCAAAAGGCACGTTTTCAAGAGACCTACGTAATATTGGTAGTTTACGTGTTCGTTAAACGAAGGTGTACAAATGTATTTGGAGCGAGAAGAAGTCCAGTTGGAAGTTCACGTTAAAAAAAATTTGTAGAAGAAAACTTCTCCTCTCCAAAAATTGTCATTTACAGGAAAGATGTTGAAATTTCGGCAAAATGCTGCTGACGTAAAAAGCGAATTGCAGGATTAAGCAGATAAACAAAATTGGTCCTTTGAATTTGGCAGATATTCACAACAGAACCACGAGTTCTACGCCCAGAAAAGCGGGGATGTTTTAATTTCCTTATTTTGACTTGTGTGATACAATTGTACAAGAAACGCGAGATTTTTTTAAAATTGCAGTCGACTTCACGAACAGAAAGAAAAGTTGAAGTTCTCCATAAAAACTTGAATATGATAACAGAGTGTTGTTTTGCAATTAATGCGACAAAAATGTACATTGCGCATTTTCGCTTATTAAAGCTTTGTGGTGGTTTTATTGCTTCTCCCGTCAGCGCTGTTGTTCGTTCGAACTTCTTAATATTCTCTATTTCTCTTTTTGATTTTGTAGCGATGTTCAGTGTATTTCCGGCAAATGTCGAGCATATCCTGGTAACCGCTCCTTGTGCGCCGGCGATCGAGTAGAAGCGGTCACCGCCCTGGATATCTTGTACAACGATTTTCATCGACGTGTGTACGGACTGCTTAACAGCTCAGGAGAAGAGAGATCCTGTGGAATGAACTACACTTGTCCTGACGGTGAACATTTATGTCAAACAAGGTACGAAATGTTGTGTCAAGTACGTTAAAAAAAATATTGCTTTTGTTTCCGCGTTTCCTATCATCTCTTCTTGCGAGATGCGGATCTGTTGCATGTTATATTCTTCAAAGTATTCATCCAAGGTTTCCCTGTCGTAGTTCCTACTGTTTTCAGGATTAGAGCACTGATAACATGTAACGATTCACGGGCATGTGGAGGAAGGTTAAAAAACATTAAATACTTACTTTTATGACTGGTTCCGACACAAGTCATTGAGTGATTTCTTAGAAAGCCTTCCAATAAATACTTTGACGTGTATAAGTTTACGAAAGTAAATCTCGACGAGCGGTCAACATTGTCAGGTAACAGTGCACTGTTGCCCTCAGATGTCATATAGTTTGCAATGCTGCGGGATCGGAAATCCTTAGTTTTTGGTTGCGATTACGCATGCGTGGCACATATGTAAACAGCATTAGTTTAGACTTCCCGCACTAAGAATGAATGGAATGTATAGAACGTAATCTGATCACGCGCGTTTCGACCCTCTATCACGTGTCATAAAATTAACGTGATGTACAGCGCTAGAACAAGGGCGTTTTGACCTTCTGAGGATCTTGCCCGCAAAGGCGGAGCAAGGGATGGTGCATTGGTGACAGCGCTCGCCTTCCACCAATGTGACGCAGGTTCAAATCTCGGCGTCGACATGTGTCCTTCGAGTTTGTTGCTGGTTCTGTCCTTTGCTCCGAGAGGTTTTTCTCTAGGTTCTCCGGTTTTCCCCTCTCCTCAAAAACCAACAGTTCCAAATTCCAATTCGACCCGGAATCAGATAGACGAGAACCACTTACTGGATGTGCTACCTCTAAATCATTATTTATTTATTTTATTTATTTATTTATTCCCTACTTATTACTATTACGTGAGACAAATATTAGTTGTTGATATGCCTTTTTTTCTTGTGTGCATCTCCAACCTGACTTCACATACTTTTGATGACTTTCCATAGATGCTACCTTGTAGACAACGTGGCTAATCTGGTTACAGACCCAGACTTTCTCCTTGTCAGCACCACAGACGCCCGCGAGTACGAAAGAGTGAGCCTAGGACGGAAAGAAGGAGACATCATGAAACTGCTAGTTACCAAACACAAGTTTTTCGTTCCGAATAAGCGAGTAGATTTTCAGGGTATTTGCAGCGTGTCGCCGTACGCACCTAAGGTAAGTGGTTAAGTCGAGTTTTCAGTAATGATAGCTTTTTTTTAGGGTGGAGATTTCTGCATCGTTAATCATTTTGACTGTTTACTGCTGGTGGTAACTACAGCGGACCACTGGTGGGCAAAGTAGTAGTTTTTAATCCTAGTAGAGGGTCCCCAATAGTGTTCTTCAATCCCGTCAGCCCGTCACTTAAAAAGTGAATTCGCGCTGCTTCAAACTTTATCGTGTTGTTCCATTTCGTTTAGTTTGCTGTTCCCGGCGTCAAATGTTGGCAAATTTTTCCGGTTTTTAATTCTAAAAGACTGTATCGAAGTTCATGAAAAGAAAAAGAAAGTCGATTCTTATGTTCACGTCCTCCACAAAACGTGAAATTAAGCACTTTCATGCCGTAGTCTTGCAGTGATTGCTAAAAAATGTACAAAAAAGCGTGATGCATGTGCAAAGTTGTTGTTTTAAAGACCCCGTTTACACACGAAATTTTACCTGTGCAGCCCGTTTACACGAGACCGTGCAAATTCTGTTACAGATTACAGTACTTTTTGCATTTCAAAAACTTGCACGGTTCCGCGGGTTCCATGTAAACGAAAGGCAGGTCCGTGCAAGTTTTTGTCCGTTCAAAAATTTAAAGGGGGTCTAAAGCTATTGTGGCGTTGACGTTCTCGCTGCCCTTGCCGTCGTCTTTGCTTAAATCCCTATTGGTTTGAGTTTTTGGGAGTGAATGATGCAGCCCCTTTGTTTTCGTTAAAGATTGAGGGGTCCCATCTATTCCTTCAGGGATAATCTTGTCCTCGGACGTTGTTTTTATAGGTGACACTGGAAGGAATTGTTAAAACTCCTGAAGAAGAGGATGATTATTACAAGAACAGAGGACCCATTCCACCATTCAGGAACGAGTATGGTTGCATTCAAGATGTTGTGGGTTACACTTCGGACGACTCAGTTCTCGGTAAGACTTGCAGTTTCAAATTCAAACCGGCAAAGCTCTAAGTGACAGTAACCTGAAATTTGACTCTGTTTTTGTTGATTTCCATTGCTTGGTGGATAAATGAAGAGTTGAAGAATCTTGTCTATTTACCTTCTTTTGCTTAGGCCCGGTCCAGGCGCCGAATTTTTCATGAGCCGAACCTAATTCTAATTATGGCCGACCCAAATTATTTAGACCGCCTAAATTGATTCAGACGCCGATCTTAATTCCAGCCGAACTAAATTCACAGGGGCACCCAACGAGAATATAGTTTAAAACCACGCAAACACAGCATTGTTTAACGTATTTTAGTATTTAAACAGTAGATATAGGCATATTTTTATCCCCTAAAAATTTTTAATGTGTTCGGATTTCCTGGTTGAAAGTCTTATGATCCGAAAATTATAGGGATCAAAACTTACCTTTTCGAAAATTTTAGCCATAAAAAGGCTCCCGAAAATTCTAGGTGACCTTTCAAAGGGTAAAAATCCGTTAAAAATGGGCAATTATACCATTTTTTGGATGTTCGAAAATCCTAGGAGAGATAGGCAAGCAATAAATTTTACAACAAATGTTCCGAAAATTCTAGATCTCAAATCGTCTTCCGAACAGATATTTTCCAAAAATTGACGTTGGGTGCCCCTGAATTCAGAAGGAGAAAAATGCTCAATTCCGGCAAACGGCTTACAAAATCGGGGCTGTCAATAAGGGCCGGTAGCCGGATACCTTCACCTCCTTCTACCATAACTGCTAACAAAAAATAAGCGCCATCGAATAAAATTTGTAAAGCATCCGTTCCCCAGTTTTGAATGACATTGAACTCATATTTACACGGTTTTAGGTCTGTGAAACGTTCGAACCGTGCGATGTCGTGGAACGCCTGGGACATTTCGACGGCTTTGTTCCTAGTCTTGCATGTATTCTGTGGCTTTTCCGAGACTCTGATTTTCTAAATGTCCCTAGATGCCTTGGCCCTCAAGAACTTGTGCCTTTGGTGCGAGTTCCAAAGCCGCCTACTATTCATTAGCAGCCTGCTACTTAAAAACTTTTTGACAGCCCTGCAAAATACTTTGAAAGAATTTGCGCATTAGGGTTCAGTACATAAAATGTTTGGCGACTGAATCCAAGGCGTTCCAAGGTCGATCCAACTCGAAAGTCCCGGCCAGGCTAGGCGAAAAAAACCGGCTGAGTTGTTCCAAATTGAAACAGGCGTTCCTAATTGATTCAGACGCCGATCTTTTTATGTACTTAGTTCAATGTGTTAGGTTCGGCTCATGAAAAGTACGGTGTCTGAACCGGGCCTTAGAGTTTCTAACGTGCTTTTTCAGGTCCCGATGGGATTATTGCTGACTCTGTGGATGGCCCATGCCGATCCGGGAACTTCTTCCTGTCAGCTCTCCGCAAGACTAATTTATACTTACTTGTGATAGAGGACTGGAGCGAATACCGTCAGTCGTACTTTTACAACTTCAACTGCCATATTAGTAACCGTGTATACGATGCAGGCGCATTTCGTATCGTGAACGGCACATGTGCCCATATTGAAACACAAACAAGTTTGAAAAAGAAAGAAAAGTGCCCAGCCCTGAAAAACGTTCGCATGAAGTGTAGTTATAATGTAGCAAATTCTTTTAGATTACCAAGACTTTGGGAACTTTTTTTAGTTACACTTACTTTGATTCTTCGGAATTGTAGTTGAATTGTTACCTTAATTTATTTTTATGGAAATTATCGAAAAATTATTTCAGTGATTCCTTTTTTAATTTTCTCAGTCAATGTACAGTATTTTGTAATGTCTTCCTCGTTAAGACCACCAACCACTTTTCAATTAACGATTGTAGGTTCTTTTCACGTCCTTACAACTTTGTCAGAGATGGACACCGTTGGTCGGATCGGGTCCTAGATAGATAGGTGGGGTCTGCCCCGGTCAACCCAACCTTGAGTTGAATAGTGCGCCATCTGGTGTTTAAAAGCCAGAAACAATGTCCACTCCATATTGATACTTTGCCAGTATCAAATATAACCAAACCCTTGATTCGTAGACAGTCAATGTATAGAGATTTATTATTTGTTTTCATTCACAGTTTGTACAATGAAGTATAAATTCCAACCCTGATTAAATACCAGAAATTCGTTCAATAATATATGCGGGCCAAAATTTATTCAAATTTAATTCGACTCTTTATATCAAATATGAAGCTACCCTCAATTTTTTTTGTTAACTCATACATTTCAATTAAAAATATAATGAGCAAAATGAATAAAAAGTTGAAAATACTAGATTTCATGTTGTGAAGGAATCCTTCTATTTATAAAACAGCCTTATTAAATCAATTTTCTCCAATAACATAAGTCGTAGCCTGAAATTCATCCGATTGCTTCGAGTCGTTTTCTCCTCTCAACAACGACGTTACTGAGGGAGTAATAACGACTCGAAGTAATCGGATGAAATTCAGGCTACATAGGTTGGAAATCGGATGCGGTCCTTATATACCTATAAAATTTTTATTTTTGGGAATTTATGGAACTTTCAGTTTTTTTTAGAAAAGCCCCGGTCAGACCGTTCCAACATTGTCTGACAGTGTTCGACATCCCTCAGTAGTATAATAAGAAGCGGTTACTCCTTTTTTTCGGGGGAATCTCATAAAATTCCGGAGGAACACATAAACGCCTAAACGTCATAGCAGTTTGCCCTTATCTCATGATTAAAATACGGTGGTATCTCGTTAAGATAAGATGATGCCTCCTCTCAAACCATCTCCGCCCTAAGTAGATAGATACTCATCGCCAAGCTGAACTCGGTATATTTGAAACCAAGATGGCTGCCCCTAAGGGTCTACACAATAACATTCCAGAGGTCCTTCTTTTGTTCGCGGTTTTTCCATAGTAGCTACTTGAGAGCATAGTTACTATGTTTGTGTTTGGGGACTAAGTATGAAAATGAAGAAATGATCGTCGCCATCGTCGCAGTGAACGCAATTTATGCAATTGCGTAAAGAAGCCTGAAAAAAAAATTCAGGACTTCAACGGGGTTTGAACCCGTGACCTCGCGATACCCAGGACTAAGTATGTTAAGATTAATCCTCCTAGTTCTCAAAATACTAAAGCTGTGAGGTCCCTCCACTCTTGTCACTAAGGCCTCGGGTCTTATGTTTCCGGCCGTGGTCGTGCGCTGTAGGGAACAGCCATGTTGTCGAGACAATCTCGTTCCCAGAGGCTGCGCTCAGGAAAAGAGTTTCGGTTCCAGAATGTGAGCTCTGCTCTCTCAACTTTGTTGTACTCGCGCCAGCGCAGTGGAACAGGGTCTATTATTTCTATAGATTTGATAATAAGCAATTATTGGTTGAGGTTTTTGTGATATCCGGAATAATCTAGGTCGATGTAAGTGTTATCAGCCGAAGCTGGATATCACAAAAACCGAATCTAATAATTGTTTTATTATATTGTTTTGAAGTGAATAACGACAAATACACCGTTACACGAAACCGATTTGACATTGTTCCTGGAAATCATGCATTACGCGCGCAACCTACAGATTAGTCAGTTATCTTCTAGCAGATAACTAACTAATCGGTAGGTTGCGCCGATTTCCAATATTAACTGTAGGCTCTTAGCATGACATGAAAATGCACAATTATCCTCTTAAGGTGATTCCCTGGTTTTGCACTGCGCATCTCTTACTGCGCATAACAAGATGGCCGCCGTAAAAAAGAGCATGTGAAGTAACATTATTAAAATGAAGTTGACTGAAGAGAAACGCTATTGGAATTTTTGCTTGCTGTTGTTTCTTGCCGAGGTGAGACTCAATGTGTTGGGAATGTACATAACGTAAGCAGTACGCGAGTTGCTGAGTTCGACTTCCTCTCGGAGAACCTCGATAGTAGATGTTTATGCACCTATCAATGTAAAGCCGGGGGGGGGGGGGAGGCAGGGCATGGGGTGGGGATTTGATTGTCTCTGTTGTCCCTGGGGTAGGGCATTTGACTGATCTTGTTCTCCCGGGGGAGGGGATATTTGAATCTTTTTCTTCGCCCGACGTGGAGATATTTGACTGCCGACTCGGACGAAAAAGACTGAGACCGAACATATGTTTCCCGCTTCCACGCTTCACGCATGCGCCGTACGGTTTGAGAAAGATCAGGAATTCATGAGGCCAATGAGAACAAGCGAAGGCTGAGTAGATTTCACTGTTTTGTCTTCAAATTTCGTTTGTTTTAGCGTGTTTTTGATCAATTGAACCTCTTAATATACTGTGGTATCAAAGTAAACGGAAGTAAAGAGAAACCAAGTCAATTTTTGCAAGTACAATTGATTAGTGTATGGCTCATTCGCTACAATCACTGTAAACTTATAAAAATGACTTTCTTTGTACCCTTTACTAAGAACTTTCTCCTAAAGGTTTATGTATTCTACGCAGAGTAACACGGATTATGGTTAAAACGTATAATTGCAGCTGTAACAGGAACATGTATCTTTGGTGATGCAGAACGTTTATAAAAGATTGCAGAGTTTTATTTGGAGATATTTTTATTGTACCTTTCTTAGGTTCTGCCTTGGGATTGACAGCAATGTGCAGCCTGGGGTGGGGAAATTTGGTTGCATTTGACTGGAATGATTTGCCCGTGGGCTGGGAATTTGATTGCAAATTTTTGAAAAAAGTCAAATCCCCACCCTATGCCCTGCCTCCCCCCGCCGGCATTACATTGATAGGTGCATTAACTTGTGCTTATTCACTTTGATTTTCATTTAAACGCTTTCTTTATCACATTGTGACCTAAATGTGATATCTCGATGTAAATTCTGTAAAAACGGATTTTTTAATACTTTCTTCCCCCTTTCACATACATTCTATTTTGACACTCGCCCCAGTCCTCTCTCAAATATCGGAGAAAATGCATTTGGTGCGCACTTTCTGCAGCTCTACCGCAAAAACGAGTACGGTGACCCCCATTTTTTATTTCATGATTTTAATAAGGACAGTGCTTGCTTTCGATGAGAAAAAAATGGGCACAAATCTATGTTCAGTTTTTCGGCAATTTTACTAAATTGTACGGATTGAGCTATCACGGATCGAGTAGCGCGTGTCCAATTTAATTCTACTTTGTAGCGTAAGGTAAAAACAAGGGCATTAAAAGGTATTTTTCTAGTACTTAAGTGGATAAACAATACATTAAAGTCTAATTCTGTGTGATACCACATGCATCATCGAAAAAACTCTCCTTTTTGTCTAGTTTTGGGCTCACCGCGGTTTTTGTAAAAGGGTTCTAAATAGCCGTATTTGTCAGCATTGTGACGTCAAAACGAGCAGGGTGACCCCCACTTTTTATTACTTTTTTATCATCTTCTTGACTTGTTACATCAGTGTACCAAGTTTCATCTACAATCTATGTTACGTTCTTTTACTAGGGAATCACCTTAACCGTGGGAACAGTCGATTTTGAAAAAAAAAACATTGGTGTTTCACTTCCGAAAACTCATAAGAAAATCGAGGGTTAAAGCTTTGATAAAACTCAGAATATCTATGAACATCTGCTGGGAAATAATAAAAAAAATACGAGCAACTTTCGCACACTCTTTCCAAATTTCAAGCACTTTTCCAAAAATTTGAGCACTTTTTGCTATGTTTTGAGTACTTTTTGGCGAATTTTAGAGCGCAATCGGGATATGCCTACCAGTTGACGTTAAGCGGAGAAAAGCGAATATGTTGACAGCCCCTTAGGACGGAACCGTCGGTAATGGGTTTCTGAAAGATATAGCCCCCGGCTGATATCAAAGACAATCAATGGCGCTCCAGACGTGACAAAAGGCCAAAATTTCCGGAAATTTCGGTCCAAAACTCAATGGATCGGTTCGGTCCAACCGGAAAAGCTTCGAAGAAACTGGTCCACCTTTTGAGGTGGACCACTTTTCCCGATCCGACCGATCTGATTTTTGGTTGAATGGATCGCGGCCAATCGAGTTTTGGACCGAAACTAGTCCGGAAGTTTTGGGGCGCGATCCATTCAACCAAAATTCCAACCGGTCCGACCGGGAAAAGAGGACCACCTCAAAAGGTGGACCCGTTTTTTCGAAACTTTTCCAATTGGACCGAACCGATCCATTGAGTTTTGGACCGAAATTTCCGGAAAGTCTGGTTGAATGGATCGCGCCCCAAATGCATCCCGCCCGCCTCAGGTACCAAGAAGCACGCACTGCGGACCGTGCATTTGCCAACTTCGTCGCCTCGCACAGAACTCTGGGAGTTCTTCGAGAGAAGATGGCGTCTTCAAGTAATCAAGAAGAAGGTAAGGCTAGCAGAAAACATGGTTTTTACGGGGATGATTGTTTTACAGATACATTAAAATAACTCCGAGGTTGGTTATTGTGAGAATAAAACCCCACAAAGGCGAATTCTGTCCTTCTCTTCATTCAAAGTCTTGCTTGAAAGTAGGCCCGCCAAAATTCGTTGTCGCGTCACTACAAGAAGAAACCGAATTTTGTTGCCAAAGAATTCTTATTTTTCATGTGAAAAAAGATTTCTCTTAGCTAGTCGAATGTTTCAAACCATTTTCTGTGGTTGTCAATTGTCGCAGCCAAAATGAGAACGAGGTAAATTTCGGTAAAACCATGAATTCTTGCACACCGTGGAAAGCCATGTGGCGGATTGAAGTGTTTGTCGTTTTGGGAGGGTCAGCGGGATTGTGTGGAAGATAAATTGCGATTTCCGCTGACCTTCCAGTAGATTTCTCTAACTTTCTATTTTTCCCTGAAGGAAATGTCAATCTGGAAAGTTCTGCAGGGAATTGCAACGGTTTTGAAGCGGTTATAACTCCGTTTTGTCTTGAAATTTGCATGTAAACCAAACCGACAACGGGAAAGCGACGCCGCCATATTTTACCTTTGTTTCACTTACTCAACGCGTTTATTCGTGTTTTGTAGAGTTTGCTATGAGTCAGCGAAAGGAAGCGTTTGAATAACGTAGTTTGCTATAAATCTTGCTAGAATCTAAATTTCCTTTTTGTCCAGTTTTTTGTTAAAGTCGTTTTCGTATCTTGTGTTTAATTTCGTTTTCCACGAGTTGTACATGCGGTCAAGAAATTATAAATTCAGCTTGCGAAAGCTTGTTCCTTGTAAGATCGTCCCGGGCTAGAGGCGTTGGATCTTGAAGCATGACCCTGCTTTTACTGTTAATTTCCGGAAAAATCGGTAGCTTCAGTCAAGAAGCAGATTCAATGTTTCATAATCGTTGTTTTCGGGCAAATGTTTGTTGAAAAAGAGAAATGTACATGCAAGCTTAAATGTTCATCACTCGTGTCCGTACGATGGAGTGAGTTGGAAGTTCAATTTTCCACTTCGATTGATAAATTTTTTCCATCTCGCTTTCTTGTGCTAAAATGGCCATTTAAAAACCTTTTACAGTGTATAAAAGCGTTTACACATAGAACTGACTGCCTCCTAATATAAAGAATATATATATGTATCTGTTAAATTATCAGCGGTGTGTAAAATCTGCATCAAAATCCTGAGGATTTAGTGTTTTAGATCTTTGCATTTCCTTGCTTTGCTTGACATATTGTGGCGTGATAAGTTTAAGAACTTCTTAGGTAAAAAGATCATGATTTACAATCACTACTGTGAATTGAATACAATAAAAATACAGTGTAGGATCAAAAATTTCATTTCATTTTTCCCATCGAACCTGCTACAGCAGTCTGTCTCTTGAGTCTGAATTATCAGTCCTTGTCATATTTTCCATATCTGTGAACTTTTTGTTATCTATTTGACTGAATGCCTGCACCTTGAAAACAATTTTTGGCTTAAAAGTTGTGTCACTCCTATTCAGTGCAAGGCTAGCAGATAACCTCAATCCAGTGTTCTTTAAAGTTTCTTGTAAATTTTGTCATTTTAAGTTGTGTTCCCCAGTGATTCATCTATGTTTTTTGAGTAATAATTATTTACATGTGTCATATAGAGCTATGGCGGGTTTCTAGGAAGCAGAAAAGGTATTTTCTTACCCTGTTATTTTTCTAGCATAGAAGGTCAGTAGGACTAACAAGACAAAGCAACTCTTAACTTTTGACTGGTCAACACCCATGTCCCCATGGTGTGCGAAGAACATAATTTCCTCACTACTCACATTTGCTACAATAATTTAATAAATCCCTTTGATTTCACTTTTTCACCTATAAGAGTTCCAGATTTGCCAAATTAAACCAAGTTTCCAAATTGTGAAGAACCATTGGCACCATAATATGAAAGCACTACTGAACAGGTTCCATTTGATTTGTTACACCAAATGATTGTGTACAGACATGAAATTTATGTTACAGGTCAAAATAATTATTATATTCAGGCTGAAATTTTTTAACCCAGGTTGATTCTCAGTTTCCTTTGTCTCCTAGCCCTGATTCATGAATAATTAGGGCTAGTAGACAAAGGAAATTGAGAATCCGTCAACCCAGGTTAAAATATTTTATTAATTTAACGTGAATTTAATTTTGACCTGTGACATCTACATTAATTCTGCGTCCCTGAAATGAGACTTGTGAATTATTGGCATATGGCCAGCCTACCCTGTAGTCAAAATGTTTTACAGCAGTACAACCTGTAGGCAGGATAACTACAGACACTACAGTAGCAGCCAGCAAAGTCCTAAAATTTGTGTGGTTTTCTTTCAATAATGATTTTTAAATCTAAGTGTTGAGTAGGTGGAAAATAATTATTGCACTGGGAGTTGCATAGTTGCTGGCTGCCAGATCATTATTGGGCCGCCTACAGTAAAGCCCAATCAAAAAATGAGCACCCTTTCCTGTGCAGTAAAAAGGCAATAGAAAATGGATCAAATTGCATTTCCCACCTCTCCTCCCCTGGGTGGAGGATTGAGGAAGAGAAATTTTCCTGAACACCAAACAGCCAAATACTCTTAAGTTTAATAATTAGGGCTAGGAAACTGAGCGAACTTCAGAGTCCATTACACTGGCATTTGGCGTTGTGCAAATACTCTTGACATACAGTGTATTAAAGATTTGCCGGTGATCAAACTCAAATCAAAATAATAGTGCTAGCACAACTACACACTCCAGCTTCAGCTCTCAGGTCTTACCAAACAATTTCTTCCTTCAAGGCCTTTGGAATAGGACAAAAAGAAACTATTCAAGGGCAAATAGTATTTTTATTTTATTTTATTTACATTTTCCTGCTCTGATGTTGAGCACAAGTTTTAACAGAAAGCCAATCAAACGTGAAGCATGCATCCATGCAGATATTTCTGGGGTCATTTCACATTTATTTCACAGTTGTGAAGACCTTCCATGAACTTGAATAAGGTTATTTACTTTATCCAAGATTTGGAAAATATGGGGAAGAGGAGGATAATTGAATTTTTAAATTATACACAAAAGTTAGTGGACTAAAAAAGTAATTGACAGTTCAGAGGTCTCAGTCTAGACCGACAGCTCTGCTTTCCTTTATCAAGATTTTACAAAATGTTTAGGTATGTATCTTAAGAAATGTCATGTCATGGAAGCGCCAGAATGTCTGGCTCAAAGCTAATATAGAGAAATGCTACTTTGAAAGAGTGTATAACTGCCAACTCTCACGCCTTAGGCGTGAGTCTCACGCCTGCGGGTTGAAAACTTCGATCTCACGCCTGCTCACGCCTGCGGGCCAATTTCTCACGCCTGATTGAAAAATGTGAGTTGTTGCCGTCCTGCTTGACACAATTTCCAAAAATATGTTAACTCAGACCCATGTAAGGAACGGAAACCATGTGTAAAATGAATAAATGGCAATACCTTCCTCGCCATCTCTGATTTTTGAAGTGAAAAGCACTGGGAGCGAGCTCGCCTTTGGCAGACTTCGGACGTCTTCGGAAGACTTCGGACTTCTTCGGGAATCTTCGGAAATGATCGTGTCGTCTTCAAAAATCCCACCACTCCCAGGATAAAAATCTCACGCTTATATCTCAGAAAAAGTTGGCAGGTATAAGAGTGTGCATATATCTGTGGCAAATTTTCTCAAGAGTAATTTTTGTAACCATTTGATTATTAATTTACTGCATTCATGCCTGTCCCCCTACCCTTATTGTCAGAGACTTTTCACGTGCAGTTTCCAGTTCAGTCAAGTCTCTATCATAATCGCCACATGCAAGAAAAAGCCTCTGGTATCCAGAGTACATCCCCCGGGCATTTGTCACAATAGGTTCCTCTGTCTTCTCCCTAAAATCTTCTTCAGAGAATCTTCAAAGGCCGTGGTTACATTTTTGCTAGCTTATAATATTCTGTACGGGCGGCATTATTTGAACAGAAAGTGAAGGCTTTTCAAATCTCTACTTTCTTTAACTACGACTAGAATTTTTAAAATGGGGGACAATTTTATCCTCCCACACAGACATTCTTTTTGGCTCGTCACGCAATGGGGAAGAAACGTGTGATGAAGCCTTAGGCCGGTAGGCTAGGATATATTTTTGGTGCAGCAAGACAAATTGTCCTGCAAGCTGCCAGCCCAATGTAGATGTGTGACAAATCTAGTCTCCTGATCTCATAGACAGATAATTTTGCATAATTGTTTTAAAATTTATTAGCAGCCAAAGAGGTGTTAACAGAAAAGGCAGCAGATTTAAGTGAAGGAGCAACAGATAATGGGCCTTCAGAGTCAGCTCTTAAGGAAAATGAGTTAACTGTTGAACAACAACAAGTGTTACCAATACCACCAGCAGAAGAGAATTCCCAAAACTCAGCTACCACAGAAAATCAGCAGGTGAGAGGGATTATCTAGCACATATCCTGAGTTGTTACAGCTTAACTGGCCATATTGTTAAAGCATCCCATCTCTTTTTCTCTGAAAACTCGTAATAATGCTGGTAATGTATATAATTTTTACGCAGGCCATCCACAACGAAAGACACTTTTTACAAACTACTATGGATCCAGTGTAATAGCTGATAATGATTGGCCATACTACTGTAGACTTCTGTTTCCCCACAATATGATTTTTTTATTTGATTTTTTTTTTTGCTAACACTGAGTCAATTCAGAGAACAAAAAAGAATGTTGCTACAGTGTATTAAATCTTGCAAAACAATCAAAATCAACGAGGCAACAACAAACAACTGAAAGGTTATTAAAGTTTCTTTTAGCAGCACTGTAGTACTATCTCTTGTTGTCAGTCAGCAGTCAGTTTGGTTGCTCAAGTGCAGTCAGCCTTGTTTGCACCAGCTCCATGTCCTTAGTACAGCATTTTCCTGATGGCCTCATGTTTCATTTAGCCTTTGGATTGTCCTTTTACCCCACCCCTCGGGCCTTATTTTTTCACTGAAAATCAGTGTGACAGGTGCCTGGTTCCATTGGCCTGAGAGCTGATAGCTGAAAGGCTTGGGTTTACCAGCCATGGGCCAAGACTTTGTCTTGTGAGTTGGCTTTGCCTAAAGTGGAAGCACCCACCTCCACTAAGCAATGCAGTTGTTTTAAAGCATGGTGTACTAATCTTCCTCTTTTTTGTCTAGGATGCTGGCCAAGTAACTGCAGAGTCAAATGTGTTGCCACAACAGGAAGACTCAGCTTCGGCAAATGACTCTGAGTCACAACAGCCTCAAACCTTGTATGTAGCCATTCAGCCAGGGGCTGAGTCTGGGCAGGGGGATCAGCCAGCAGTGTATCTGGAGGTGGTCGAAGCAGGTAGTGGCACGGAGGTCACCTCTAGTGATGGGCAGGTTAATCTGGTTCAGGAGGAGATGGTTATTGATAATGGTAAACAAGCTTGTATAGTGAGTGTGTGTCATAAATTTGTGGTTGTTGAACTATGGTGAATTTTTAGGGTGCTTTCCTATTATATGGAGAATTTGATAATACAGTCGAACCACCCATAAGTGACCCCGAAAATGCAGGGCTGTAAAAAAGTTTTAAGTAGCGCAGGCTGATAATAAATAGTAGGCAGCTTTGGAACTCACACCAAAAGCACAAGTTCTTGAGGGCTGAGGCCTCTAAGGACATTTTATTAGAGTCTCGGAAATGTCCTAGACGTTCCACAACAATGCACTGTTCTAATGTGTCAAAGATCTAATCCTGTTTAAATATGTGTTCAATGTTATTCAAAACTGGGAAACAAGTGGTGAAGGAGATGAAAGTAGCCAGCTAAGGATGGCTAACTAGCCTGCAGTTTTGGCTGGCTACCAGCCCTTATTGACAGCCCTGAAAATGTGAAGACTTGTTGGTCGCTTATGGGAGGTGGTCATTTACAAGAATCAAACCACAGGGGGTCTCTTCTGAGAAAAGGTCTGGATAGATCAATTTTATGAAAGATAATTCATTGCATGCAATTTCCAACCTGCAATATGTGTAATTCCAAGTCGTCGCTAAAAGTGCTTCGTAATCTCTAAGTAGCAGTGTACATAAAGAACACATAGAAATCAGACCATTCATCAAGTGGTCAATTGGTTATGCTCAGTTATGCAAACCCTCGACTTCGTCTCGGGTTTGCATAACTGTCTCGAATTCTCCCAACCCCTCTTGTGTTTATATCAGGCTATGCAAACACGGAAAACGTTTTCTATTGCTTAATTTTTTCATCTTTTTCCCATTTTCAATAGCATCGACTACAGAAGTAACTACTATTCCAACATCAGTTCTAAACCAAGTAATGGACCAAGCAACATTGTCAACAATGCAGGCTGAGATGATAGCTGTTCAGGTCCTTTCCCAGTCTGCCACAGGTGACATTCAGTATCTTCAACACCAGTCTCCAAGGTTCATTCCTATTGTCACATCAGCAGACCCCAGTACTCTTAACTCACTTCAAGCCACTCTCAGTCAAATGCCACTTGCTACCTTGCAGGTGAGAATGATGGATGCCTCAATGTTGTGTTTGAAATTACTTGAGTTAAAAGGGTTGAGGAAATGATAGAGAAGTCAAGGCCTGGAAAAAAGTATATGCTCTTCAGCTTTAATTAACTGCTACATTTTGATTCTTCATCCCAATTTCCTCAGTTTAGCTTGGGGAAGTAAGGGGATTTTGCAAAGGTCAAGTCAAGAGCCTTTTGTCACACTCTCTCATACAGAAAGTCTATCTGTAACTCAATTATTACAACATCCAAAAGATAACAGGCAAGTCATGGGTTCTGTCCTACTGAGGAATCACTTTTTCTATTCTCAATGCTCATTCATTTGAAGTTTTCAACAGTTGCAGACATAAAGTTGTTTAGTGCATTTTGTTGCATTTAAAGTGTAACACATGGCTTCAAAAAGTCAAATTGTTGTTGCTTTCTAGATAAGCCCCTCTCAGCCAGGCGCAACAACCCAGACCATCCAATTACCTGGTGGCCAAACCATTCAAGTGCCACTAAGTGTCACTCAGATGTCGCCTTTAACATCAGCAACAACTGACTCTGGAGCGGTGCCATCATCAGGAGTCACTACAACAACTACTGAAGCTATAATTGCTGCTGCAACCAGTGCCGAGGCTGCAGCTGCTGTCGCTCAGGAGCAAGGAGCCACTCTCGTCACTGTTCACCCAGCGGTGATTGAGGCACCAGTAGATGTGGCAGAAGGGCAGGCAAATGAGGGGGAGGAAGTTGAGGGTGATGGTATGTGTTTAGATGAATATTACAAGAATTTTCTGAGAGCAGTGTACAGTTAAGTGTTATGAATGTCTTCAGTGAACAGATCTTTAGTTCCAACAGCCTGACCAGAATTTTCCCTCAATACTGCGATTTTAATGCTGTTCATCAGGAAACATTCAGTTTAATAGTGCCCAACATGTAATTTACTGAGGATCAGATTTCCTCAGAAGAAGTCCTGGTAGCAGGTAGTCAAACATAAGAAAGGTTACAGTATCCTGCTGCACAAGTTTGTTGAAAAATTTACTGGTATTAAATTTGATAACTTATGTTTAATTCAATTTTTTGTTGATTTAACAAAGTGCAGCTAACATTACTTACCTTAATGACCAATTCTTTCTCCCCTTTTACTAAATCTTGAATCCCAACACGGAATGATACAGTGTCACAAACAATGAGATGGGCCATTTAGGACTTGCCATAAATACATGGAGGATTTGGCCTTCACATTGAGTCTCCTTTGTTTTAGTGTTCAGATTATCGAGAGTGAATTCCAGTAATGAATTTTTTCCTCATTGCAGATGATGGCAAGCCAAAATACACATGTGAGATATGTGGAAAATCTTACATTCGTTCATGGTCATATTACGGTCACATGAGAGAACATGCATCTGGGGAGAAACAGCACAAGTGTGAAGTATGTGGCAAGATCTTTAACTATGCAAGCAATCTTCGCCAGCATATGCTCATACATACAGGTAATTTTGATCAGGGCTTTATGTAAAGATAGTAAGTAGGCTGTACTTAAAGAAAAACTGAAGGGAGCTTCATACTCTGAACCTGTGAAATGCAGGTGCCCAGTGTATAATTTCTATAAAATAACTAGTAAGATTTCTTAGTTGCCTGAGAGCAAAAGTTAGATGTGAGGGACTCCTGTGAGCTCACAAAAAGGTAGCTGCACAACAGTGTATCTTTAACCTCTTGATAACAAGGCTAACCTAATTTGTGTAAAACATGTGGTAGTTTTTTCATCATTTCTGCATAAGTATCTGTTCTGCTTCATCATGTGTCGTAAGACTTTTGTTGCATTTTGCTGTAACAGTCCAGAGGCTTGTCATGTCCCTGCTATTGCTTAATTTGGCTGTGTGTGAGGTTGCAGGTGTAGCCCCTTGCTGCCCACTGATCTTGAACATAACTTGTGATCAAGAGTAATGGAAAATGTTACATCTGCCAAGTTAATTTAGGAGAACAGACTTTGGTGACATTAGAGGTGGGATGATAATAGCCTGATGCATGTATTTTATTACAGGTGAGAAGCCCTATGAGTGTGAGTACTGTGACAAGGCATTCAATAACCCCAGCTCCCTGCGATCTCATGTTCTGTCACATTCAGAGGACAGGCCTTACATCTGTGATCATGAGGGTTGTGGCAAAGCTTTCAATAACCCTGGATCACTCAGGTAATATATTCTGCGTGAATTTTCAAGGTTTTTTTCATATCTATTTTGTTAAGTTAATGCAGTTTACCAGATAAGAGAATTCGTTGTAATGTTTTCAAATCTGTTTTACGAAAGGTGTTGTTGTTCTTGCCTGCGTCGCAGATGCTCTAAGCCTTCTGTATAGAGCTATACAAAGGGTTTAGACGAGTGGGTGGGCTGGCTGCAACCCAGGCTATTGTTGTTCCAGCAAATATCCATACTCCCCCATCGCTGTTTTGGGGGGATTTATCCCCCCCCCCCCCACCACTTCCACTACCACCCCACCACCCACGTATCTGGAAAGTCCAGTTTTGCTTCACACTCTCCTTTAAGAATTTTGGTCTTAAAAGCCCCTCACTTTCTGAATGTCCAACAACCCTCCATGGGGTGGATATGAATATTTTGTGGGAGCACACATTCTTCCCTGTACACCTTCACTACCAAACGACAGTGGCAGCAATTCAGAGCATTTTTTCGCAGCCTTGGTGCACATAACGAAAAGAGTTTTATCACATGGTTTAAAATATTCATCTTACATATTGGCAGGGTTCATCGTCGAGTGCATCAGGAGGAAAAGCCCCACAAATGTGACGTGGCGGGCTGTGACAAAGCCTTCAAGACACCAGCTGAACTATCACGCCATGCATTCAGACACACTGGAGAAAAACCCCATAAATGTGATCAATGTGATAAAGCTTTTATTAGATATGATGACCTCAAGCGACATTACCGCATTCATACTGGTAGGTACTCCATGTATTATAACTGTACAGTCTGTACGTTTTGATACCTAAGACCATGAATGATAAGAGAAGTGTTCCATGATGCAGTCAGAGTCAAGCGTGAGAGTAACTCTTTAATTTTAGTTTGGCTATTTTGTTTTATTTTACTTCGTTCACAATGATTCTAAGACAATACACTCTTTTGTTTTCTTGCACTGAAGTTCCAACTGAGTGATGAGTACTTTACTATTTTTAAAGAGTAAGCCACATTTGCAATACCCTAGACTGCGGTCAATCTCTCTTTTTCTTCAGGTGAGGGGAATGCATGCGTCAGTGAGCGTTGAGCGACGAAGGCGCGACACCACCTCCAGTCACGTGCGTGGTCGCGTCTCGCACGTTTCGCTTGACGGAAACGTGGTCGTAAAGGCGGAGTTAGAAAAAGGAGAGACTGTTCGATCCTAGTCTAGGGATACCCCCTTCAATTTCCAAGCCACTCTATTATAAAATCAACCTTGGCGCGGTTCCTGAAAGGCCGATTATTGCTAATCCAGGATTAAAATTTGGTTTCGTTTTTGTTTTTTGTTCTTTCTTATGCATTGCTTGGAGTAACATTTCGTGTTATTATTACTGTATCTCGGAGTAAAGGCTGAACAGATTTTGTAAGCTCGAGTTGCATATTAGTAAACAAGAAAGCCTTGCTTAAAATGTGGCTCAATCTTAATGTCAAGTGGTTTAGAGTCAGATAAGGAGTTCTAACGGAAAAAATCTTTTTGTAACAATCATTGAAAACGTTGCATTATAGGCGAGAAGCCTTTCAAGTGTGACCAGTGTGACTTCGCCTGTATCCAGTCATTTGACCTGGTGAAGCATAAGTTCACCCACAGTGGTGACAAGCCTTACAAGTGTGACGTCTGTCCGAAACAGTTTACACGACCAGCCAGGCTAAGAGATCACATGAGGACCCACACTGGGGAAAAGCCTTTTATATGTGATGTGTGTGGTAAAGGTTTTGCTATTCAGACTGGACTCAAGTCCCATCAGGCAAGTCCGGTTGTTTAAAGGCAAACGACGTTGGAGTATATAAATTTTGTACAATACGTTGTGAGATGGAACTTTAGAATGATTAAGCTGTACTTAGGCTTTCTTAAAAGCTAACGCCCCTTGATCTTGAAAAAGGACAGTTGTCAAGGAACATCTTTTCAAATTTAGCCGTCTTCAATAGCGTAAAAATTCAGGAGGAAAACCTGTCTGGGTATTGCGGCTTTAGATAAGGGAAGTTGTTTAATCAGCTAGAAAAACTTGTTCCTGCAACTGAAATCAAAATGATGCTTACTCAACACATGCATGTCTTTACAAGTTACCTGATCAGAATAGCCAGTTCCAACAGACGTACCCCCTACGTTTCCTTCATTGCTACATTTAATGCTTGAAACGGGGCTAATGCTAATTCAGTTGCTGGCATTATTTGTTCTGCAGGCGGTGCATACAGGGGACAAACCTTTTAAATGTGTTGAGTGTGACAAGACATTCCGTACTCAGCTTGAGCTGCAATCTCACATGGGACGACACACAGGAGTGAAACCATTTAAATGTGACATCTGTGAGAAAGAGTTCATATCCACAATAACCTTTAAGCGACATGCCATTGTGCATTCTGGTATGATATGCTCTTTTGCCTTTTAGTTCATTTGGGTTTTAAGGTGCGAATATCCAGTCCACAGGCGTTGTCCTTTTTTTTTTCAACAACTTGACAGTTTAAGTTTTCCTGCGAGAGCGACGCGAAAACCGCGAGAAAAAAAGGAAGGAACCATTTTCTCTTTTCGCCACCTCACCCCATACTCGCACTTGACGTTCTCTAAAGAGAAAACAGAGGATCTGTGAACAGGAATGCCGCAAATCACTTCTCTCTACAGTAAACGTCGACTTTTGACTTTTAGTTGCTGTACTTGGGAAAACAAAACGACAATAAAAAGTCGTAGGAAGTTAAAGTAGGAAACGAAAACTAGCGATACGCTTGTGGCAGAGGTTTCGTATCGTTGTGAAAACCATGTTATTAATATTTCCTCTAGTTTCAAATTGTTTTAGTCATGTAAAATCAGTAGGACTTATCACTCTTCTTGCAGGCTACAGTTGTATTTTGTTATTGGGTGTGCCATCGTCGATGGACAAAGGGCGACACTCGTTTTATTCCATCTCCTAACTGGTGTGAGAGGAAAATAATGTGTCAAATACACCGAAATGGAAATATCTTCGTAAAAGGTTAAGAAATTAGCTTCAGCGTATTGTGTACTTGCAGGATGCGTTACTTTGCTTGTTTTTTTTTTTAGGAGAGAAGCCGTTTGAATGTAATGAATGTGGCAGGCGCTTTGCACGCTCCACCGACCTCAAAGTCCATATGCCAGTACACAGCGAGGATAAACCGTACAAGTGTGGAGAATGTGAAAAAATGTTCACGCGCTTTAGCACGCTTAAGGAGCATATAAGAACTCACACAGGTAATAGACTGCGAAGAGTCTCTTATTTTTCTTTAATTTTCGCGCGAGGGGCGTTCGGCGAAGCCGCGAGTAACTAGGGCGGAGCCCCAGCTTGAGAAAAAGTCTCTCCTCCTTTTTATCGTTAATTTGCATAATTTTACTTTTTTGCGCGCCGCGCGTGACTTTGAGGAAAGGAGGACAGATGTCTATTTGTGCTATGAAACGCGGTTGTCTTGATTCAGTAGCTAATTGCTTGAAATCACCTTGGATCCTACAGGAGAAAGACCTTTTAAATGCGAAGAATGTGGCCGTGAGTTCAACCACAGGAGCCACTTCAACAATCATCTGCGGATCCATACTGGCGAGAAACCCTTCAAGTGTGAGATCTGTGAGAAGGACTTTTCTCGCAAGGCCTCTCTTCGGTATCACATGAAGGTACACAACAAGGGCGAGGGACGTGTAAGGATCCGCAACAGTAAGAAGGGCCCAGAGGACCAATCAGATACCGAGATTATTGATGAACAAGCTCAAGGAAGCGCGTCTGTGGACCAGGTATTGCCTAGACAAAAATATTGCAAAGAAATTTATAAATAAGGAGGTGTGTTGCAAAAGTATCTATAGCTAGCTTTTAAACTTCCTGTCGAATTTTACAAATGGGGTTCGCATAAGTCACAATTATCGCGTTCTGTGTGGTGTATACTTATTGTAATTTGAGTCAAACACTAGCAATACCTTGGTTTATGTGAACCAGACTCAAACGTAAGGATGATGTGAACTTCGGAAATACAAATTTTAAATGAAGATATGATCGTCGCATTGGTAACTGCAATTTAAAATTTCGGGACTTCAACGGGATTCGAACCCATGGCCTCTGCGTTAGCGCAGCAGTGCTCTATCATTTGAGCTTATGACGACCCATACATTGGGAGCAGGCCATCTTAACCCGTGAAAGGAAAAATCATCATATGTTCATTTAAAACAACTTCAAACATTTAGTTGAATAATCCATTTGGTTAGTTTTTAAACAAGGTGTTGTGCTGCGTTGGAGAGATAGTAAGACAAAATTTTGTTTCCAGCCGATATTATGAAGTGAATTGACCACCGCAACTTACTTCACACTCCAACGCTTCAAGCGTTAGCTCTTCCTTATAGCGAATCGACGGGTACTTTCCAGAATCCCGGAACAGTACATACTCTGTGTACCAGAGACTTTTCATGCGCGGCGAAGACGTGTCGGCCTGCGGTCGACCCCGAAACATTTCCGCCTCACTCGATCGTCGCACGCGAGAACTCTGGTAGCCAGGGTAGGCGGGAACAGTTGATTCTGAGGAGCTTAGCGGATTGTAATGGAGTGTCCTTTCTTCTTCTCTTCAGACTTTGTCGGAGCAGGCAATCTCCACAGTGAATATAAGTCACTTGGGTAGTGAAGCTGACGTGCAGTTAGCCGAGGCACTGGTGGCTGTCAGTGAAGCTGTAGTAGCTGCTGCAGCAGAAGTGGACGATACTCCCCGTGTGGTGGCTGTTGAAGAGACGACACACAGTGATGATGCTGTTATGCAACAGGTTTGTTTTGTAGCAATCCCTGTTGGGCCTACAATAGTTCGCACCTAGGATGCGAATATAAACATTAGCTACATACCCAGACAGCTAATCAGAAGATGATTTTCTTTAACTAAAACGGTTTATTACTGAGTCGGCGCACTGCTGTTTTCTGTGTGACCACCTCTCCAGCCACCACCTATCACAACAACACAACTATTTTTCTAGTCAAAGAACCACAGTTGGAACGTCTTGTAGCCCCCCTCCCTTCCCTCCCCTGTGGGGGGCCACCTAGTGTTGGCAATTTCAGTGATTCCTTTCGGAAGGGTCAACTGTAGTATTTCGTCCGTTTATGTAATTTTCCACGAAACTTTCATGCTTTTATACGGTCAGTGTAGGTTACAGATAAAAGAGAAACAAAGTTTATTCGAGAGTGTCACTTTTCAAGATTTCCTTGTTTTGAAAATTATTGATACGTAAAAGTACCATGAGATTCAGAACCTCAAACGTGGCGCGCAGTTTCGCTTTCATTTATGTACATGAAATGTGTCTTTAATGCCCCTCTTAGTCAGGAGAGTTGAAATAGTATGTCAACACCGCCAAAACTAACCTGGAATTTATCCTGTTTCCTGTAACAGAAGGAACACGTATTTATATCAAATAACGGGCATTGTTGGTTAGGCAGGCAGCAACAACTTTATTGCACTTGAAAATGTTTTCAAGTAATAAATTGAAGTAAACTGAAGAGGGAAAAGGAAATATTTCACGCAACTCGCAGTTAGCCTATGCTAATCGGGGCGGGAGGTGAAGTGGACTACAAGGGGAAAAAATAAGAAAAACTAGCCATAATAATAATTTTACAAAGAGAACAAAATTTAATACCCTGCGCGGCCTAATTATCTGCTAAGAATAGTTAAACTTCTTAAATACGTTACATCTATTTTGAAGAGCCTGGGTGTTGTCTTTAATCTTTGTGAGCCACGCATACTTCGGAATATTGTTTGCTTTTCCCATCTACTTTTAGTTTTTGTTCGGCTATGTCCACTGCTCAACTCTACGTTTATGAATAAATTGTTTTGCTCTGTTTTCTTTACAGCACCTACCAGACGCCCATACGGTCAGGGCCTCCATGCTGGTAGACCCCGTGACACAAGCTGCAGTCAGTGCAGGGATCTCAGCCAGTGATGTGGGTGAGACAGTCGTAAGTACCACCATGTCACAGGTGGTGGATATACCTAGCTCTGGCGGCGAGGTTTCTGTTGGAGACACTATCAACATCCCACACGGTCAAGTTCAGATCATGGAAGTAGCAGATGGGACTGCTGGTGGCGATGTACAGGTGTCCATAAGCGAGGCCATGCAGACAGGCCACGTGACAGTAGAAGCATCTGACACTCTTGGGATCACCGTGCCGGCGGAGATCTTAGCCGCTATGGCGGCTGCACAGTCACATCCCCATCTCTTAATAGCCACTGCTGACCAACAGCTCATGCAGGCTCAAGTCAATGTTGCCACTGATCAGCAAGTATTGGAGGCTCAAGCAGCTAATAGCACTATCCAGGCCACAGAAGGTGCTAGTCATACTTCGGAGGCTGCCACCCAACCGGGTGGTGAAGTGGAGGCCAGTGTTCCTGCCGAGCAGCTGGAACAACCCATGGAAACTGATTAGTTTTGTTAATGATTTTTACTTATTTCTTTTTCTCGGCGAGTTGGACATATTGTTATTGTAAGGGCCTATTTTTTTCATATCAGAAATTACTCGAAAAGGCACAGCTTAACATTCTCCTCTCTGCCTCATCTTTCGTAGCTCCTTCATGTAGAACTTTGCATCTTGAAAACTGAATCGTCCAACAGCAAAACAAACTCGAGAGTTATGGGGGGAAGCAAGGGCAGTTATCTTACGAGAGGTTATAGCATTTTGCTTAGTGGGCGGTATAAAAAGTAATTTCATTGTTGGCCAAATTATGTATAGATATGTAGAGGTAGCTTTTTCCTTGCGTTCAGTGGTTGTGGCTCTCGCAGTCCTTGAAGCCGCTAGTAAATCCTGCTCTAGTGTACATAACACACTTTTTGAGGATAGGGTACACTCCTCGAGTGTAGACTGCAAACAGTCCGTATTTTTACGTATTCAAGTACGCGCGAGCAGTCAAACAAAAGGTCTGGAATGAGGCTGAAACAGAGAGCGAGACGGGCGTGTGAGGCTCGCGCGCTTCGCGCGCGTAAGACTCTTACGCCACGCTTTACCGATTTCTTTACTGATTTTGAGAAAAAAACCGACTGTTTTGCAGTCTACCTCGAGTGTAATTCGTATTCGCTTTTAAAATAAGCACATGATTAGTTTTTACAGTCAGTGAGTTGTACTTTTGAGTTCTGTAGTGTCAATCTAGCATGCTTCTAGTAGAAAGGCATTTTTGAGCAACACACGTCAACTGGACGTGAAGCGTTTTCCCTTAAGCTTCGGTAAAAGGAGCAACAAAAACGTGCATCTTGTTTTGTAACATTGCTGCAAAACGGGTTGAAAAGCAATGTTGGTGTTTTACCACCCACGTTCAAACCTGTCTTTTTGGATAAAATTATGCGGAAGACATAGCTATATGTTAGCTGTATATTGTAGCTACACTAAAATTCGAGTCAAACTAAAGGTTCTGTATGTATGTAGATACGCCATACACGAGATTTAAGTCACTTATGCCTAAACACGTTTGCCTTGGGCTGGTAAAACGCGCAACATGTACAGAATTTCTTGCAGAAAGTAGATTTTACTCTCTATTTTCTGCAACAAATTTTCGCAACCTGCAACAATCTGATTGGTTGCAAGACAGGATTGATTCTTGGTTGATAGAACGCACAACATAAATCAGTTTGCAGCAATGCTGCAAAACAAGTTGCACGTTTTTGTTGTCGTCTTACCCAGTACCTATGCCTTCACGCTACCAAATTAGTATTTTTTAGTGTCCTTACCCTTATAAAGACAATTTGCGCGAAAATTTTGGCAAAAAACCACTGCTGAAGAATGCAAAAAGTCCACTTCCGGTTGGCGTGCGTCGCTCAAAGGGAAGAAGGTGTGAAAGTGAATTTTGTAATGTTTGTGTGGATAATTTATTTGTAAACTTGAACATATCTTACAAACGTACGTCATGTTTAGACTCTTAGATTGGAAATAAGATAGTAGCTATAATGGTTGTCGCTTTAATCAATGACTAAATCTCCTTTTTTTCTCATAAAAGTCTCGTTGGAACACGTGAATTTATCCTTTCAAATGAGTTTTAAGGTTTGCCAAAGCCAAAATGGACATGACTCTAGCAGAATTTGACTTATTATTGCTAGTCTTCTTTTACAATGGGCACTGAATATTACGGGAAGTTGCTGGTTACTTTATTGCATGTTTCACGCACAAAGGTATGACTGTTTACAGAAGGTCAGACACATTTTTGAAGGCTAGGCAATTGACCATTTTCACATAGACCATAATGCACCTTGTTTACCCCCAATATTGTGCATAATCATTGTGTCCAATTTCTCCTGGGTATTACGGTCTTCCCAAGAGAAATCTAAGTCAACGGTTATGTTAAATTTTGGTGGGGCGGGGTAAATGTCTGTGTGAAATCGGTGAATACACTGAAACCATGTATGAAAATTAATTTGCAATAAAAGAATTCTAAGGTCTGTATTTTCCTTACCCTATTGTAGTGCCCGGTCTTAAGCTCAACGCTATGTGTCATTCGACTAACCAGCTGCAAAGATCTCAATGTCAAAAAAGGCTGTTTTTTTTAGTAAATAAACGGAGTTGTGTGAATTTTGGCTGATCTAGCATTTGACCTAAAAAGAATTGCGTTGTGAATTGTACTTATAGGTTAATAAATCTATGTGACGACTTTCTGGAGAAACAAGTTTTCATTTTTATGTAAAGGCTGCCATAGTTGCTTACTAATGGATGTAACATTTCGTTTGATGGAGATCAAAATCAGACTGCAGCAGGCTTGGTAAGGGTTCAACTGTTTTGTTGCGTACTTGTTATATGATTTTTCTGTATTGCCCAAACCACGGGATAACTTTCATAATGATGATACACTGGATTGATGCCGTTGAGAATGTTATCAATCTTTAAAGCAACTACGCATGATTTCATGACATTGATACTCCTAAAGTTTTACTGCCTATTTATACAAAAAAAGTAAGAAGACCAATATCGATGCAATGTCTTGCCTATTACCAGGCGTTTAAAAAACGTTGAATATCTCAGGGTTTCTATGGTACCCCATGAGTGACTAAGTGGGGTGGAGAAAGCCACACCAACGCAATGAAATCACCTTTAAACCGTGAGAGCGAGTGCGATCTCTGAGGTTTCAAAAGCCTGTAAATTATTTAATTCCATCGCAAGCTGTCAGGGGACCTCAGAGGATTTGATCAGATACCCTAAAAATTGTTTCGCAGTCTTGACCCGTTTGTAGAGAGGGAAAAGATTCTAAAAGGCCTGAAACCTATGACAATTCGTTTTCAGATACCAGTTTATCTTTCCGATCGAGTTTCCGCTAGTTTCGACTTCAAAAAAAATTGGTATTATGTTAAGAATGAGCAGCAATACGGAGTCGAGCTTCATTTTCACGGAGAAAAATTCCAAAACACAAAAAACAGGGAAAAAAATTAAAAAAACAAACCACCAAAAAAAAGAGACGCAAAAGTAAATTGGTCTCTGAAAATGTCGCTTGATACATAGGCGTTATAGTGCCTCTACCATATCGACTCCCGGGAATTGGGAACAACTATAACGCGGTTTGCAGTGATCTCATAGCTACAGTTACTCATGTCTATTGGCGGGAGTCGGATTGCACATCGCGGACAAAACACCGAGCCCAGATCTGAAGTCGGACGCGTTTACAAAGTTGTAACACAACTGTATTGAAGATAACAAGCAAAAATCTCTTTCAAGATTTCTGTCAGGCTGTAACTGATTTGTACGCAAATCGGACCTACTGTCATGGGAGACTGTCTGACCACAACTTGACCAGCGGATTTACCCCTAATAATATGCGTTTGCGCATCTGTTCTGATTTCCCGCCAAAAGGTTTCGATGTGTTCGAGGGAACGTTCGCCGTTCTGCTACAATTTATGAGCTTTACAAAAACTGTGTCGAGCACAAACACAAATATGTGGAACGATTCTAGTAAGTACATCTTTTATTTCCTTCATTAGCGTTATCCTTACCGGCTGCGTCTCGTTCTGAGCTCTGTTGTCACTGTTAAACGAGGCTTGGTGTGATAAGTTTTTTTGTCACGTGTTGTTCACAGTGTAGCAGTTTTCGGGGCAGGCACAATTGAACCATATTTTCTGTCGTCATCTTTCGCTTCTAGCAGAAGCATGTTTGAATGCCTTAATGGCTTAAGCAGTAACCTAGCTAATTTATAAGTCTTGGGAAAGATTTCGTGAAGCCCCATACATTAATTTTCTTATCTCCCTCATGATTGGTTGATCTGCACGTCTCCTTCGGGTCTTTTGTCTATTGTTTTTTATAAAATAACTGAGATAGTACGCGTGATCTGATTGGTCAAAAACCTATGGTTTATTATACCGGTAAACCCATAGAAAAAGGCATCCGGACCACGAGCCATAAACAAAACCGGCTATTGATCTGCAAACAATGATTTTATCGAATTTTAGAAAGGCTAAAAAACAGAACAAGTTACTTACCCAGCCCTTGTTAATATCAAAAACGTTGGTTTCCACATTTTATTACTGCCATAGCTTTAGAAGTAGTAAAGTACAAAGCTGGAAAGCAGTTTACATTTCACGACGATGCCAAATCGCAGAGAAAGACAACAACTGTGTGAATTTCTGGTGTAGAAAGTCTCCATGAAAACTTAACCATGTGCCAACCAGCAACTTCAGCTCGTGATTTACAAGCTTTTCTCTTGTTCTCCCAACATCCCGCGTGGGTTATCACGCCGGTAAACCCATAGAAAGTGTGGTCTATTGCTTAAGTGAACTCAATGACAGCTCTCTTGTGAAGTGCAATTGACTCCTGCCTGGCTGTGCGAAGTTATTACATAAAATTCAACTTAAGCTTAAGTTTATTTACTATTATGCTTACATTTAGCTTGGAAATGCAGCTGGACTATGAAAATGTAAATATTGTGTTCATCTTTATTCACTATCAATTAAAACATAAGTGCCGGAGGATACCCAGTAGGTTTTTCGGGATTGGGGATTTCCCTTATTTGAAGCTCAGGATTCATTATTTTAAAGCAAAATCGTGCAAGATTCAGGATTGAAAGTATGCGCACAACTTAGAATGCCCAAAATAACCCTTGGGATTGCACAAAATTTTAGGTTGGGATTACGAGATTTGAAGAACCATATTGAGGACCCTGAATGTTTGTTCTGGATTGATGATATCTAAAGCAATACCTTGAGATAAGCACAAAGCAAATTTGCATGACATAAGTAGGATTACCAATTATTGCTCAGGGTAAAGAACCTGGGGAAAAAACATTAACATGGCTAAAAGCATTTTGTTGCACACACAAAAAAGCGTATGCATTGCAGAAGCATTTGGTGATTACTGCAACATTGATGAGGAATATATCTGCTGCACAGTGCACTATTCCAGGTATTTGTTGGCACTGTGGGTAACCCTTTTCAAGTATAGTTGCAAATGTATATATACAATGGCACACCAAAACCTGCAAGATAAGTTGCACCAAACTTTGTCTAGTGTAACAGCTCATATCAAATGACTGACATTTTCATTTTAACATTTGTAACTCAGGTAATTTTGGTGGTGGATACCAGGTATGTTCTGTGGAATTCTTTCCACAGGACTGCTGCACTATAAATTTTTAATGTTCTATCAGTAAGCTATTTCTGAGTTGCCCCTAGCCTCCTTTTCAGTACATGGGTTATAGCAAACTTTTTGACAGTAAAACACTTTTTTTTCTCTCGTACAAATTACCATTTTACTCAATTTCACATAAAACACTTTGCACGTGGCCTCATTTTGAAAGTAAGGGTTTTTGGAACTTGTAACCAGGCCTATTAATTAACAAGTCACAGGAACAAAATTAATAATATCAATAATACTGGATGTGAAAGGGATAAATAAATAAAATTAATATGGTTGCTTGATCACTTAAGAGGCAGCTTGGCTAAGTGGTTATAGCACTGGAAGTGCAATCCAGAGGCCTCTTGTTCAATCCTTATCTTAACCGCTTGATATAGTTGTTCTTAATAGTGTCAACTGTAACTTCTTGATCACACTTGTAAATAGCCAACGGGTTTTCCCCTGGCCAGTTAGGATTCTAAACTTTGTTATGTTTATTTTCAAGTGCTTATTGTAGGGCCACAATAATTATTACTGGGTTTCCAGTATTACTTGTGTTACCCCTTTAAGTTCTACTTTAATTTACTATTTTTCATAGTCAATGGATAGTTTTGGTGGTGGCGGTGGTTTTGGCGGAGGTGGGTACATGCAAGATGGTGGGGGATTTGGTTCTCCCATGACAGACTCACAAGAAAAGAAGGTCAGTTCTCTTCTTTGTTTTCAAGAAATAAAACATACATTAACTTTTTTTACCTTATTCTGTTAATACCCTGAAATGCCATTTTATCTTTATTTGATGGTTAATTATTCTATTTTTGCACTTTAGGTAATTAGTATTTTACTCATTTTTCCTTCCTTAATTGTGGTATTTCTTTCTATCCCCCCACCTTTTCTTGTGGATTCCTGTCTTTTTACCCCCTTATAATCCAGTCCTGCCTTTTCCTTATTTGAACTGTTAGGTTAATGTTTCTTGCCCTCTTCATTATCTTGTCCTGATCAGTAATCTTGCAGTGTTAAATCTTTTTTATAGCGTTTTTCAGCTAAAGCTCAGTCAATACTTCCTTGCACTATCAAACAGCTTCATAGTGCAACATATAATCAGACAGATGATTCATTCAAACTTGGGGATAATGAATTGAATCAGGTTTGTTTACAATAATTATTGCTTTAGGAATTAATTGAGTTATAGACTCTAATATTTTCAAATAAAAGTTACATTGTATGAACTAATCAGAAGCCACATCCCCTTGTTTCTTTTCCAGTGGGTTAAAGTAACACTACTGGTCTATCCTTTAAGATTTAATGGCTTTAAGTCGGTAATATAAAAATGTAGTGCGTCAAAGGTGGTTGTTTGAGTTTTGTTGACAGTGACTGTCATTTCAATGATCTCAGCTTAAGAAATGTTCAGCAAGGCTTGTATTGTTTATTTTCAGGTAACAATAGTTGGTGTTATTCGAGATGCACAGGAGTCTGCAACCAATATTATGTATACAATCAATGACATGACAGGAGATGACCTTCTTGTTAGAAAATGGATCGATAATGAGGTAGGGTAACTTGTCAACATTCTGTATGTTAAACTCTGAATCCCATTCACCTCAAGGCACAGTGCTGTAAATAGTGCTTATCATCAGATAAATCACAGTACAAAGGATGATCTTTACCAACCAACTGTAACAGTGATGTGAAGACCATCATGTCAAAGGTTTGCACAGGCTTTCTTCCCATGGATGACCCCCAGATGAGAGCCCCATCTACAGTTCCACAGAGTGACTTGTGGTGAGAGACAGCTGTAGGATCCTTTCTTTTTTTGAAGGCCTTGTGGGCATAAAAAGCTATAGGCCATTTGCACAGTTAAGTCATTTTGCTACTATGAACTGAATCCTTCAGCATTTTCCTTTCTTTTGCAAATTAGGACTTTTGTTATTCATACCTCGCTGGGATTACCAAATTTAAATATGAAACAAAAATCGAAATAACGCCATCATGAAAATTGCCTAAATTGCCTAGCCATAAAATCTGCTTGTTAGGAACAACCAATTGGGACTTGTTGTTCATGGGTGATACATACATGTATACTGCCTCATACTGCCAGGATCAATAATACCTGCCTGTTGTAACTCATGACTCTTATTGTCCAGGGACAGTGATTTATCTAGGAGGTAGCAAAATCTACAACCCAGAGCCTGGTC